TAACACGGCGGTTCATTTTGGAGGAACGGTAATGAACTCAGTGTTATGTTGTGCCCATCACTAGTCGTGACTAACTGATAGGTGTCAGGAACGCATTCTCTGAACGGCCGAACTATAGTTGTTGTTGTAACGATTTGCCAATAAGGCGTTTCATACCATACAGCCTAGTCTGATGTGTATTTTATTTAAACTGGAATATCTTCAATTCCTGACTTCCTACAGTAGTATGACCGAAGAAAAAATGTTCAGGATTAAACTCCTTTAAAAAGTATATTTTTACATATTTTGCATTTACGCTCCTTCATTTCGAAACAGTTTTAAAACAGAAACTAAATTTTAAGGAGAGCTAATTTACGATTTTTGCATTACCGTTTACCTCTTAAGAAGAAAGTAATGAACACATTATGAAATATTTCTGAGATTATTTGTTAAATTATTGGTTCCTTTTAAAGGTGTGTAGTCATTTTGATTTAATACCTATTTTCTATAATGAATTTTTATAATCTTTTTAATTTTTATTTTATTAAAAAATAACTTAAATTGTACTTTTATGACAATTAAACAAACCAACCAAGTGACAGGTGACACCTGGTATAGTAACGGTTTCGTATATATTTTTTTTGTTTTAAATTTCTGTTTAGTAACGTTTTCATCTTTCGAAATATTGGGAAGTAAATAGACCTGTCAAATTCGTTCTGTAGATTTTGCCGATTTAAGTAAGAATGACGCCATTATCTCTATATCGTGAAAATTTCGTTTAGTAACAGTTTTAAAATGAAGATGCGAATTTGAAGACGCAAGAAAAAAAGTTTCGCCATTGTCCTTTACGTTGACAAAGTAAAAAAAAATAAACTTGTTTTATTCATGATTCATGTAATTTAAGGAATTTTAAAATAAAAATTTAATTAAATAATAATACTAATTTTAAAAAATTCATAAATTTATATAGGAATGATAGAAGAATATCGGATAACTTCCAGGCAAATATTAAAATGTTCTGGAAACTCGTAAGAAATACCAGGGGACTTTCAAAACAGCCTAGATTGAATGCGATACGAGACGAGAATGGCTGTATCCTGAATGATGAAGTGTTGAGTCTAAAGAGATGGAAGGAATATTTTGAAAGCGAATTTATGAGTAAGGAGAAGTGTGAACTAAATGAAATAGAAATTCCGAAAGAAGATGAAAGAGATAGGGAGATAAGTATAGATGAAATAATGAAAGCAATGAAAAGCATGAAAGTAGGTAAGGCAGCCGGATATGATAGAGTTTCACTCGAAATGCTAAGGGCTGGAGAGGACGTGGTGGCAGGCCTGCTGTACACCTTGTTTAATTTATGTTGGGAACTAAAGCGGGTACCGGGAGACTGGTGCAAAGTCGTGATAGTCCCAATATATAAGGGAAAAGGGTCACAGCAGGACTGTAAAAACTACCGTGGTATCAGCCTTCTTAGCATTGTGGGAAAACTGTATGCTAAGGTACTAATTGAAAGAGTTATGAAAGAAACTGATGAAAAAATTTGGGATGTGCAAGCGGGATTTAGAAAGGGAATGGGGTGTACATATCAAGTCTTTTCCATGCGCATGATCGCGGAGAAGTTTTTGGCGAAAAACCAAAAAGTTTTTTGTGCGTTCATGGACTTGGAAAAGGCTTATGACAGAGTGGACAGGGATGTGTTATGGCAAACGCTGAACGCATTTAGGTTGAGCGCTGGTTTGATACAGGCATTAAAGTCTCTGTATAGGGACTCGAGTGCTTGTGTTAGAATCAACGGGGTCTACTCGGACTGGTTTGGCATCCATAAAGGTGTCAGACAGGGCTGTGTAGCTTCCCCGTTGCTGTTCAACCTATTTATGGACAGCTGTTTGGAAAATTTGAAAGTTGAAGAATGCGGGTTAAGAATGGGTGAGTTAACCATCAAATGCCTTTTGTACGCCGATGATCAAGTCATACTTGCGTCGTCGGCGGCCGAGTTGCAAATGATGGTTACATTAATGAACAGTTCATTAAAAGAAAGGGGAATGAAAGTGAACGCAAGTAAGACGAAAGTGATGGTTTTTGAAAGAGATGAAAGCAAAACGGTATGTGAAATAAGAATAGAAGGAGAGTTAATTGAGCAAGTGGATGAGTTCGTATATTTGGGATGTGTATTCAGCAGGGATGGGAGATATGATAAGGATATTGAACGACGAGTGAATGCAGGAAATAAAGTAAATGGGGCTCTACACTCTATTGTGAAAAGTCAGAATGTGTCAAAAAAGGCACGTATGGCAATTCACAGTGCTGTATTAGTCCCTACTTTAACGTATGGTAGTGAAAGTTGGGTGTGGCAGAAGAAGCACGAGAGTAGAATAAATGCAGTAGAAATGCGGTCGCTAAGGAGTATGTTAGGGCTGAATCTGAGTGACAGGGTGAGAAACTGTGTGATAAAAGAAGAGTGTGGTTTGCAAGATGATGCGGTGACCAGGATTAAGAAAGGAATGCTTCGGTGGTTTGGTCATGTAGAAAGAATGAATGCGGAAAGACTGACAAAGCAAATATATGTTGCAGAAGTGAATGGAAGAGTCGGAAAGGGACGTCCTAGGCGGAAGTTTGTCGACCAAATTGGCGATATACTAAAAATGGGCCAAATTAAGAGTACCCTTAACCGACGAGCATGTATGCGTAGGTATATGGATGTGGAAGAGGCGAGAAAGGTATGTCAGGATCGTGCTAAATGGAAGTCTGTAGTCTCTGCCTACCCCTCTGGGTGACAGGCGTGAGTTTATGTCTTATGTGTCATAAATTTAAAAAATTTATGATTTGATTATTTGAATATTTTCAACGATTATTTGAAACTTTTTGCCGATTATTCGCATATCAATGCATTATCATCATCCAAACACTACGGTAAGGCACATAGCGACATATCATTCAAACGACGTCTGAAACGTTTGAAAGATTCGAATTTAGCAAAAAAAAACTAAACACGTTTTAAATAAATATAGATAACTTCATAATTCTTCAGATTTAGGTAAAAAGTTACTGCAAATCGTATGAGTACGCTTGTGCAAAGTTATTGCGGAATGATTAATGTGAAATGTCAAAAGGTATTTCTTAGATTTGGTTGACTGTAGTATATTATGTTAAAATCATAATGCATATACTGAATTTTTAGTTAAATATTTTTATGCACTGATTATTTATCAAATTAGTTATACTAATTCCGGAAGAATGTTGTGGTCACTGTGCAAATCCACGAACGCAAAAACTTTAACGTGCTTTAAAGTTCATTTTTCTTTATTTTCATTGAATGACAGATATATTAATAATACAAATAAAACTGCACTCTTAAAAGTCTTATTACCTTAAGTTACGGTCCATTTCAGTTTGTTTTGACTGTATAGATTTAGTGTGACTGTAATTTACGTAGTTTTAATTATTTTTGGGATAAAAATTACCTATATTAAAAATGATAGGAATCGATTCAGTAAACGATTCTGAACAAACTACTTTCTCAAAGTGCGTTAATTATGTTACATGTTATATATATATATATATATATATATATATATATATATATATATATATATTCGTATATATTTCATATTTTTAAAAAATACTAAAAAAAGGGCTCGAAATTATAGATTTTCTGACAAAAGAAGGGAACTTGAAAAAAAAAAGGAAAAAATTCGGAGCGAAGACAGGACGCGAACCAAGGCTAAGATTTCGCGACCGCTCAATATCCACTTGAGCTATTACGATCATTAACTTCTTATATTTATAAAATTTACCTTCTTATATTGTAGTGGTTTTTCATTGCCTGAAAACACGGACCAAAAGACATTTTCTAAAAATAAATTCTAGCTAGATCGATTTATTGCCCCCGAAACTCCCTAGACACTAAATTTTATGAAAATCGTTGGAGCCGTTTCCGTGATACCGATTATATATATACATACATACAAGAATTGCTCATTTAAAGGTATAGGATATATAATTGGTTTGTCATATTAGTGGTAGTATAATTGTATTAAGCTAGTTTTTTTCTTTACTTTATTTTTTGCATGTTAGAAAGTAGAGAGCATTTTTACTGCCAACAAACTGCTGAGCAGTTTGGCAGACTGTAAAACTGTAACTGTGTGAATTTGTATGTATATATAAATAAATAAATAAAAATAAATTAATTTGCGGCAGTGGTGTACATGAAAGTACAGTAAGGTCAATAATTTTTTTAAAACCTTCATATTTTTGGCACCGCTTGGAATATATATTTTTTTGTATTTTTATTTGAGGGCCTGATACATGTACTATTAGGCGCTCCAGGATTATCCATTCTTTTTGGGACACCCGATATATACTATTATTGTGCATTCTTTTCACATTTCCAAAAACAGCGGTTTAGTTGGAGAGCTAAATATTTCGCAAACGGACCCCTGAATCGAAATATTGTTTCATACCCCCAATATTTAGGATAGACGTATCCAATGCGTCTTTATAGAATGGAATAACGAGTAAAAGAAATCATCCTCCCTTTACCTGTATAGGAGGTACCAAACATAAAAATGTTATTTTCCGATTTTATTACATAGTTTTGTAGGCGTGATTGATATCTATAACTATGCCAAATTACAGATTTGTAGCACCTGGGGTCTTTGAGTTAAACCGTGGACGGACGGACGGACATTGCGAAACTATATAACTATATGGTATATGGGTTCCTTGTTGCTTAAAGCTAAACACTAAAAATAACATTTAATGGGAGCAGGAGATTAGAACATAAAAAGATGATGTAGATATGTGGATTGTGTAATGGCGGTGTAAGAATATCCACTGTCTCACACCGTGGTTGTCGCAAGAGGCGACAGTTGTCAACAAGCATGGCAACTATGGCAAATATCTCCTCTATGAGCCAATTTAGGGGGGGGGGGGCTATGTTCAGTGGAGGAGTTTAATGGACTGTAAAAGTGATTGAAACGGTAGATGTGTGTCGGTGTGTCGGTGTCCCGTGCCTGCTTGACGCGCTCGTTGGTGCGCTCGACGTGCAGGTTGAAGCTGGAGAGCGGCAGGCGGTGCAGCGGCGGCGCGGCCAGGTTGCTCTCGAGCAGCGCGACCACGCGCTCCTGGATGGCCTCCAACCCGCGGGACACTTCGGCCCGCTGCCGCGCGAACTCCAGCGTCTCCTCACGCACTCGTTTATCCTCCACCACGTCCAAATAGTTCTCTGGAACATTGCCCACTTCTTTTTTAAACCTGTATGTACCTCAATGTAGATAACTATCCGCGCAGGACAGGATTATAGTGCCCGAGTACATGCGCTACCACTATTTCCTCACTCTCATAGTCCGATGGGAAGAAGAAGAAGAAAAACCAAACTGATTTTGGCCAGACCCGGAATTCGAACCCGGGAAGTCATGATCAGCATTCGCTATTATTATACCAAAACAAAGTTATTATACACCACTTACAGGTGTGTGATGACCAACAAACGGCGGTTTATTCAAACGAAAATGTTGTTTTTTTATAAAAACCTTAATCATTAGGTTATGTAGGCTATCGGATTTGCGCTCATCAATTCTTTTTTGTTGGTTATGGGTTATGGCGATTAGTGCATTCCTGCCAATATCTATGAACAGACTGGAAAGACTCTTAATGTAAACGAAAAAAGTCGTTAGTAACAATCTTACAAAGTAATTAAAAACCCTGCTGAGTAAAAAGACAACTGAAAAGAGAAACATTTTATACCGTATAATAACTTCCACAACTAAGATAAATCTAACAACACCTCATAATATGTTAAAATCCATCAAGCCGTTTAGGCTAGAGAACGAGCAAAAGATATTATAAAAGTAAAAGTAAAGTTACAGCCTATATACGTCCCACTGCTGGGCACAGGCCTCCTCTCATTTCTGAGAGGGTTTTAGGGCAAGGAAGTGTCCTCAGCGATGCCCCAATGCGTGTTGGCGAACTTCACATGTCTTCAAAATATTTTTTTCCTATTCCTCAGACATGCAGGTTTCCTCATGATGTTTTCCTTCACCGCCGAGAACGTGGTAGATCAGCACTTAAAATTGCAATTAACAATTTCATTGGTGCCGGCGGGGATCGAACCCGGGTTACTCCATAAGAAGATATTATACATACATACAAACTATCGAAAAACATTAATCCCTTTCTGGAGCAATCGGGTAAAAGGTCAGTAATGATACTTTTTAAGAAAAGATATTTATTTTAAATATTCCAATACTTACTTTCACTCTCATTAAAAATGGTAATGATATTGACCGCACTATCTTCAAAGAGGTTCGGATCCGGTGCTTCCGTGCGTATATCAGTCGACAACTCTGTTAAAACTCCTTCGTGCTTGTTGTTGATTACCGTTACCGCGGTCGTACCGTTGCCGCCCACGTGCACAATGTAGCGGCTGTTAGAATCTATCAGAGCCTGCTCCACGCCACTTTCGTACCGATGCGACACTATTAGTTTTAGATCTGGCAAAAGCAAATAAACAAAATTATTTATACCGCACAACGGTCTAGCCTAAACAAACATATGAATATTACAATGAATAAAAACATAACAGTTCTATTTCAAAAAACTTACGTATATAATATATATGTACCTATGCATGTACTATAAAATGTCGTACTACCTCGTTGGTCTAGTGGTTGTAGTAGTGCGACTGCTGATCATGAGGTCCTGGGTTCCAATCCCGGGTCGGGCCAAAAAATTAATTATTGAGTTTTTCCGTCAAGAAATTCTCAGTAGTTGCCCGGAGTCAGGAAGTTGGCGGTGTCTCACCCCCGTGCCTCGGAGGCACGTAAAGCCGTTGGTCCTGCGCCTGATCTCTCTCCGGTCGTGTCGTTTACTGTTCCATCGGATTATGAGAGTGAGGGAATAGAGAGTGCACCTGTGCTTGCGCATACACTTGGGCACTATAATCCTGTCCTGCGCCGATGGCTAGCCTCCGTTGAGGCAGGCTGCCGTGACCGAAATTCTGGAGGACATTATTATTATTATTATAAAATGTTGAAGAATACTTGAATAATAAAATGCATGAGTAAATTTTACTTTTAAATTAATTTTATTTTACTTTCTGCATCTTTCCAAGTCATCGCTCTATCTAGTAGGAGGCGGTCCACTTCGTTTCACTTTCTCGAGAATCTTTCTTTCCAATCAGATGTCCGTTCTTCGAGCTCTATGAACGCCCCATTACTACGTGAGCTTACTGATCCTTCGTGGGTATCACCAGATACGACAGGGGAATCTAATCCAGGAGAAGGACAATTAAAATTTAAAAAAAAACTGCGTTTACCAAGCCGCCAAGCGAAGCAACTATAGCTGATATCCTCCCATGATTAATGGAACAAACGCATGTCGTTGGTTGTAAATGATTTTAGCCGAATGGCTCGGGGTCACTTGAGTTTTGTATCAGAAACAAATATAATAGACAAAGTCTTTTTTCCGTCCGTGTATTAAAAAAAAACAACGCGTCTCATGCAACATTAATACAATTTCCCTTACCATACTTTTCAGGAGCATCCGGTTTTCTTAAAATGACGGCACCATCGTAACCAAAAGTAAGCAGAGCATTGCCGTTACAAAAAGCTCTGAACTGTTTCAAATCGTGTCCGGATTCAAAGACCGGACCCATCTTAACGGAGACGGTTTTGCCTTTCTGAAAAAAAAAATATTATCACCATAGTGATTGGATTATTTTATAACATTAGAATTTCAATAAACTAATATTAATTTTTAAAGTGTGTTGTGAATACTAAGATTATTTAAACGTGTAGCCTCAAATAATCTGCAGAATAACCACCTTGTAATCAAACATCATCATCATTACCGCTCATCACAAGTTTACTGCTGAACATAGGCCTTCTCCGAAGAGTACTACTTTGTATTTATCGTATACTAAATCCCTGAATCAGCTACGAGGAGCACTGTCAAAAATAAGAAACGTCTGATACATCGATCACTGGTGATAGTGGCGAAATCTCCCAACTGTTTGAGAGTATAATGTCCGAAAGTAAAATTTTTACGGGCTTAAGATGATGACATTGAAATATTTTTTAATGAGAAGAAATTCCTTGGCGGCCTGTGGAAAATGTTAAAAATATATCATGGCTTATAGATGATGGAATAATTAGAACAACATAGCCCATATTATCTGATTTTGATTAGCAAGCGTAGTAATATGATGGCAATACTTTCAGGTTAACCTATGTTATCGATGTTAGGGATGCCGTGCTAGAAGATGTCTGTGTAGATCGTGAGTATTAAATAGATGGTAACTGTTCCAAGAATTTTTTAATATGCCTTTTTTGTCAGAAATCTATAAGAAAGTAAGTATAGAAACGCACAGAAGACGAACTAACAAATATTAAGTCATTTTTATCTATTAGAGATACTTATACGAACAAAGAAAGATAGACAGTAGACGTAGTGTACGCATTTTCAAGTGAGATGAAACCATGGTCAATTTATTATAAGAGTACACGCACTTCCGCATACTTATGATCCTAAAATTATGTTGCCTGTAAATGGCTTAGCATGCACCTTTTCATTATCATCATGATGCTATACAGCACCTGCATCCATCGACTGCGAGGTGCATGTCTTACTAGGCCGTCGCTTAAACTATCGTCATCCTACACCCCGCTTGCCATTATGAGGCTTCCATTTCGGAACCTTTCTTCTTCATCGGTTGTCGGTTCGGTTAAACTATACGAATGCCACTTCAGCTTACTGAACCACCCTCAAATGTGACAACTACGGCAGATATCCCCCCATAATTAATAGAAGAAAACTATGTGGTTGTCAGCTAATGTTTTAGCTGCATGGCTTTCGAATGAATTTTGAATACACCGAGTCAGTAATTCATTCTTGGGGCAATGTATTCGCTTTTACAACAAAATCAGAGAAAATAAACAAAATTTGACCTGCTCAAAGATCATAAACTTAATTAGACTATGTTTGTATACAAAGGGTTATTATAATATTAAGGAATCTATTGATCATAATAAACAATGGGAACGAGGTGATCTCTAGCAAACTATTTCGCTAGCGACGAGAGGGGTGTTCTCTTTCGATGCCGCTGTAGCCGAGGCGGAGTCGCGGAGGTAGAGGAGTGTTGGTATGACGATGCGTCACTCGCCCTTTCGGGCTACATTTTCTAAAAATTAGTTTCTAAAAATAGGACATTTTCTAAAAAGGGCACTAAACGGGGCCGCCTCGTTGATGCTGTGGTGGTGGGGCTGCGGGGGAAAAGGAGTCGGTATTGCGAGGCGCTGCTGTCCCTACCCTCCGCAGCCGAATTTTGGTTAGCTGCGGAGTCATAGACTAGTTTCGCCGCCACCGGGGTCAGGAATGCTAGTGCTTCTGAGTGCTGGTTTTTCCTGCCCCCATGACCTTCGCGCATTGAAAACGGAGGAGAGCGTCTGTTGCGCAGGTGTAATTGGAGTTCGTGGTGGAAGGCGCCATGTGTCGTGATGGGCCTTACCTGAGAAGGAGATGAGGAGAAGTAGTATTCTCCCGAGGAGAAGCTGCTATGGATAGCCGACGCTGAAGGGACCGCGTTGTGTGCGAACGCTTTCTCGTGGCCCTGCCAATATACGACGAAGATGGAACACCATAGGGTTTTAGTAGGTGCGAGTCCGATATAACCCGTCCTGGCCCCCACGAGGTAGATATGCGTTGCCATGTAAAAAGGAAGGTACAGACCACGCCGGAGAGGCGCAGCACGTGCATGTGTGTGGAGAGATGCGGCACGGCTAGCGCGCAATCGCGCGCCGCCAGCGGCACCACCTCGCTGTACGGCCCCTGCATCTTGCCGGCGAACTTGTTGTCTTTACCACTGTCAGCATTGATACACACTATCCGCTCCCCTAAGAATAGTAAATATTAGTAAGTAATTTCGCTTAATCGTATTTTGTTTGCATAGATTTTTTTATAGACGTGTGAGGAAATTAGCATGCGGCTCACCTGATGGTAAGTGTTGACTGCAGCCCATGAACATCTACAACACTTGGAGAATTGTAGGTGCGATGTCGGCTTAAAAAATGAGCAAGATCATTTCTTGAAGCTCCCTAAGTCGTATCGATCCGGAAAAATCTCCGGTCGTAAACGATTGCATAAGAAATCGTACGAGGACGAAAACTCCTAGTAAATAAATAAATTTCACTTGGTTCTTGAACTTTGGCTCTGTAGCGCAGCGCACTAAGCATTTTGCAGCGGCAGTGCGGAGTCGCGGGTTTGAATCATGCACGGAGCAAGTGTTTGTATGGCATTCAATTCATTGTTCCGGACTTATGCGTTTGCACATTTGCAAATTTTGTATGTAAGTCACCTACACTGTACAGGAACAAATCCTATTGTGGGGTAACATTTTTATATCATCATCCATTACAGTCTATAAAAGTTCGCTGCTGAACATAGGCCCCCCTATAGTTTTCTTCATAGGGGGATATTTGCCATAATGACCACACTTGGCAACCATGGTTTTATTGTTTTGAGTAGTTATCAGGACGATGCTGAACTCCTATTTCAGTTTCTCTCGCGACATCCACGGAATGATATTTCTCACGCCAACACTACATGTAGATAAAAAAGAGAATAAAACTAAACGTTTTAAAACGGTATAAATCTTAATGAATCATAGGTCATATTTAATATTATCACTGTAGTGTGCTGGTTAGATTCTCTTTCTTAAAATTGAATTGACAGATAAACTTTTAGTCTATCTGATGGTGGCCAACTTCAAACTACAACTTGTAATGCCTCAAAGCCTGTAATTATACTGAACTGTATTAACCTTCAGAACGGGATACTACATTACACCTACTGCTATTTGTCGACATCATAAGGTAAGAGGGTGACAAACTCCTAGGTCGAAAAGGTATCCAACCACCTAGTCTGGATTAGTACCACTCTCTCGCATATTAACATTCACTGCATTTTTGAAAAGTAAAAGATGCCAGTATGAAAAAAGGCTTTGAGGTATTTCAAGTTGAAATCTCTCCCTTTCGAGTAGTACTTAGTTCTTAGGAATTTTAATTATTAATTGACGATGTATGTATTTATGAGCCACATCCATATATTCAAGTGTACTGTGTGCTTGTTTATTACCCTAATTTTTATTGAAAAAAACTTATACTCACCTATAAAATATTTGTCCGAAAACAAGATCAGGTTGAAAGAGCGCATCGCCTCGCCGACCTTCATTAGGAAGCTGTCCGCAAGACCTCGGCCTAACTCCGCGTACCTCACCAGAGTCAGTTTGTATTTTTCCGATAACTGATTAAAATACACACCAAATTATGTATCTATATTGTGAATACAGCCAATAAGACTACACCACAAACTCAAGGTCGCCCAGCGAGCGATAGAAAGATATATGCTCGAAGTTTCTGTGATGGATAAGATTCGTAATGTAGAAATCCGCCGGAAAACCAAGGTCACCAACATAGCCTCCCTCCCTCCTCACATACACCAAGTGGCAATGGGCTGGCGATATAGTTGTCGCAGAAGCGATAATCGTTGGAGTAGATGTGTCATGGAGTCTACTGCGCTTTGGTAAATGCCGTGTGGGACACGCCTGGCTGGATGGTGCGACGAACTGCTAGGCGGCTGGCAGCGACTGTGTACGTGAAGCCAAAGATCGGGCGGGCTAAGTGGTGCGCCTTGAGAAAGCCCTAAGACTTAAATAATATATATAAAACTTAAAGTCGTTTGGAACGAGACAATAATTACAAAATTTGCTTATAAGGTCAGGTCTGTCTTCTAAGGTCAATAGATCGAAGAATTTAAAATTTTCTCAAAATACGATTATTTAGAAATTTTTAAATGGCAATAATTTAACGCAGTTTTTTAAGTACAAAAATTATTTTCGATATCTAGAGGAGATTAATCAAATATTTTGAAAGTTATTTAGAAAAAAAACTTGAAGAAATTTTTTTGGTTTTTATTTTTTGAAAATCTTTGAAATGGCTCGGCCGATTGATTTGAAAATCTAATCAGCTCGAAGTCTCCATAAACACTTTCGAATGCTGTGTCGCCCGTCTCGATTGGTTGATTCGTTCTAAGGATATCGTGTGACAAAATTATATCTCACACTAAACACACACACATACACACGCAAACACGCGCGCGGTATATATTCAGTATTCTACCGCGCGCGCGCGCTCGCCTGTGTGTACATGCGGGGACATCCAACCGGAAATAGTCGGAACCGCTTCCTAGGAGGCTAGGACCTCAAAACGTGGAGATCTGATGAAAACTTGCATTCTCAAAATCGGGCTGAAATCTATGAAAATTATTAATGTATAAAGCGGGAAGTATAAAAACTTACTTCGAAAATAAATATATGTCCAGCTGACTTGGCGACGGCCACGAGCTTCCTGCCAGTGGAAGAGAAGACAACTTGCGAGACGATCTGATGCGTCAGGCACATACTGCCCACCTTCTGAAGTCCAAGTCCAGGCTCGTAAGTGAATAAGCCGATACCATAGTTTTGTCCAACCTCACCGAATATTACGAGCAGGGGGTCAACGGGACTGCCTTGGAAGTTAATGTCATTGCCCTCAACTAGTTTTCTAAGGACCTGAAAAATGTTTCAATTTATTTTATCTGGTGGCAGTAGCACCTTCGTACAGTGGAGTTTCAGACGGCAACCACTCTCCCACTAGATGCAGTGACGACCTGGTAAGAGATGCAGGAAACATTATTTGGGGGAGGCCTATTAGCAGTGGTTTTTTAAAGAGCTGTAATGATAATAAAGGTGATACTATTACATCCCGAATGTGAACTGTTTAAGTTCATCGCTTCATCGTGTTAGTAGAAGATGTAAGCTCTAACGAACAAAGTCAAAACTATACACCATGATGCAGCTGCAGTGGGTATAGGTGTGACAACTTAATAGAGGGTAATAGATTCGTAAATGCACTGACCTCTTAGAGCTCAATGTATATGTTTATTTGGCCTCCGGTACACTGTTACCACTTGCCTACAGCCTATATTAAAGTCCACTGTTGAACCTAGGCCTCCCCCATAGATTGCCTCATAGGGAGAATATTTGCGGTAAGCGGTTTGGCAAACGCAGTTTTTATGTTTAGTCGATATGTAGGAAGACGCTGCTGCCCATCTCCTGATTTGTTTCCCTCCGTCGTTTCTTACGATACCCAGGGGTTGATACAGGGTAGTGGATATTCTTATACTGCAACTATACGGTACTGTAGGTACTGTGGGCCGCAGCAACCACTTATTATGTGTTGGACTGTATGCTCGTTAGTCAACCTTATTTTCATTTAAAAAATCAAAAGAGAAAGGGAAAAGAAATCACAAATAAATCGAAGCAGAGCTCTAATAACCTAATAATAAGATTGAAAAAATAAACATTATTTCAATCTTTTAACGCCAGCCTATCTAAACTTTTATCGCCAACCATCTCAAAGGTAGCTAAAACAAAACAGTGTTGAACCTACTACAGCGGACCCCCGGTAACCCGGCTAATACTTCCCCTCTTGTAATCCGACATGTCTTTAACTCGTAGGTAGATTCAAGTCGCGCTATGACTCCGCCACGGTGGGTGGTGTCCTTCGCGAATACGTGGACAAACAGGTTGCAATAGGACGCGTATGGCAGGGTTGCCAACACTTTTTACGTAGATCTACGTATTTTAATTAGAAAATCTGAGCAACACTGGCGTATGGTCTCAGTTCAAACGTAACTATGGTAGCGGCCTAGCGGGTTTTTGTTATTTACTGTTTCGGTATTCATTGTGCATTACATGACATTTTTATTTTTTATATTTGATATGATGTAATCGTTCAGATTACAAGGTACTCTTTTTCAAAAAGTTGCGGGGGGCTGTGGCAGTACTCTATAGTCCGACAAATTCGTTAATCCGACACCGCCTTGCCAAAACGTTTGTTGGATTACCGCGGGTCCGATGTATGCAGAATCCTTAGCAGTTTTCTTGCGATTTGATTACAGTTGTATATTGTTGCGTCAAAACATCAAATTACTCACCAATTTTCCCGACAGCGCTTCATAAAAACAGAGTTCTCCTGTTTTATTCATAGTGGCCAAATGCTTAAAATCCGGTGCTATTAATTGAATTTTAACAATGTTCCTTAAAGAGACATTTTTTTATTTAAACTCGATGTAGAATGCTAGGGAGTATATTGTGAAGTAACTAATGTCTAGTCGGGGACATGCGATAGGTTGCAGCGACAATCGTTGACAAATGATGATTTCGACGGCTCCGGGTTATTTTAACTGTTATTCATTAGTTAATTACAGCCTATTAAAAGCCCACTGCTGAAGATAGGCTTAAGCACAGTTTGCCTCATAGGGCAGCCATTTTTGGCATAATTGCAAAGTTTGGCAGATTTTCAACCGTTTTTTATTGTTTTAGCTGCTGTTAGAAAGTTGCTGCTGCGCATCTCCTGTTTTGTTCCCCTCTGTCGCCTCTTTCTAGCTTACAAACACCACGGCATGAAATGGGCTTCTGGATTTTTTATGCCGTCACTACACGCATCACTTATACAAGATGGTTAAATTATAATATTTGACCGGAGCTTACTAGGATACTTCTATATAATATTATACAGTACAATTTATTGTATACTAAGAAAAATACTTATAACAAATTATACAAATACTAGTGACGCACCTGGATTCGCACGCATAATGTCCTGGATTTCGACAACAGCGCCACCTACCGGGTTCTAATAATAATCTAAACCATTCTCGAATCAACCTAATCAGTAATCACACACACACAAAATTTCATCAAAATTGGTCCAGTCGCTTAGGAGTTCAGTCACATGCACACGAACAAAAGAATTACGAGTATATCTACAAAAATTGAAAGAAAACAAAAAGCGTTCTTATTGTTACATAGATATATCTTTCACAAAAAGGATTAAATAAAAAAGGAGAAATAATAATTACATAGATTACAGATAGGCAAGCAAAGAAAGCTGCATATGTTGCAGGTAAAATATTGCATTTTGTTATTAAACTGGCTTTTTCATACTTCACCCTAAAATACAACAGTAAGTAAACTGTTGCTTTTCGGCAGAAATATGCAAGAGAATGGTCATAGTGGAACCAACCTTGATGGACTCATAGACAGAAGGGGACCAACTTTCTGGCACAGTCGTTTCCGATACTTGAGATTGAGTGACGGATTTTATAAGCGGCCATCTTGCGAATGATACCTTATACACACGCAATATCATGAATCAAACGTACCTCTGTCTGTATGTATAAAGAACGACGTCGATTTTCTCCTCGGTCTCGCCAACGAGCTTATAGAGAAAGCCGCGCGCCGTCCACATGGCGGCCAACTCATACGTCGCGTTCGATATGAGCCTGACCACGCTGTCGTCTGGCTCGAAACTCCATACCACTTTCCAGGTGCTGTCCCATTTCTTAAGCAACTGGTGCATAATAAACGAAAGGAGACGTTGATGACAAAACAAAATCTTTGTTAAGAAATTTTCGCTGCTAATATGGGGCGGGGAAGTGTTAATTTTTACAGCTATTATTCTTCTTCATAACCGGACAGTACTGTGCAAGTTAGCAAGTGAAATAGTGACATGCTTAAATGCTTGCATGCTTGTTTATTACTCCCCATCATAGATTTTAAGTCTGGCATATAGGGAATGGTTATACTGCCATCTGTTGAAAATCACAAATTTTTTGGAATTTCTCATAATCACACCCACGGACTGGATTGGGATGAGGGATTCTCTTAGATAAAATCATCTGCTGAACACAGGGAGTTTCTCCCTTCTCTGCTAATCTGCTACATGCATAGATGTTCAGCATGACGTAAGCGTGCGAAATTGGGTGGATATAAAGTTACTTTATTTATAACTGGGCAAGTAGTTCTGCCCAGGAAGCGGCCAACACACTTAGGCTTCGGTGTGTTTCGCTAACGGCGCGACGACAGCGCCGCCAGCTTATTTTCAGTAAATAAATGATCTAAATATAAATGGAGCCGATGAAGAATCTAATTCAAAAACATGCCTATCACAATTTTGAAAAATATTGTATGGTTATCGTTTTTAAAAATGCGAGAACTCGAAGGTCAACATTTTTCTGGCAATTAAATTAAGTATAACTTTTTATCTCGATTAATATAAAGTATTTTAAAATTGAATGTTTCAATTGAGTATTTTTCATGTAACATGTGTATATTCTTTCCGAGCATATACCTGTTATTTTCAAAATACATCAATTTTCGCGCTCGTAATAATCGTGTCTAAAATACCTATATTCTGTTAACCTGTGTGGCCTAAAACTGTCTTATAAGTGTTATATTTGTCGCAGTTGCCACGTTTGGCAGGCGGGTTGGCAACCGCAGTACTTTATTTTCTATTTGTTATGAGGAAGACGTTGCTGCCCATCTGCTAGTTCGTTTCATTGTTTCCCTCAGTTGCCTCTCACGCCACGGCCACGGCCACGGCCACGGCCACGGCCACGGCCACGGCCACGGCCACGGGACGATATGGGGTAGTGATTAGTCGTATAACGTCACTGTACAGTGAGAAAAACGGGTTTGCTAAGTTTAACATTATTACCGTACCTCTTACTTTAGATACTTTATACATACTGAGTTATCACTTACTCGAAGTTTCTGATCGGGACCATATATTAATATACCGTTGAAGAAAGAGCAAATGCTTGGCTTTTCGGCGCCCTGTAGATCCTCTGACCATTCCAGATTTGTGATCATCCCTATGCCATCAGATATAACCTTTAAAACAAGGTTTCTGGTTCAAATTAACAATATTATACATACATAACTATAGTTATATCTACAATACTAGATAGTCTGTACATGGTGCATAGCCAATTACTATAGGTAAGGGTGAATTAGATATAGTTTTACTTACACTATAAAGATTCGCCAATGAGTCGATGGCGTATAGATGACCGTCATTGGTCCAACAGACTCCAACAAGTGCCGGATCGGATATCTCCCATCCGGTTACCTCTTCCTTTGCGCGTTTCATCATAAAACATCGTTTGTAGCATTGAGCTACTTCCCACACTATCAACCCCTCACCCCAGCATTCGCACAGAAGCATGTGAGTCTGGCTTGGCCTATAATACAAAATCATTTTCATGTTTCATTAAAATTCGCTGGTTTAACAATACTATCCAAATCCAATAAACACGATAAAAGGACCTCCGACGGCCATTTTCAATTGTGTGAGTAATACCGGATAATATTTCCATCAAATTCTTTCTTCAAATGAAATTTGAACTTCTACTACTAAGGTACCTGCGGGTAATAAGGCCTAGCTAAGGGATATTTGAATAAAACGTAAAACGTCTACATATTTTAATACAAATCGTTGGATTAGTACAGTTTCAAAACAGCATGAACGAAAAATTGTAACATTTGCCATAAAGAAAAACCAAATTAAACATTTCTAAAAACTTTGCTAGTAGGCCTTATTTTACTATGTTTGGATAATAAGGATTTATCAAAATATACGTTATATATTTAATATTTGTGATTAATAATTACAAAAATGCAGCAATTACGAATAAAAGTTCTAAAAAAATATAAACTTCCTCGTCTAACAGCACTTAATCAAGTTATTACTATAATCATGAACAAACTGATAAACAACGCACTTCTGGTGATTATCATCAGTGCGTTCGGTTGTGTCTCGAGTAATCGAGTTAGATGAGTGTTAGATTGAGCTGAGAGTTGGATTTATTGTTGGGTTGAGTCTTCTCTCAAACGAATTTTCGTCCCAGCGGCCAGTCTCCACGAAGACTAGCCTATCTGCACAGTACGGAATTATAGTGTCTGAATGTGCAAGCACGGGTGCACTCTCTACTCCCTCACAATCATCAAATCGCAATCCAACACGGTCCGAGAGAGTTTAGGCACTGGGCCAATAATTTATACATAATTTAATAACTTCTAATGTCAAAGCCTTAATTCTTTAACACACTTTATCTTTGCATTGATTGTACAGCTGAAACTTAGTCGTTTTCTGACTACGATATTAGTTTAGTAATGAAAGCGAACGATCTATTTACATTTACAATATTATTAAAGTGATATAAAATATATTTTAAAACAAAAAAAAAGCTACACACGGAAAGGGAGTATAATAAGGCCTATGGTGAAATTTAGTAGGCCTTAATAACCACCGACCTAGTATTTAAGAAAAACCAAATTTAAAAAAAAAATACGACAATACGTTATTCAAATCTTCAAGATCAACAAAGCACTTATTCACACAGTTAAAATTTGTGATTTTAGATAGCTAAGTTTTTTTTTAATAAAAGAGTGGACAAACGAGCATGCGGCTCACTTTACATTAAGTGACTACCGCCGCCCATGATCAACCGCAACACTAGGGGAATTGCAGGTGCGTTGCCGGCCCTTTAGAAAGGAGTAAGCTCTTTTCTTGGAGGTCCACAGGTCGTATCTGTCCGGAAAAATTGCCGGTGGTAAAGTATTTTACAGAAAAGTTGTACGCGGAGGAAAACTCCTTGTGAAACGTACAGTGGTGGACCGCCAAGCATCCAGATGGTGTGGATGATATCAGGACGTTTGCGGCGTAGTGCGTTCACGAAATTAATTAATCTGGGATTAATCCGAACAATTCCTCAGAGCACTCCCCGTGGCATATGCGAAAGAAAATGCAAAGAGATGCAACATCTCTTCGCAGCGCCAGTGAATCGAGCCGATCGGAAAGCACTCGGTCGTCGATGATTCGTGCCGCTCTGCGCTGGATGCGGTCAAGTGGAAGGAGCTGGTACTGGAGAGCTCCAGCCCAGTGATGGGAACAGTATTCCATGTGCAGCCGAACCTGCGCCTTGTAAAGTTGCAGGCGGTGGGCCGGCATGAAATACTGTCCCGCTCTGCTGAGCACGCCAAGCATTTTAGAGGCCAATTTGGCTTTCTCTTCCAAGTGACCACGAACCTGCACGGCACTCAATATGTCGACGCCGAGGATTCCGATACTAACTGAGGCAACAAGGGGATTGCCTTGAAATTGAGGAGATACGACAAAGGGGTTCTTTTTAGCGGTTAACGCGCAAACTCGTGTCTTCTGAGGGTTAAACTGGACTAGATTTAATCGCCCCCAATCCGACACTCAGTTCAACAAAGACTCGACTTCAGACACAAGCTTGTTCCGGTACTCGGAGACGTTTTCCCGAGAAATATTGGCACGGCCGTTGTACGGAACATCACCAGTGCCGTCTTCCGCATAGCAATGAATGTTACGGGTTCGCAACATATTGTTGCGCGCCTAAGTTGACGTCTGGTACCGGACACTACCATCATCTAATGTCGGGGGAACAGAGAGGGCCAACAGCGAGTAGGGCTTTCTAGAAAATTCCATTCCTGAACTTTCCACCAACAGCGCCATCTAGTATCGAATAAAAGAACTAAGATTTCTGGAAAGCTCCACACTCCAACTTTCTGCATCTGGTCGGTCGGGGCCGATATTTCCTGGAATATTCTGGATGTTTCGATGGAAAAGACCTATAAAAAGTACTTGCAAGCTGCGATCGGGGCAGTATTGAATTGGCGATACGAGTGAAGCTTTCGGAGTGATATAAAGTGAACTAAAGTGTTAATTGTGACTAATTATTAGTGTGATTTAAGTTTTAACTGGTGTTCTTTAATAAAAGTGTAAACTTAGGTAATTCAATCGGCCGTTTTTATTGTCACGAACCCTAAGCTCGTAACAATATCACTGATATGCAGAAGAAACAGCGTTGGCGATAGCACGCAGCCTTGTAACACCAGCATTAATAGGCTTGTAATCGGAGCTTGCACCGTCTACAACGACCTTGATGCTCCGATCTGCAAGAAAGCTGGTGATCCAATTGCACAATTTCTCGGGAAGCCCATAGAAAGGCAGCTTCGAAAGAAGCGCTTTGTGCCAAACCCGATCGAAGGCCTTCGCAATGTCCAAACTAACGGCCAATGCCTCCCCCTTGGACTCTACTGCCTCCGCCCATCTATGAGTTAGGTAGACCAGAAGATCACCAGCTGATCGACCACGGGGAAAACCGTATTGGTGATCACTAATCAGCAGGTGATCCTCAAGGTACCTCATGAGCTGGCAGTTTACAATGGACTCCATTGTTTTGGAGAACAAGGAGGAGATGGCGATAGGCCTGTAGTTGGACGGGTCTGAGCGGTCGCCTTTTTTAGGGATCGGGTGGACGAAATCCATCTTCTATGTCTTTGGGACTACGGAGTACCGGAAAAGACGCGTTAAAACCGGTGCCAACTCTGGAGCACACGTCCTCATCACATTTGGGGGGATTCCGTCAGGCCCCTCGACATGTGGATGTCCAGATAGAGGAGTGCTTTGCTAACCGAGCGCTGTGTGAACTGCACTTCTAGCATGAAGCACTCACACCGCGGGATGGTCGGCGGCGACTCCCCCCCGTCATCGAGAGTCGAGTTGTACGCAAAGAAAGAGCCTAGCAGATCGGCTTTCTCCTTTGCCGTAACGGCTAGTGAGTCGTCCTCCCCGTGCAGAGATGGAAGAGATTGCTGACAGAAAATCCACTGGACAGCCTTGGCGAGAGACCAGAATGCACGGGTTCCAGAAGGAAGGCGAACTAGTTTCTCGCCAATTCTGCCTATGTACTCTGACTTTGCCTTGGCAATGACTCTTTTGAAGGACCTGGAGGCGGAATTATACTTCTTTTTTAGAGCGCGGGTGTTTACATCCCGGGACGTAGATGCGTCAGCCCAGGCTTAGTAGCACTCCTGCTTATAGCATGATGCTATTTTACAGGAGCGACCAAACCATGGCTGAGATTTGCCTGCGACGGGCACTACAGAGGAAGGAATAAAAAGTTCCATACCCTGAAGTACCACATCAGCGACAGAATCCGCAATAACGTTGGAATCGTCCGGCGAGAAGCAAACCCGCCCCCAAGGGTAGGATGCAAAGTAAGACCGCATGCTATCCCATGTGCATGATCGTCCACATCTGGAATCCGCGTAGGCGAAGTAACCAGTTGTGTCAGACCATATGCCAAGGCAAAATCATGAAAAGATCTCCCCGCATGATCGGTTAAACGTGAACCAAGCCATTCGGCGTGATGGGTGTTAAAATCGCTGAGGATCACGATCTCTGCGTAGGGGATCTGCTGTAGCAACGAATCTGTAGCCATTTGGGCGTGGTCGAAGAGTCGGTCTGATTCGGTATTACCACTATGGGACCTATAGAGGCACCCGTAGACGCGCGGATGGTCGTCGCTATCTACGCGTAGCTAAATGATAGACAGGTCCGAACCTTCAAGACAGCCGACGCGACGAGAACAGATGTCAACTCTGACGTAAACGCAAACTCCAGCCCGAGGCACCAAGGAGTGTTCCAGTTTGTACCCCGGGTAGGAGAGATACGAGACATCAGCCGGAGAGGACACCCGCGTCTCGGTCAAATAGAGCAGAACCGGCTTCGCCGTCTTGAGATGGTAGTGGACGGCGTTTAAGTTAGAGTGAAGTCCCCTGATATTACAGAAATTTACGGATATCGTGGCAGGGATCGCCTTGGACTTGTTGCTCCGTTTGCCCCGACCAGTTGTAGTCTTGAGCGGAATTTTGTAGTAAGTGAGAGTAAAAAAGTGAAGCACTTATTTACTAGGTATCCTAGTTTCAGCCAAACCTTGCAGTACAAAACGTAAACCCTTTGCTATATATTTTATTAAGTCAATATTCGAAGTTTGAGTTTGGAATTAATATAATAATTAAATTTAAATGCCCTTACATGTAAATTTGCTTTCTCTTTAAAACCCCCGTAGGCAAGGCCAGTAATCTCTGCTGCGTCCGCCAGTTCCACACCGTCACAAGATAATTAGGAAAGCCGGTGAAGCCAGCCACCAAGTCGCACTCCATCATACATAAACCCTTGTATCTATTCACTTCTGTGTCTGCAATTTTTTTATTAGAGATGAAGACAAATTTAATATGTATTTCAGTTCTGTGCCTTCGGCTTGAACATTCGGAGATTAAATATTAACTAAAATAAAACGTTACAAAATGTACTTAAGAATGAATGTATTTAGTGCTGCAGTTTGTGGTTAAGTTACGCCACGAACATATTAAATAAATTTTTTTCATTACACATCACGTCGCGAGCGCAGTTAGTTCACTTATCGTTCTTGACACTCGAAACGTCCGCGGACGCGTCCCGTGCCCCGTTCACACTGTCCGCGGACGCACAAACATCCAGCCGGCCAGATTGTATTCGGACGTCTGAACGCTCAAGAGCGACGCAAGGTCATGTCCGCGTCTCACGACCGATTGTTTGCACAGTGTAGTATTAAATGTACTGGCTAGATTTCAATAAGCCGCGTCAGTTAGCCGCGGCTGACGGACGCGTCCGATAATTTGTTCTTAGCTCACCATACTCGAGTATACTCGAGTCGTTTTACATTAATATCATGGACCCAAACACTCCTTTTCACTTGTAGTATTAAATGTACTATATGTACTATAGTGTAATCTAGCCAAGATTTCAATAAGCCGCGTCTGTCAGCCGCAGTTGACGGACGCGTCCAATAGTTTGTTCTCAGCTTTAGACTTCTACGGTTGAGTCAAGCGTATGCGTTGGTACGGTGAGGTGGCAATGCAATCACCCTATTAATAGTATCCTATCTACGAGTATGTTAGTAATTATAAGCTGTAATATTAAATTCACCTTTCAGTTGCGCCAATTCTTGAAATGTAGGATAAATTAAGACAAAGATCCTCGGTTGTTTTCTCTTTTCAGCGAATACAAATATATTCGATCTATGACCTGAAAAACACGTACTATAGTGATTTGTTGCAATAAAGATCAGGCCACACAGATCATATCGCAAAAAAAAAGATGAAAATAAGTTTATTATTCGTATGAAACTCTGGTCAGTTACCGACAATTTATTTTTAAAATACGATTACTTACAGGTAAAGATACGATTATTACAGTTACAAATTTTCCTCTACATTTTTGACGAGCTAAATGAAATTATCTTGTTGATCTTGTGATACATTTAAAAATGGATTATGCCTTGAGGACATTTTCACACTACGATTTTTTTGCCGGACGAATCATTAATTTGATAGGCTTGAAGTGCCTAATGGATAAAAGACTTTCTAAGCCCGTGTATAGCTGATATAACAATTAAAAAAGAGTTTTGGTATAATGCATGGCTCTAGAAATATTTTTTGAAAGCTGTTACAGATAGATCTGATTCAGACTCATGTAACTTTGTATAGAAGCTGGTGCAAAATCCTTTGAAAAGACTATATAACTTTAACCATACACTTTTGTGCTTTTGCAACTCTTTTTAAAGGAATCTACTAATTCCATCTATTTGTAATCGATACAAATAAAAATTATAAAAAGAAGTCAGCTACTCAAACGATATTAACTAACATAAACTATCTAAAACCAGTATATCACTCCGTGAAATATATTATCATATCATTACAGCCTATTAAAATCCACTGCTGAACTGAGGCCTCCCCCATAGATTGCCATAGTTGCCATGCTTGGTAAGCTAGTATATAGTAAGGTTGGCAATTGCAGTTTAGTTATTTTTAGTCGTTATTAGAAAAACGCTGCTGCCGATCTCCTGATTTGTTTCTCTCTGTCGCTTCTTGCGACACAAACATGGAGTAAGTATGTTTTATATAATATGTCGAACCAAGAAATGATGAAATTAATACTATCAACTCATTAGAAACCTTTCTACTGAAAATTCAAACTGTATCCACATCATTGGTGGGGATTTCAATTGTTGGAACCCTGTGTGGGATTCACCTCGAGCAAACCGACGAAGAAATAGCGTCGCAGACCCTATCACAACCAACAATCTCATTATTTGTAATTCTGGTAATCATTCAACTTTTGAAGCTATAACTCATGGAATACACCGGGAATCGATTATTGGTCTCACCCTCACATGCAACTAACCACCATGTCAAGTATCAAACTGGAAAATTATTTATGGTATATAAAAATATCATCATCATTAGCCTATAATTATAGTCCACTGCTGTAAATAGCCGTCTTTCATTGTAACGAGGATTGGCTTTAATCATCACGTCTATCAGGCGGATTGAAGATATGTATAACGTTTATCAGGCGGGTTAAAGACAAATATAACGTTTCGTAATCGTACGTGCCTACGCGGTGCACAGTACCTTTTTCGTCCAATTGTTATTATAGGATTTAAAATGGTGGTGGGGAGGGGGGATTATACCAGCGCCCGTATACAAAATATTGCAAAGGACTAAGTTTTTACTGTACATAACACGTTTTACGTTGTTAAATATATCATCATCATTACAGCCCTTCACAAGTCCACTGCTGAACATAGGCCTCCCCCAATGCCACAAAACACGATCCTGATCCACCTGCATCCATCGACTTCCTGCATATCTTACCAGGTCGTCTCTCCATCTAGTGGGGGGTCGCTCTACACTACGCCTACCGGTACGAGGCTGCCACTCGAGAACCTTTCTTCCCCATCGGTTATCCGTTCTTCGTGCTATATGACCGGCCCATTGCCACTTCAGCTTACTAATCCGTTGGGCTACGTAGTCACTCTGGTTTTACTGCGGATATCCTCATTTCTGAGTCTATCACGCAGAGAAACTCCGAGCATAGCCCTCTCCATAGCTCGCTGAGCGACCTTGAGAGTTCTCATACGACCAGCAGTGAAAGACCACGTCTCAGATCCGTAAGTCTCTAGTATCTAGTTTTCAGAGTTTGAGGTATACCTGACGAGAAGATGTGTCGTAATTTCCCGAACGTTGCCCAGCCGAGTTGAATCCGTCGATTGACCTCTCGGTCGAAGTTGGATTTACCTAGTCGGACTATTTGTCCCAGGTAAACGTACTCGTCAACAACTTCGAGCATAGTGCTCCCAACAACTACCGGCATAGGTGTGACATGGATATTAAACATGATTGTTTTGTCCATGTTCAACCTATCCGTTGGGAGACACCATTGAGTGTAGAGTTGAGATTGAGTGTTGAAAGTACCGTACCCTTTCCAGTTCAGTAGCTTGAAAACATCTTCCAATGCAGCGGTGAAGAGTTTCGGGGATATAAGTCACCCTGTCTTACACCTCTCTGCAGTTGGATAGGTTTAGAACTCTGGTTCTGTACTCGGATAGCCATCGTAGCCCTACTGTACAAACACTTCAACACTTAGATATACCGACAGTCAACTTGGCATCACTGAAGGGCTTTCTCATAGTCCACATACGCCAGGAAAAGTGGCAGATTGTACTCTACGGTCTTCTGTACAATCTGCCGCAGGGTCTGTATGTGGTCTATGGTACTGAAGCCTTTTCGGAAACCGGCTTGTTCGGGAGGTTGGAAGTCGTCGAGTCTGCGTGCGAGACGATTCGTAATGACTCTCGAAAACAGCACGTAGACGCGGCTCAGAAACAAAAATGGTCTGTAGTTCTTCAAGAGAGCGTTGTTGCCTTTCTTAAAGAAACAAGACCACCGCACTTCTGCTCCACGCCTCCAGAGTAGTGCCTTCATGGAGGATGGAATTAAAGAGCTTCTGAAGGACTTTAAGTACCGGTGTTCCACCCGCTTCAGAAGCTCCGCTGTAACTCCATCCCCGCCTGGGGCCCTGCCGTTTTTAAGGTGCTGGAGAGCCATTCTAATCTCGCTCAGATTGACGTCTGGGATATCATCGGAATAGTGTCGGATAAGACTTGCTCTTGGATCGTTACTTGTGTGTGGCTCCAACGATGATGTGTACAGCTGCCCATAGAACCTCTCTATCTCACTCAAAATCTCAGGTGTCCCGGAAACGATGCTGCCGCACTCAGTCTTCAGCTTTGACAGTTGGCTTTTTCTGGCAGACAGATCTCCGGCAAAGACTTTGGTTCCGCTCGATCGCTTCTTCAATACGAGCTGTATTAAAGTTGCGTAAGTCTCGCGCATGCATTTGGAGATCTGACTGTTCAGTTGTCTGTATGCTGTCAAATCTGCTGACGATTGCAGCCTTATCTCCCGTCTAACAGCCATGAGATTAAGAGTATGATCGGAAAGTTTTTGTGTTCTTCTGCGGCGGGTCTTTCAGAACTTAGCTCCGACCGCAAGGACAGGACCCTGAAAGCGGTTACATAACTCGAGCTGAAAGTTTTCGGGATTCTGGATTAGAGCACGATGGGGACGGAGCGTTAACTTCATTAGACGGGACCACTCCAACTTAACGGTTAGGTTCAGTGTGCCTCTAACCATTCGGTGATCGCTGCCAGTTTGCACCCTGCGATCACTGAGGCATCACTGAACAGTTGGCGTCTGGTCGTCATAATGAACTCAATCTCATTTTTTGTCGAACCGTCGGGGCTCGACCAGGTCTACTTTCTTTGGGGCCGCTTCTGGAAGAAAAAGTTTATCATAAAAAGTCCCTCTTTCTCCATGAAGTCGGCCAGCTACTGGCTCCTTGGGTTCCGTTGCCCTATCCCAAATTTCCCTACCTTCAGCTCACCGTTCTTTCTTGTACCCAGTTTTGCGTTGAAGTCTCCTATTAACACCGTGTAGTGAGTTTTGGTAGAATGCATGGCTCTAGAAATATCCTCGTACATTTCCTCCACCTCCTCATCGGGATGTTACGTTGGTGCGTAAACCTGTATGACCTTCATCGAATACCGTTTGGTGATTCTGAGTATAAGGTACGCAACCCTCGTCGATACGCTCCCAATCCTTAAAACGTTGTTAACGAAAGACTTGTGGACGATAAATCCAACAACTCCTTGGGACAGATGGTCGCCCTTCCAGTGATAGAACAAGAACAACAATTCGAGAATCACCGTATCCTCCCCTCTCTTCGGACCTCGGATAATCCTATAATATTCCTGTGCAACTTGTCTATCTCTTCTTCCAGCTCCAGGATCTTCTCGTCAGTCCTCAGGATGCGTGTGTTATATGTTGCCAGGTACGAGTCGTCGTAGATGGCAACCGAACCTCCACCGAAGATTCTTAGCACCCCCTGCCCCGCCCTTGCCATGGCCGCCACCGTAGCCAGTAATAGCGGGGCCGCCGGGGACTGAGGGCTGTCTATTTGTGTAATATACCCCATATTGCCATAGTTGCCACACTCGAAAAGCGGGTTGGCAACCGAAGTTTTTTTGTTGTACAGTTGCTGTTATCAGAAAGATGCTGCTGCCCATCTCAAGCCCGTTTCCTTCTGTCGTCTTTTACGACACCCACGGTAAGATATGGGGCAGTGGATATTCTTAACCGCCCCTACACGGCAAAATATAATATGCACATAATGTAAGAAAATGTAACTAAACCTGCAACAACATCAACTCCATCGCCATTATCTTCATTGTTGACGACGTACACAATTTCGCTGTTTGTTTTTAAGTTAAAAAATGTAATGTATATGTCGTGTGCCACTGCTAAAACATCTTTTCCGACAAATGTCATAAAGTCCAATCTATTAGGAATCAACCATCTGCAAATATTAAAATGCCGATCGAATATTTTTCACTGCACTTGCGGTGTCAATTTTTTTCATTGCAATTACGAGTACCTAATCACTTATTAGTAAAAATACTACTATCTAAAGCCGGAAATAAACTTATTTTGTATGAACGAATGTTTTATCCTGTAATTGTGTTAGTAATAAGTTAAAGTGTAAGTATTAGAAAATTGTTGCAGTGCTTGAAATTAACAACGCGAATATTATCATCAGTATACACATAATAATTTTACAAACATAAGAACATAATTATGTTCTCCAAACCGAATTTCGCTCACAGCGGCCGGTCTCAACGGAGACTCGCCATCTTCGCAGGTGATATTAATAGAGCACGATTGAGTTAGCAGTATGTTTGAGGAAAAAAGGTGAGAAAACCCAATGGGGAGCAACAGATTTTTTTATGTATAGAGATATTAGGATGTCATCATCATCATTACAACTGTGTGCGCAAACACAGGTGCACTTTTTATTACCTCGCTCTCATAGTCCGACGGGATGACAATCGGACACGACCGGAGTTTGATCATGGGCAGGACCAACGGCTTTACGTACTTTCCGAGGCACGGAGTTCACCTCCGGTAATTTCCTATAAAACTCCGGGCTTTTACGAGAATTTATTGACAGATGACGCACGATGATGAATGCGTTTGATTGCAATGTTATGGTCGGCGTGTCTGTAAGTGACAGTGTAACTGCTGACAACCAGACCGATTAGGGTCATATTCACATATTATGATAGGATTCAATAGATTACGCTGTGGTCAAGTTATAACAAATTCTATATTTAAGGATCAAAATTACTCGTATTCATTATATATGTTAGTTTAAGACCAAAAAGAAAATCACTAAATTTGAATACGATAGGTGGCGCACTGGTTTAGTTATTAATATATCCTAAATTTAGGTACACTGTAAAAAGTCTGAAATGAATTCAGAGTGCAACTTGTCGCGTCACCTAACGGAAAGGGCAGAACAACAGGCCGATCTTGTATGTTTTAAAATGTTACTGTAATACGATGATTATATCGTGATGAGTTCCTATACGGTAAATCACATTAGCTATTTCTAGGAACCGCTAGCTAGATATCTCGTAAAGTTAATTAATAGATAGTTTTGCCTGAAGGAGTTCTATGACGTAGGAATACTTGGGCGACGATAAAAAAATTCAATTTCTATCTTATAGTGCGTAACAGGAACGATGAAGATTTAGTACCTCTGTTCGTCGGTTCATGACACACATATACTTTATTAGATTAACTTAACACAATGCACAAATTACCAAAAGTTTAAAAAAGGAAATATATACAATAATTAGAATTTTAATATTAAAATTTTATTATTTTTTTTAATATTAAAATAGGAAATTTTAATATCATGAAAAGCATAAAAATCGAAGATGGCGCTTCTTATTGTATAGCAATTTTACCTTGTTTTTGGATTATATTCGGCACTTTGTTTTTCATCAGAATAAGTCGTCTCCATATTCGTCAACTTTTTTACTAAATTATTTTAACTTATATCAAGAAGCATTAACTTAATAACATATATACTTGTCATGAAAACAATAACAGCGTATAGCTTGGCGTGGCTGGTTATTTTAGTTTCATAGCAACGCAAATATTGTTTTTTTGCTTATAAGAACATATACTAATTTAACTGATATATAGATATACATTATGTATAAGATATACTAAGCATATAGATACATTTATTCAAATATATTTAGGAAATAAATTTATTAAAGTGATAATTACGATATACCTTACCTTATTTCACTGTCGACGTCCGTAACGGAACGTAAATATTATCTGCCATCAGTAGGGTAAGTAATGTGCCGTCTAATATGCCGTATAATATTGCCTAAGGGATTCGGGCAAAAATTCCAATAAAAGTGTACATGAATTATTGTCATTATGCATGCATTAGATTAATTTTGCTTTAAGTGTAGTTTTTGAATATTCCTTTACTCATTATAAACCAGTGCTTGAATTACATGCCCAACTGGTGATGAAGCCCTAGATTGCAAATCGCACTAACTTCGCGAATTCGCTAAGTTAGTGCGATTCGCTTTGAAGAAAATTGGCTTTGAAAACGCCCAGATTATAATAGGAGGAAAGACAGATTACTTGACCCGCTTGCTGTACGCATTCCGAAAGATCAATTTAAATGGTATATAGACAACAAAAGTAGGAAGACATGCCTGTGGCCTGGTTGTCCGATGGTGGAAAGGGGAAGGAGTAATCGAGGCGTATATTTCTAATCATAGAGTACTATAATACACAATAGAATGGCTGTCAACCTTATTTTGTACGTGGTTCGGTATCGCCGGGAGCATACATTTTTTTTATAGAAGAGGGGGCAAACGAGCATGCGGCTCACCTGATGTTAAGTGAAATATAACATACAAGCAATTACGTTGTATTATCACTACTACAAACCCGATTCGCTGTATTGACAGACAGAGCGAATTTACATATTTTAGACCGTAGACAGAGAAACCTATAGACAAATTGACGCCTTCTTTCGCATTCGCACACGAAAAAGATAAATTTATGCATACCGATTGTTTGTTTGTCTTTGAAAACCACACAGTAGAACAACCGATTTTTTCTATGTATAGAGATATTAGGATGTCATCATCATCATCATTACAGCCCTTCACAAGTCCCTGCTGTACATGCGCCTCCCCCAAGTTATACCTCAAAGCACGGTCCTGAGCCACCTGCATCCATCGACTTTCCTCGTCTCTTACCAGCTCGTTATTCACTCTTGTGGGGTCACCCTACACTTCGCCTACCGGTGCGAGGCTGCCACTCGAGAACCATTTTTCCCCAACGGTTGTCGATTCTTCGAGCTATATGGCCAGCCCATTGCCACTTCAGCTTACTAATCCATTGGACTATGGCAGTCATTTTGGTTCTACTGCGGATATCCTCATTTCGAAGTTTATCACGCAGAGAAACCTCAATCATAGCCCTCTCCATAGCTCGCTGAGCGACTTTAAGCGTCCTCATACGGCCAGCAGTGAAGGACCACGTCTCAGTGTCCTCATCGACTGTCTGCTGGGTAGATAGTTTACTCCCGTTCTATATAAATAGCTGTTGAATATTCGATTTCTTCAACTACATCCGTAACACCTGTGCATCTAAACGTATTTAACAGCAGAGTATATAAAACAACGAGTATTTTTGAAAAACTTACGGAAAAATATTGGTACACATAATCGTCTTATTTAAATTAAACAATAATTAATAGGAACTATAATCCAACATTTTCATACATTTGTAAAATAAATATAACTATAATAAACTATGTAAAATGACTTACGGTTGTTTTTTTAAATAAAACCGATATATCAATATTTTTTTCGATTTAAAAAACTCCGATATAGACTTACTGTATATTAACTTACGATATATAAAACTCCAACATTATCTCCAGATATATTTATAATTATCGATATATCAAAAACACGATATTTAAAAAAATATCACAGTCCTAGTATGGACTGATCAGTTGGAATGAACAGCTGAACTGACCGTGTGTGTGGAAATTTCTTTGGCTTAAATTCTTTCAAACTGATATCAGTTTGACTGATGACTTTAACTGACCGTGTGTGGCCACTATTAAAGTTAATAATTAAGAAGATTTCTTAGTTTCATATCATTATTTAGGATTTAGAATAGAAAACAAGCTTAGATATGTCACAAACACAAATAGATTTTCAACAGAAGACGACAAGTAATTCAGAGATAAGTACGTAAATTTTACGATAGGAATTACTAAGCAACTTAGGCAAAGACTATTAGACAAATATCGCTATTTATTAGAAGTGGATCAACTAAAGTTTCAAATACCTACTTTAAAACAGGTTAGAGAAAACATCACACTACTGGTGCAAGAAATGGGCTATGATGAAAAATTCCTCAATAAAGTAGAAACGCAATGGAATAACATTACCCTAGTGCCGCGGGGAAAAAAAGAATTACACAATAGCATTTTGGTTTAAAGTTTTACAATATAAAGATGCGGCTGACATCAGTCCTTTCAAATAATTGTGTTCTTTCGCTCTTTTAATTATTTCCTTACCCTGGTCTAACGCTGGAGCTGGAGTTGAAGTTAGCTTAATATTGCCAAGAACAAATCCCTAAACATTCTTAAAAATAACAACACCAATGCGATTCTGACTATTAAGTCAGGATTACGACGATTTAAAAGATGCTGTCACAACTACGATTTGTCGAAAGATGTATTAAAAAAATAGATACAATGCCAAGTTACGAAAATTCAAGGGCGAATGAAGAAAAACCAAGCAAAAGTGGAACAGCATTGATTAATTTAATAAATGATTGTTTTGACTACAATAAAGCCTGGCGTCGACGACAGTAGAAACGCGTCGAATTGAAGCGAGTCGCATTTATTCCTAGTACGTCCATCTCTGAAGAATCGAATCAAATCACTCATTCACCGCAAACTCTTCATCAAATTAGGTCGTTTTTGCGTCATGGACAGCTCATATGAAGATATGTGAGATTTATTTCAAATACTTTTTTTAAAAGCAGAGGAGAATAGAAAAAGGATACGGCGTGCTCCCAAATACTGGATACACGACATTTATTTTAATACATGAAAAGAAATAACCAGGGCGAATTTCATCATTTATATCCAGATTTGAAAAGGGATCCTCTTAAATTTTTCGATAATTTCGTTTATCCTACGAAAAAGTTCTTCATTTGTTTTTATTTAAACAATAAGATTTTTATGAAAACTCAATAGAAATTAATAAAAATACGTTGGCGCGCATCAACTTTTCCGCGTCGACTGGGCGCGCCGAATCGAATCGAATCGCATCGGCGAAGAAATTCGCCTGACAAGCAATTCGCGCGGTTGATTCAATTCGGCGCACTGCGGCTCGTTGCCAATGGACCCAGTTTCATAGTAAATATATAGGAGGCGACCGCCAATTTTTTATACCGTCTAAAAATTCTTCATTTACATACTTATTTGCAAGTGTTACTTTCAAGATTATTAGACATTCACTTATATGTTACGCCATGTCAATTTATGCTATTAATTAAAATATTAATTTCTTATACTCTTTTTTTTTAGCTCTTTTTTACTAAAATAATTAGCTCTTTTTTCATATCCTTCTAGCTTTCTTTCCAAATACAGTGATGGCAACCACAGACTAGATAGAGAAACATGGCAACATTGCATAGAGTATTATTATTATTAGCTGGCCTAAAGGTCTAGATACCAGGCCATAAACTCCAAAAAAAAAAATTATTATTAGTGAGATGAGAACTGTCAAAGTGTCAAATCAAATGTTCGAGATCGGAAATAAATTAATTAAATGAGAAAATGGAAACAAACGTCGTAATTAATTATCATTTGCCTAAATATTACTTATCATGTGAAATGTGTTAGTGTCTTCTTATAATATCATAATGTAAGTTTTGTTATCATGGAACACACACCCTTGATTAAAAAATGATGACACATAAAGTTTTATTATTGTTTTGCTTTTGATTTTTGTTATTAGGGAAAACGCGACTGGATCGTTTGTCGATCCAGTGGCGGCGAGATGGAATTCATCCTCGATAGATTTCGCGGAGATCACGATGGATCGAAACTTCGCCTTGTTATTGGTGTCCCTGATATCTGCCATCCTCTGGATCGTTTATATAACGTACTACAACAGTCGAGTGCTTGGATATATACTTACCAGACTAATAAACAAATTCTACTTTCAAGATGAGAACTTTAAGATTGGTGAGTAGTTCTTTTTGCTTCATTAAATGTATTCAGAAAGGCAAAGTTGAAATGTCTTGATTTTGTTGTGTAAAGCAAAGGACTATGCTACTATATACTAATTACATGTTGTGTGTACCTATATAATTATAGGGTATTGTCTATGTTAAACATTTATCTTGTAGGAAGTTTGTTTTCATTCACACATTACATTTTTAAAAGTAATGTAAGTGCAACCATGTGGCCAATATTTATTTTTTATAAAAGAATTGAATTAAGTAAATTTAGTTGTTAGAAAGAAAACGAAGGTTCTGTGTTATAACAGATTCTTATTTTAATTAAGCTTATCAGCTTTCATTTTCACCTGAAGCTTGTTAACTGTTGTAGTCTTATATTTGGCTTAAGTATGTTATTATGCTTAAATATCATCAAAGGCCTCCTCTACCTTTCATGTAGTCTTTATTTAAACTAATTTATGAAAATTGCACAGGATTGTGAAATTATGATTTAAAATGTGTTTTATTGAATTTTAAGATATCTTGAAATGGTCACAGAGGTTCTGTAAGTAAGAATATTTTCAAACTCATACAATAGTGTAGAAGTTAATGTATACTTTCATAATAACATTAAACATTATCAAAATATCATTGTCCACGCTGCATGTCATGTCATAATTTTCCAGTTGCAAAAAACTATAAAAATTATTATATAATGTAAATGAATACATGGTTGATAATAACCCCTGGGAATCAAGTGATCGCTTCCAAGCTGTTTCTGAAATAAATTTTGTTAATGTTTTGTAACCATTCTCTTTGTATTTTTTTTTAAAGTCCTGTTGTGTTTCTTTCTGGTTCTTCCTAGAACAGAGGTGTTTCGTGAGAGATATTATTAATGTAAAGCTTTAACCAAATTGACCATTTTCTTCTATTATGTAATAAACATATTAGACCAAACAGGTAGCAAGGAGGTGTTCTGAATTAAACTACTTACTGAACTACTGTTAGGTACTGGTGGCAGGCTCTGAAGGTTTAGGGCATCCTAATTTACACAAAATGCTAATTTAAATCACTGATTGTCATTAGTACACAAATTCTATAATTTTCCAGTGATATTCCATTTGGTCAACTACAGGTGATTAAGTTTTTTAATACATTTTTTATTTTACTTTTATATTCACTCAATATATTTCAATAAATTATTATAATTCTTGAAAAAATATTCCATTTGTTGACCACCTACACTTTTTCTACAGACATAATGTCACAGAAAAAAACTTTTCCAGTATAGGATGTCATAATGTGAAATCCAAGTGATAGACAAGATAAGTAAAGATGCGAAAGTTAGAGAAACGAGCCAAAAATATAATATTCCCAACACATCTGTCATAAATAAAATAAAACTGAAAAACAACGTTATGAGCCTTGTAGCATTAATGATTACATGTAACTTATAGACCGATTAAAAGTTATGATATTTACTGATTACAAAACTTAATTAAGTTCATTAGTATTAATAATAAAATTATTCTTCATTAAAAGCATTTCTTTTTTATTGGTACACATCTGGTCCACTTTAGGCACATTATGACTTGCCACATTCATTTTCAATAAAAATAAACTTAATGGCTACTATGAAAAACTAAATAAGCCACATGATTATATGGTCGATAAGTAGTATGATGATTTTTTTTGTAATGATTGTTGCAATAATTGAGTCACATCATCAAAATTTGTTTCAAAATGTCACTTAATTGGTTTGTTACTGGTGCACTTACCTAGTTTACATGGTGAGAAAAAGATTTGTAGTTGATAAGTGATGATGAAGCATATGGCTTCTGTGATATTTATATTACATAACTTCTGTTTACACTTATTCTTGTTTTATTATCAAACCTAGTTAAGTGTACACCTGGTTGGTTTGGAACTTGACAGAGGTACTTATCCTGATAAACTCCTAGAAAAAAAGTGACCTACGCAGTAAAAAAAGGAATACACATGAATACACATACATTAAAAATAAAGAGTTATTAATATAAAAGTGGTCAACTGATTTGCTGTATATTAAAGTGGAAATATTACAATACAAGTTGATGGATTTTTTTGGTGTACTCAAGCATAATCCATTTCTAATTGTGAAGGTTTGCTTTGTTTGATAATTGAAATGTTTACTACAATTTCCTAACCAAATTAAATATTAAAGGTAAAATGTAACAATCATCATATTTTACTTTTAATAAAATGTTTGGCTTCTAGCAAATACTGATTATAAACGAAATTGCTAATAAATAAAAGAATGAAAATTAATAAGCTACTTATTGAAGTAGCAAACAGTATAAACCCATTATTATGACATTACATATATGTTGTCTTCATAAAAATGTTATTAAAATAACTGATTTTATTATAAAATTAGTATATTTTGGAATTAACTTTCATTTTGTTTATAACATTTAATTGGTTTACTTAAACGTTTTTTAAATTCATAGTTTGACTGCATAAACAGTAAGTAATATGTGTATGATTTTGCAGTTATCAGTAATTAGTGTATTCATGAAAATAAGTTGCAAAATACAGTAATTCAGTATGGACTTAGCAGTAAATAGGCAGGCTGTCTAGAAATTGGATTATCTAGTAGTTAGAAATCTTTTATAATTGTATTTAGTTAATCCAGTATTAGTGTCTACAGAACAAGATTTAAGAATACAGGAGGAGTGTTCATTAATATAATATGTGTTATTGAATGACACTACAATTGGTGAAGTTATTGCCTTGCGGTGTTCTTTAGTAGTGAACCCTTGGAGTAGAGACAAATATCTTTGAAAATGTAGAAACTTACAACATTCTTCATGACAGGTGTAAAATACCCAGACAAGCGACAGGTAGCAGCATTAAATGTGCGAGATGTCTGACACTGCGACAAGCAATTCCCTAATCCTCATTATAATGCAAAATAATGATGACAATATTCCCCTTCTTCAGAGAAGAATAATTACTAATGTTAAAACACATACTTAAATACACACATATACATACTTAAATAAACACTTGTCATATAGTATAGAGTGTGTAAGTTAATTTTTGTCCACAGGTTCCTTCACCCTCAATGCACTTTCTGGCAAGATCATGTTCCGCGACATTGTGTATATCAACTATGACTACACATTACGCATACAAGATGGTTACTTGATATTCAGATGGTGGCGGTCTTATGTACCCAAAGATGCTTCAGAAGGTGGAGTACGGTTTTTTATTTATTATTCTTTTATATGATTATTTTGATAAATAAATTGAACATCTGTTCAAATAGATGGGGGGCTTAGTGGGATACTAGACAACTATATCTGCCCAGTAAGAAGGAAAAAGATAATAATTCGTTAATTAAAACACATTGTTACATTTTTACAACTGTGATTTATTTTATATTAAATAACAGGTTATTAAAATGACACCCAACTCAGTGCAAAATTGTGGTAATGCCAGAGGACTTTGTCGCTGTTCTTTGGTAGCGTGTCTGCCATTGAGCATTAAGTATTAGTCGAGCTTCGTAGCGTATTGTCGAAATTCTTTTGTATAGAAAAATCATGCATGTATTTATGTTAACTTAATTTCATTGCCTTAATGGCAACATGGCGTAGTATCTTCCTAATTATAAATTAGGTTTCATTCCATTTTTCTCCTTTTAGAATAAATTATAAAAGAAACATTACAGCTTTTCAAAAGTCCACTGCTGAACATATTATATTTGGGGATATTTGCCATAGTTGCCCAGTTTTTCGTTGGCAACCAGAGTTTTTTTAGTTGCTATTAGGGGGACACTGCTTCCCATGTCCTGGTCTATCCTCTGTCTCTTCCATATCTCTTACGACAGTTATGAGACGATTTGTAGACCACCATTACATGGTTAAAATGAAATTTATTTGATTTTTGTTTGTTAACATGTCGATCCCATTAAAAATTAATTTAAAATCTATACATGTAACATTAATCTGCACATACTCAATGCAATATTTGCGATGGGGGCATGTAGGATGCTTTGTGTAATACTCATATTGTAAACATTTATTTTATATGTCCTTATATATAATTGCCTTGCCCCTATTCCACTCACTTTTCATTAAAAAATTATGTAAGTCTTCTATTACTCCACAATTTTCACAATTAGGTGAATCAGTCTTTTCATTAGATAAGAATTTTTTTGAAGTGAAAACTTCTTTAGCATCGTTGTGATTTAAAAGTCTATGAAACGAAAAAGCGACAGTAAAAAGAGACAGACATATATATATGATATAAATCTTTTTGTAATTAGTGAGTACTATATAAGGTTTATTGAAAAGAGTTTTTTTTTTATAGAAGAGACTTATAAAAACTTTTTATAGAAGAGTTTTATAGAAACTAGCATGCGGCTCACTTGATGTTAAGCGACTACCGTCGCTCATGATCAACCGCAACACCAGGGGAATTGCAGGTGCGTTGCCGGCCCTTTATAAAGGAGTAAGCTCCTTTCTTGAAGGTCCCCAGGTCGTATCGGTCCGGAAAAATCGCCGGTGGTAAACTATTCCACAGAGAGGTCGTACGCGGAAGAAAACTCCTTGTGAAACGTACAGTGGTGGACCGCCAAGCATCTAGATGGTGTGGATGGTATCGGGACGTTTGCCGCGTAGTGCGTTCAAGAAATTTGGCGGCTGGGATTAATCCGAACAATTCCTGAGAGCACTCCCAATGGTATATGCGAAAGAAAATGCAAAGAGATGCAACATCTCTTCGCAGCGCCAGTGAATCGAGCCGATCGGAAAGCACTCGGTCGACGACGATTCGAGCCGCTCTGCGCTGGAAGCGGTCCAGTGGTAGGAGCTGGTACTGGGGAGCTCCAGCCCACAGATGGGAACAGTGTTCCATGTGTGGCCGAACCTGCGCCTTGTAAAGTTGCAGGCGGTGTGCCGGCATGAAATACTGTCCCGCTCTGCTGAGCACGCCCAGCTTTTTAGAGGCCAATTTGGCCTTCTCTTCCAAGTGACCACGAAACTCCACGTCACTCGATATGTCGGCGCCGAGGATTCCGATACTGGCTGAGGCAACAAGGGGAGTGCCTTGAAACGATGAGATACGAGAAAGGGGTTCTTTTTAGCGATTAACGCGCAAACTTGTGTCTTCTGAGGGTTAAACTGGACTAGATTTAGTCGCCTCCAATCCGAGACTCTGTTCAGCAAAATCTCAACTTCAGACACAAGTTTGTCCCGGTACTCGAAGATGTTTTCCCGAGAAATATTGGCACGGCCGGTGTACAGAGCATCACCAGTGCTGTCATCTGCATAGTAATTAACGGCCAATGCCTCCGCCCATCTATGAGTTAGGTAGACTAGAAGATCACCAGCTGATCGACCACGACGAAAACTGTATTGGCGATCACTAATTAGCTGGTGATCCTCAAGGTACCTCATGAGCTGGCAGTTGACGATGGACTCCATTATTTTGGAGAAGAAGGAGGTGATAGCGATAGGCCGGTAGTTGGACGGGTCTGAGCAGTCGCCTTTTTTAGGGATCAGGTGGACGAAAGCCGTCTTCCATGATTTTGGGACTACGCCTAGGGAGTAGGAGTACCGGAAAAGACGCGTTAAAACCGGTGTCAACTCTGGAGCACACGTCCTCAGCACAATTGGGGGATTCCGTCAGGCCCACTCGACTTGTGGATGTCCAGGGAGAAGAGTGCTTTGCGAACCGAGCGCTGTGTGAACTGCACTTCCGGCATGGAGCACTCACACCGCGGGATGGTCGGCGGCGTACTCCCCCCGTCACCGAGAGTCGAGTTGGATGCAGAGAAAGAGCCTAGCAGATCGGCTTTCCCTTTGCGGTATGTGTCAGTGAGTCGTCCTTCCTGTACAGAGATGGAAGAGATGACTGACATAAATTCCCCTGGACAGCCTTGGCGAGAGACCAGAATGCGCGGGTTCCAGAAGGAAGGCGAACTAGTTTCTCGCCAATTTTGCCTATGTGCTCTGACTCTGCCTTGGCAGTGACTCTTTTGAAGGACCTAGAGGCGGAATTATACTTCTTTTTTAGAGCGCTGGTGTTTACATCCTGGGACGTTGATGCGTCAGCCCAGGCTTGGTAGCACTCCTGCTTATAGCATGATGCTATTTTACAGGAGCGACCAAACCATGGCTGAGATTTGCTTCAAATGGGCACCACAGAGGAAGGAATAAAAAATTACATACCCTGAAGTACCACATCAGCGACAGAATCCGCAACAACGTTGGGATCGTCCGGCGAAGAAGCAAACCCGCCCCCAAGGGTAGGATGCAAATAAAGACCGCATCTTATCCCAATCGGCTGACCTATAGTGCCAAACACGGCGGCAGGCTGCTGAATGCAACTGCGATTTCAGCGTGAGTGGCACCACACACCGAACAAGACAATGGTCCGAGGAGCCTAAAGGAGCATCGACGGAGATCTGATATCCGTTCGGGTGAGAGGTCAGCAGAAGGTCCAATAGGGAAGGTGCATGGTCTTCCACATCTAGAATCCGCGTAGGCGAAGTAACCAGTTGTGTCAGACCATTTACCAAGGAAAAATCATGACCAGATCTCCCCGCATGATTGGTTGTACGTGAACCAAGCCATTCGGCGTGATGGGCGTTAAAGTCGCCGAGGATAACGATCTCTGCGGAAGGGATCTGCTGTAACAACGAATCTGTAGCCATTTGGACGTGGTCGAAGTATATGAATATGGGTGTTTAATATATATATATATATATATATATATATTTAAAGGGATAAACCATCATTTATTTACGATAAAATTAAATTTTCTTATATTTTATGCCGATGCCGAGTTTAAATTATAATATTAAATAAATCATTTAAAGTATTTGTATTTTATATTTCTTTTCATTTGGAAGTTTCACTTCTGTCGCGTGTGAGCTCCATGCATTTTTTTTTTATTATATATTTCTTTTATTATTACGTATCTATAAACTAAGGTATTCGAGGCGGTTCACTCCGTATCGTTTTGTGCCAAATACCTTTCGTTTTATTTATTTAATGAGGTAAGAGATACACGATGAGAAATATATTCACATATTAATTAAATAATAAATTTCTATGTTAACAGTGTCATTGTTAATTTGAAACAATTTCAAAGGCATTGTTTCGGGTACTATAACTGTCACTAATCATATAGTTACAATTTCAATTACGACAAATGTATGTGTGCTATTACACTTCTTATTGTGCACATATGATACATACATCATCATCATCATATCATATGATACATATAATACTTTCTAGCAATTATTGAATCTACTTCATGTTAAAGCGGTATACGATCTTGGTGATCAGGGCGTCAACACATAGGTATGCATTTCGATTCTTAGTAGAAGATAGATATAGATGTCCATGCTTTACAGCATCCACTTATGATCGGATGAATGTGTCCATTTGTCACCCTTTTTCCCATAAAAATAAAAGTTATCATACTGTTTGAATCTATTTGGAGGTTATTGTTATCATTCCACCGCCATTACCACGGCCTTACGAGTTTAATAGGTTTAGTAGCTTAATATATGTTTACTTAATTATAATTTTATTTATTTAACAAGGAACATAATTGATAATGAAATTCATGTAAACATCTTTTTAATAGTACTGTACCAATTTTTTTTTTTTTTTTTTTTTTTTTTTTTTTATAGGATAGGGTGACAAACGAGCACACAGTCCACCTGATGGTAAGTGGTTGCTGCGGCCCATAGACATCTACATCTATCTTCCATTACAAATCAAAATGCAGATGCGTTGTCACCCGTGAGGACTGAGATGGAATGCCTCATTTCCAGTAAAAAGGGTCTCCGGTTCTCTACACTCACCATACGAAATACAGCAGCATTAAGCTACTATTTCACGCTGGTATTCTGTGAGAGCGTGGTCCTTCCCCGGTCGAGCCGACCCATTCGTGCTACAACTATACTACTAATAGCATGGCTCTACCACGTATAAAAAATTGTAATGCTACTTAATGTGTTGACACATCGTTGTTAATCGTATTCTAGATAATAGGAAAAATCTACTCCTAAAAAGCATCTTTGGCTTTGGCATTATGGGAATATGTGTAAATCTCAAAAATCAAACAAGTATCCAATAAAATGCGATGAAATAAAAGTAATAAATACATTACTATGTCTTATGTTTGTATGATATTTAATTATGGAAATGTTTGATGAATTTTGAATAATATGTGACCTCTTATTGCACCACCAGTTGCTAAGCTTTTGGCTGCGGGCCGCAGGTTATATTATTACCGTACAAAAAAATATTAGTATGGCCTTCAAATCAATGTTTCAATTCCAAGTGTTGTCCATGTTCAATTTATGTATGTACAATGCAATCATGGTTACTTAAAAATATTAATTTTATTCCAGTAACTTCATAATTATTTATAAATGTAATGCTATTTTTAATATTACATCATCATCGCCCTAATATCTCTTCACAGTCCACTGCTGTACATAGACCTCCCCCAAAAATACCACAAAACACAGTCCTGAGTCACGTATATCAATCGACCAGGAATTAGAAAAATGTTAATAAATTTTATATTTATATCACAACCGAGTATAAGTTGATATTTAAATTCAATAATATTTTTATTTATTTATTGCCTCTTTTATTACAAGATTAGTATAAAATTATATTTGTTACAGATTTATCACATTCGGACACTCGACTTTCAATAATGTTGAATGGCTTCGAATTACACTTCTACAATAGATGCGAGCTTTACAATGAACTCGAGAAAACATTTGGCCTTGAGCCTGTAATAAAAGAACGACACGATGACGACGACTCCACCGACCGCGACAAAGCTATGAACGACGCAAACGAGAAGCGCAGGCGCGCTCAAGACACAGTACGCTCGGAGGCAGCTATGGCCAGGACCTGGCGGGACCTCATTCCAGTCATAAAGGTCGACGTTTGCACCAGCCGTGTTGTTTTCGGCAATAAACTTGTTCCAACAACATTATCAATAAGCGTTGAGGAAGCACACTTGGTCTATAGTACTAAACCACCAGCTTCCAGTTTGGATCATCTAATGCATTTTGTGAAAGTTAAAGCCGAAAATTGCAAAGTTATTTTGGCTCCCAGTCCAAACTATACAGCTATGGTTGACGAACCACCGAGATACATGGGAGAAGGTTTCGTCGTTATGAGCTCCAACTACATTGAGGTCTACTTCTATATGGATGAACCAGGTTTAGTGCCAGAACAGCCTGTGCTTTTGCAGTTAGCTAATGGAGACATCGTAGAGTCAGCGCCACCTATTTGGGGTGTTGATATCAAATGCGGCAAAGGTACTGATTTCAGTTACGGGCCATGGGCGGATAGACAAAGAGACCATCTCTTTAAATTCTTTTTCCCACCTAATTACAAATCCCTGGAAGTGACGCCGCAACCGAAACCGGGCGACAGAAGACAAATGCAGTCGTTTGATATTAGACTATCAACGCTAAATGAAGCTACTATTGACATTCTGTTTACGAAGAACAAAGAAACCAACGCGGTTCACATCAATGTTGGTGCCGGATCGTACATGGAGGTGACTCTGCCGTGGATAGTGCTACAAGACGGATACACAACCAAAATAACGGGTCAACTTCTTCACTTAGAAGCAACAACGAGCCTTCAATATAGAAGCTTAGCAGAGAGTGAGACATTGGAATATACCGTCAAATGTCATTATCCATTAGTTTGGAATCATCATCAGTGCTGGCAGCTGTCACTGACTGGCTGCAAAGCTACGGCTCACTTTGTGTACACCCACATTGATTTCTTTCAAGATCTGATTAATGATTGGGCAAGCAAAGCCCGCCCCGATATTTTACACTTCGTCCCTTACACATGGAAGATTTCACTATTGTTGAAAGAGTGTGAAGTATTAACATTGAGCAATCAACATAATTGGATCGACTGCAGCTCTACCAATCAGGAAAACAATCATGTTGCCTTTTGCGGGGACTTGTTGGATGTGTCATTTGATTTACCTTTCATTGACTTCTTGCCGGACGTAATACCTCTCAAGATTTGGGTACAAGGCGAAGCCGTAGACATGAGTTTGTACCTACCTGAAGTTAATACTTCAAGATTGCTCCTACTGTCAATTGACAAGAATATGAAGTTGGTTCCTTGTCGATTAAAAGCTTCAAAATGGCGTAGGAAATGTGTCAAAAGTCAGGGTTGGGTAGATTGTTGGTCTGTCCCTATTGTGGCTTTGAGCGTTAGATACAATTACCACCCGATTCCACCGCTTGGACCAGAGCCACAAGCTGATATTACAACGCCGGAGAAAGAAGAGATTCTTCTTTCACCCATGAGAATACCAAGAATGAGAAAGCAGCCGCAAATGAATTGGGCTATTGATGGAAATACATTTGATCGGACTTCGCTGCCACCAGATAAAGTGAGTGTGGAACTGGAAGTAGGTCCCTCCGTCCTTCTTGCGTATGGAACTATAATCACAAGTTTTATGAATTTACTAGAAAATATTTTCGGGGAAGACCAGAGATTCACTGACATGCAAAAATCGCCGAACGTAGAAAACTTCTTCTGGTTTAATGATAACCCTACAAAACTCAACGACAGGAGCAGCATTAATCAACATGCTGATGTTTGCAATCTGGATGACTCCAGCGATTCATGCAAAGAGCCTTTCGATCCCCGCCACTGTCGGCCTCTAGATGTGTCCGTGTCTATTATTCTCCACGATATTCAAGCACATTTGGTAAAAAATTGTAGCGAAAACGAACCCCCGTGTCCTGTTGTGCTCATTGAAAGATTCGGTTTCGAAATGGACAAAAGGTTTAGAGAAACTAAACTCCAGCTTTTACTCAGCCCTTCAATTCTCATATCGTCCAATAATTTATCTAGGCCCAATGCAAATACTACCGGCGCTCTTCAACAAGGACATGTAATGCTATCGTCTTTTCAACTTCGCGGAAACGGTTTCTTTAGCGACGCCAATCGCTCCGTGGAAGAAGACACTACAGAGTATGCGTGGATGATGGAACTGCAGCTCGGTCAACTGACAGGTCGCCTAACCCTGCCACAGCTCTACCAGATTGTTTCATCTCTCGAAACGTTCCTGTTACTCATTTGCGACAGCGAAAACGAGTTGGTACCTCCAAATTCTGTAAAGCAATGCCATCATGGCTTAAACAACGTTCTATGTCCAGAAACGGACTTAGTTCTGAAATATCGTTGCCCTTCACCGAATGAAATCAAATATCGCATGATCCGAGTAGCGATCGACCTCATAGATATTTACATTGCCGACTCAAATACGACACTTCAGTCATGGATATCCCCAATTAGATTATCCTTCTGTAATCTTCATGGATCTGGTTTCGGCACTGGCATCACTGGCTTGCTCCCGAACATAAAGCTTGCATTGTATACACAAACAAACATGCAAACTAATACTCACCATCATTCCAATGGTAGTGCAAACAGCCAAAATAAAAGCACTGAAAGTGAGAATTGGGTTGGAGTAGGTTCTGTATCACTTGGGCCGGTTTTAATTGAAGCGGCTTCTTCGCTGCCTCAAGCTCCGAGAAATCTGCATTTAGTGCAACAAAAGTTTCTCAAACTTCACGATGATAAAACTAAAAGGCTGTGGTTCCTGTGGCCAAATGAAGGCAAAGGCACCCAGTGCGGATGCACAGGTGGTTGTGCATTTTTCGGCTCAAATCGAAACGGGCCGAATTTCCTAAAGCCGACACAGTCAGATATCCTCGAAGGCATCAATGTAGCTATGTTCAATGTCATAGAAACGACTCCCGGAGAATATGGCTACGGACAAAGCTTGTTGCACCCAGGGCAACTGGTGTTCCACACCCCACCGTACAATAGTTTGAATGTATGCTTGCAGCCAACAAACGTTGCCACTTTAATTCCTTCGCCTTTACCACAAGCATTGAACAAGTCGCCTCAGAGCATTGATCGACGAAGTTTGACCCGAAGGTTCTCTTACACGAGTATGGGCAAAGGTAGTAACAATGTGCTTGTTTCAAGCACCAAAAGTGACGTTCCGTACGCTCGCCTAGTTGATTCTACAGTGCCTTTAGGAAATTCCAAAATTGATAGTGACTCAAAGCTCAATAAGAGTATTCTAAATGTGCCTCAAATGGAAAGTAGTGTTTCAGATTCTAAATTGGCCCTTAGCTGCGCTGTTAAAGACGGCACAAATGGACTATCCAAAAAGTCAGTACTTACTGAAAACGAGGTGTTTGCTGCTCCTAAAGTACCAGCGAAGAGTGTTGCCGTTTCGGAATCTCATTATTCCCTCAACTCGCAACCGCCTCATGAGGAATCACTATCTCAAGAAGTCCAAAGAGCGATGTCAATCACTAGTGAAAATCATTCCGAAGCGTTCTTCTCGGCCGATGAAGACATGTTCCCGAGTCGCTCATCAAGCTTAAAACATTCGTTTGGAAGTCGCCACAGCAATCCAAAAGAAAAGAGTTCCTTCGGCATAAACGATATAACGAATGAAAAATGGACTAGTTCAATTCCCAGATCAGAGTTGGTGGACGGCCGCGACACTATCAGCAATCTTAGCACCGGCATGCAACCGGATTCCGAAAGTGGATCCGTTTCCTCTACTTCATTCATTTCGGCAATTTCTTCACAAGAAGATATGACGCTGGTTAACCTACATATGCAAACTAATAAACCTATAGTAGATTCTCCTTTACTCATGGCTAGCTACATGCATAATCTGCCACAATACAAATGCTCTAATTGGTCCACTTGCTCTTTACCTTGCGGTAGAGACGCCTTCACGTTGCCGCTTTTCAAAAGAGCTGATGATGGCTCTTTAGTTTACATTGGTCAGAAATATTTGCCTGATTTCGAGCCAACAGGTAAGGTACATATTTTAAAACTGATTTCTAAGAAAGATGGACACAATGTCCAAAATCAACACGGCCCATTCTCTAATTTGACGCCACATTTCAATTCTCAAATCAAAGCTCATCCCTATCCTCAAGGCTGGTGGGAGCTCCAGCAAAATGTGCAAGACAACCAAGAGAATATTACAGACAGGAGTACGACGTCCACTGCTACTACAACAAGCGACAGTAAAAGTGGGCTGTTTGTCAAGCTGCGTGGAGAAGTTGATGTGATGCTTACACCTCTAGTGTTGGAAAGCACCCAAAAATTTGTCGAATCTTTAACACCGGTTTTAGCTAACATTCACCCGATAACCGTGATCAATCACTTGCGGCTGCTTTGTATCTCGTCTGTAGAGCGCGCTAATATCCTGAAACAGAAACAGTATGTCTTGAACTGGTTGCCCCAGGTGCAAGCTCACAATCAGTCTAATATTGTAACTAATAAAGATGATAAGTATAAACAAATTCCAACTGTTCCACAACCGAACGTATACGAAGAAACGATATGCGAACAACTGCAAGCAACAGTAACGATACCAAAAGTTAATGTGATATTTATCCAGTCTTCTGTAGTGGAGGACATGATCTCTTTTTCAGCTTTGGATAACATACAAGATTTGACGTGTGTGTCGCTTTTCGGATTGTCAGTAGAAAACATAGTGGCGAAATTTCTTAGTTCTAAAAAGACGTTGGAATCTATTCAGTTGTACTACAGACCTACCTTGCGTGCTCTTGTAAACAAGAAGTCGTTTGGAATCATGAAGGGGCCACGCGCGTTCATATCCGCGCAGTCTTCGGGTTCTGGACGAAAGAGAGGACCAGAGAAGGGCGAGCCGGTGTTTATAGAGACTTCACAACAACAGTGTGAAGACACCACTATCACCTTGAACATTGGTATGTGTTGTATTTGGTTTTTGAAATAGATTGTTTTATTTGCGTGTAAGGAGGTTGATAAATGTTTATGATTTATTATGATAGGTAAAGTTCACGGTCAGCTACGACGTATCCGTAACGAGTCATCTCAGTTAAAAGATGCAACTGTAACCGGTATTCCATGCCAACATTCGAAAGTGTGCTTCAAGTTTACTAAAATTGACCCTTGCAGTAAGGGATGTGACACTACGGTAAGTACTGAGTATTGTTCAAGAAATCGATATTAAAAATTCTCATAGTATCTAATTCAAATCATAAAAATAGAAATCAGTGGATATGGTATTGACAATAGAGAATGGATATTACACAACGAGTATCAATTCATCATCATCATCATTACAGCCCTTCACAAGTCCACTGCTGAACATATGCCTCCCCCAAGTAATGCCACAAAGCACGGTCCTGAGCCACCTGCATCCATCGACTTCCTGCATGTCTTAACAGGTCGCCACTCCATCTAGTGGGGGGTCGCCCTACACTACGCCTACCGGTACGAGGCTGCCACTCGAGAATCTTTCTTCCCCATCGGTTATCGGTTCTTCGAGCTATATGGCCGGCCCATTGCCACTTCAGCTTACTAATCCGTTGGGCTATGTCGGTCACTCTGGTTTTACTGCGGATATCCTCATTTCTGAGCCTATCACGCAGAGAAACTCCGAGCATAGCCCTCTCCATAGCTCGCTGAGCGACCTTGAGCGTCCACATACGGCCAGCAGTGAAGGACCACGTCTCAGATCCGTAAGTCATCACTGGCAACACGCACTGGTTGTACACTTTTGTTTTCAGAGATTGAGGTATACTTGACGAGATGTGTCGTAATTTCCCGAACGCTGCCCAGCCGAGTTGAATCCGTCGATTGACCTCTCGGTCGAAGTTGGACTTACCTAGTCGGACTATTTGTCCCAGGTAAACGTACTCGTCAACAACTTCGACCATAGTGCTCCCAACAACTACCGACATAGGTGTGACATGGACATTAAACATGATCTTTGTTTTGTCCATGTTCATCTTAAGACCTATCCGTTGGAAGACACCATTGAGGTTATTGAGCATAGTGCTAAGGTCCTCCAGCGATTCTGCCATAAGGACTATATCGTCGGCAAATCGAAGGTGAGTGATGTACTCGCCATTGATGTTAATACCGTATCCTTTCCAGTCCAGTAGCTTGAAAACGTCTTCCAACGCAGCGGTGAAGAGTTTCGGGGACATAACGTCACCCTGTCTTATACCTCTCTGCAGTTGGATAGGTTTCGAACTCTGGTTCTGTACTCGGATAGCCATCGTAGCCCTACTGTACAAACACTTCAGCACTTCGATATACCGACAGTCAACTTGGCACCGCTGAAGGGACTGTAGCACCGCCTAAATTTCGACGGAATCAAAGGCTTTCTCATAGTCCACATACGCCAGGCAAAGTGGCAGATTGTACTCTTCGGTCTTCTGTACAATCTGCCGTAGGGTATGTATGTGGTCTATGGTACTGAAGCCTTTTCGGAAACCGGCTTGTTCGGGAGGCTGGAAGGCGTCGAGTCTGCGTGCGAGACGATTCGTAATGACTCGAAAACAGCACGTAGACGCGACTCAGAAGGGAAATCGGTCTGTAGTTCTTAAAGAGAGTGTTGTCGCCTTTCTTAAAGAACAAGACCACCGCACTTCTGCACCACGCCTCCGGAGTAGTGCCTCCATGGAGGACGGAATTGAAGAGCTTCTGAAGGACTTCAAGTACCGGTGTTCCACCCGCTTTCAGAAGCTCCGCTGTAATTCCATCCTCGCCCGGGGTCTTGCCGTTTTTAAGGTCGTGGAGAGCCATTCTAATCTCGCTCAGACTGACGTCCGGGATATCATCGGAATAGTGTCGGGTAAGACTTGCTCTTGGATCGTTACTCACACTTGCGTGTGGCTCCAACGATGATGTGTACAGCTGCCCATAGAACCTCTCTATCTCACTCAAAATCTCAGGTGTCTCGGAAACGATGCTGCCGCACTCAGTCTTCAGCTTTGACAGTTGGCTCTTTCTGGCAGACAGATCTCCGGCAAAGACTTTGGTGGTTCCGCTCGATCGCTTCTTTAATACGAGCAGTATTAAAGTTGCGTAAGTCTCGCCGCATGCATTTGGAGATCTGTCTGTTCAGGTGCCTGTATGCTGTCAAATCTGTTGACGATTGCAGCCTCATCTCCTGTCTAACAACCATGAGATTAAGAGTGTGATCGGAGAGTTTTTGTGTTCTTCTGCGGTGGGTCTTGCAGAACTTAGCTTCGACCGCATGGACAGTTTCCACGAGCTTGTCATTCATATCGTCCACTGCATTGCAATCTTCTAGGCACTGAAAGCGGTTACGTAACTTGAGCTGAAAAGTCTCGGGATTCTGGATTAGAGCAGGAGGTGGACGGAGCGTTGACTTCATTAGACGAGACCTCTCCAACTTAACGTTTAGGTTCAGTGTGCCTCTAACCATTCGGTGATCGCTGCCGGTTTTCACCCTTGCGATCACTGAGACATCACTGAACTGAACTGAGTATCTATTACTTTATGAATAAATCCTACAACAAATAAATTATTTTCTTAAATCTGGTTTTATGATAAGAAAAAATATTCATTTTTCGAGATTTGGTACTTGATATCGGAGATAAAATGAGTAATTTAATCAAAGTAATCCGAGTATCAATATTCGTTATCGATACTATTAATGGAACCTTACTTTTGCTTGTTTTACAATTAAATATAAGTTATGTTATAACTGTGTCATTGATGCTTGATTAATATTTTCCAGTGTTGCCAAAGTGGGGCAACGGAAAATCAAAAGGAAAGTTCAGTCGGCTTCATTATGTTTGAATGTGGACTTGAAGGTGTATCTATCAAAGTATCTCAACACTCACAGTCTCAAAAGGCGAACGAGGAGAAAAAACCACCTCGGAATGATAACGAAAGTTGTCGAGAGTCCGTCAAATCCGCTGAAGAACTCAAACCTGATAAAGAGAAGATTAACAAGGGATATAGAACATCAGGAATTGAAGACCTGTTTAGAAAAAAAGAATCGAACTCGAAGCCAAGTACTCCAAACTTAGGAGCGGCACAACCGCCTTCGGTGCCGCCGGAACCTACAACACCCGGCCCGGAGGAACCGACCGATAGCACGGCGACAATAGTTCCCGTTAAAGATAATGGGAATAGGTCCTCCTGTGCCATAGATCTAAAAGTTGTCTGGTTCAACTTCGCTGCGCCACCACGCACACCAATTACGAAGAAAATCGACTACACAAGGTACCTCTTTTTAATAGCTTCTGGGTGCACATACGTATTATACGATTACCCGCATTGCGGCAAGGTGACCGCAAGCAATAAATATTAGTAAAACTCATTTCTATCCGCATTCTAATGCGGGTGTACATGTAAAACCGTTTCGATCGTTCGGAGAGCTACGGACTGACTGCCGCATGGTTGCTATACGCACTGTGTGTTTAGATTTTAGTCTGCAGCTACCCACCATCGAGTCAGTTTCTGTGCATGTATAAGGACGCACCCGATCTTATAGCTGCGACTTCTTCCACGTCCATATTTGAAATGGTTTGTTTTGACCGCAAGGTTTGAACGGTGTCTCAATCGAATACTGCGGTTGCGACTGCGTCTAGCTACAATTCGGTAAACCGCAAGTTCAAAAATTGGAAGCCATAAAGGGGCGAGATGGCATATTGGATTTTCAAAAGCTATTATCACTTGGCAGACACATCTTTTCTAAGTACTAACCTCAGCATTTTTATATGCCAGAGTCATGTTGCACCTATATTATTGTTGTAGCACTAATGGGTTGGCTCGACCGGCGTCCTCTTACAGAACACTAGCGTAAAATAGCAGCTAATTGCTGCTGTGCTTCGTATGGTGAGAGTAGATAACTGGAGATTCTTTTTATTGAAGGCGAGGCCATTTCCTCTTAGTCCTCAGGGGTGACAACGCATTTCTTTGTTCCTGCAAATAACTTTTAAACAATATCTCATTACCTCATTAGGTAACAGTAACTTGGAATTAGTTCAGACTAAACCTTCAAATTTCAACAGCCTCAGAGTTTTTCGACGCCTCACTATACATGCTACAAATTGTTAGGTCTTCCCCCTCCCTTTTCGTATTTTTTGTTTTTAAGTAAGTTTTAAAATGATAGATTTTGTTTTGAAGTAAGGCAAGTGTTAGGTCTATATACACGTAGACGACCGAATCTAAGTGAACAAACTATAGACGTCTATGGGCCACAGCGTGCACTTACCATCATGTGGATTATGTGTTCATTTGTCACCCTTATCTTACAAAAAAACTGGCAGACTGGACTGGAACCTGCTGAGCACTGCGTCGCCGGCGATCAACGCGTGGATGAACCCGTGCAACCGGCTGGGTATCCGCGTGGTGGCGCTGTACCGCGCGCGCGCCCGCCGTCTGGCCGCCACCGCCGCCAGCCTCATGGCCGCCGCGCTCGACCGCGCGCCCCACCACACTACGCCCAAGGTCACCCATCACCCATCGCACACTGCTCACTGACACCTACATTAGCGGAGGCGCGTAGGTAGATAACTTCTACCATCGCGCCTCCACTTCATACATTTTTTATTGATTGATATAAATTCCTGCACAAAACTTCTACCCACGCGCCTCCGCTTTACTTCATACATTCCATTAACATTCAGAGAATATTGATATATTCATTAATTTATTATATATATGTATATTGATACAACTTGTGCGTCCTCTTTCTTGGGCTTGTGGCTGTCGTAAATGTTGACAAAGAAATTAGAACGATCTTTTCACCGATAACCACCAGATTAAAATATTCGAGGTCAACGTCAAAGATGTATATGATCGCGAGTCCTTCAGGGACGTGTCGCGATTATAGCGAATCCTTTGAACTTTGCATAAATCCACAACTAATAGAGAATGCGGGTCGATAAAAATGAATTGGGTTATTAATTTCTGTACAAAGGTTTGATTTGACTACTTTAGTTTGTTTTCTTTGGTACTTATATGGTTGTACTGTTGCCAGTATCATATGATAAAAAAAATTATCCATAATATAATTTATTTAAAAACTTCTTTACAATATATTGAGAAGACATGACTTGAGCCAGCACACAGTCAACGGCGATTGTATCTCAAGACTCAATTACTTCATATTTTATTACCATCGGAGCACTTGTTTCGTCGTTTCTACTTCTGCACGGATATATCTTGTAAAACCACTTTGTACTATTTTTTAAATGTATGATCATGTATACTGCAAGCATTTTTGTCGTGGAATCTGATGATTTTGCGATCATTCATCGATTGTTGCCGAACTAATCATTGCACAGAAACCACATTTTTGCAGGAGTTTGGAATGGTCCGTTTAATGTCAGCATTATTATGTTTCCTTGCTTGTTTTGGGTTTCTCGCTGGTTTGCCTAAGCAGCGCTGCAACGGCGACTAGAAATCCGGACGCAATACCCCACCACCTCGGTGACGTATTCACTGGCAACGTTCTCTGTTTAGTCATTATCATGTAACAGTATTTTAACGTGTGACGGTGCAGAGTCGGTACGGGCGGCACACGGCGATGGCGAGGCAGCTGCGCGAGGAGCCGTCGCTGCAGCTGTGCGCGGTGCTGCTACGGTACGCGCTGCAGGCCGACGCGGCCGCGCTGCAGGCTGACCTGGCCGAGCGCCACCTGCCCTCGCTCTCCACGTTGCGACAGGTATACACCAACATCGATGTATACTGCTGGGCATGCTAAAGCCACGCTGCAGCTGTGCGCGGTGCTGCTGTGGTACGCGCTGCAGGCAGACCTGGCCGAGCGCCACCTACCCTCGCTCTTCACGCTGCAACAAGTATACACCAACACCGTGCTAGAGCCACGCTACAACTGTGCGCGGTGCTGCTGCGGTACGTGTTGCAGGCCTAAGTGTCTGCGCTGCCGGCCGACCTGGCCGAGTGCCACCTTCCCTCGCTCTCCACGCTGCGACAAGTATACAGTAACACCGATGTATACTACTGGACGTGCTAGAGCCACACTGCAGATGTGCGCGGTGCTGCTGCGGTACGCGCTGCAGGCAGACATGGCCGAGCGTCACCTATGCTCGCTTTCCACGATGCAACAAGTATACAGCAACACTGTGCTAGAGCCACGCTGCAGCTGTGCTACGTGCTGCTGCGGTACGCGCTGCAGGCAGACATGGCCGAGCGTCACCTATGCTCGCTCTCCACGCTGCAACAAGTATACAGCAACACTGTGCTAGAGCCACGCTGCAGCTGTGCTACGTGCTGCTGCGGTACGCGCTGCAGGCAGACATGGCGGAGCGTCACCTATGCTCGCTCTCCACGCTGCAACAAGTATACAGCAACACTGTGCTAGAGCCACGCTGCAGCTGTGCTACGTGCTGCTGCGGTACGCGCTGCAGGCAGACATGGCCGAGCGTCACCTATGCTCGCTCTCCACGCTGCAACAAGTATACAGCAACACTGTGCTAGAGCCACGCTGCAGCTGTGCTACGTGCTGCTGCGGTACGCGCTGCAGGCAGACATGGCCGAGCGTCACCTATGCTCGCTCTCCACGCTGCAACAAGTATACAGCAACACTGTGCTAGAGCCACGCTGCAGCTGTGCTACGTGCTGCTGCGGTACGCGCTGCAGGCAGACATGGCCGAGCGTCACCTATGCTCGCTCTCCACGCTGCAACAAGTATACAGCAACACTGTGCTAGAGCCACGCTGCAGCTGTGCTACGTGCTGCTGCGGTACGCGCTGCAGGCAGACATGGCCGAGCGTCACCTATGCTCGCTTTCCACGATGCAACAAGTATACAGCAACACTGTGCTAGAGCCACGCTGCAGCTGTGCTACGTGCTGCTGCGGTACGCGCTGCAGGCCTTTTAACTTTTATACAAATCAGACGGTCATCGGAAAGTTCCTTTTTATTGATTTATTAATTATAAACTTTTATATTAATATTTGACATAAGTATTAATTTGAAATATTTTTGTATCTTTTTATTTTTTCCTCTTTTCTTCCCAATTTTTGAGAGGATCCATTCTAATCTATACTACAGCGAAAAATTGAAGTAAATTAAGAAAACTCAACAGTAGAACTTTTTATTTCATTTAGAATTTTATCAATAAATTCATAATATAAAAAGTTTAAGGCTTACAGAAGCTTACAGGTTACTTTACTTACTTATTGCATGCGATATGGCCGTGTTTGACACAGATATTATGTGAGAGCTGTGAGAGACATGATTTTGATTCGTTTCTTTAGAAATAGTTACGATTTCAGAAATACAGTTTTAATCATTAAATTTTTTAAGACGCCATATTTTTAAGATTAATAATATTGATAAAGATGAAAGATTCGGTAGAGAAATATTTGTTCAATGTCTAAAAATGCTTTCAGGGTGTTATAGTGTTAAGTCGTCAGTGGAAGAACATCTTATACACCCCACTGCTGCTGGAGCATAATTACAAGAGCAAGGTGATGAAGCCACTTAACGTGACCTTTACTTTACCGGAATTGTTAGAGGTGAGTAGTCATTCTTCATAGGCTAACAGATATTATCCGTAATAAAATATCAGTTCGTAACGGTATCCATTAATATTGTTTATTTTATTATGTTTATTATGAAAGTGGCGGCGTTGTACACTTTTTTGAAATGGGTAAAAAATGTTAAACTCGCGTCAGAACACGTGACCCTGATCGAAAATGCGTAAGACGGATAGAGAGAGAGAGAGACAGCCGGCGCGTCGTAAGAAAGGAAGTATCCCCCCTCTCTTTCTACGGCGCGTCGAAAATGTATATACCCGAGCCTGATGTGTCGTTTAGGCGGCGCAGGGCGCTTGCGCGAATGTACCTGATATGAATTGTCATGTTTGTGTACGATAGCGCAAAAAATAAATATTGTATTCTACCACATAAATGATAGTACTTTTATAAGAAAAAGAAATAAATTATTCTCTAACCATTTCAAAATATCAAAAATGCACAACGTTAATATTCAAGTTTTCACTTCTGGCACTACCGGAGTGCAACCCTTCGTTTTTTTTACACACCCTGTTCTACGTCATTTTACAATGAATTGGAGCAGTGCGGCAGACGCTTTGCTACCCCAAACCCCTTTTAGAAATAAAGTGCACTACGACGTTTGTGAATTTCTACTTTATTTTTAATCTCTACTTATTTTTTTTACTATATATTTTTTGTAGAATAAGGGTGACAACTGAGCAAACAGTCCACCTGATGGAAAGTGCATCCTGTAGTCCATAGAACTCAACATCTATCATCGATTAAGAATCAAAATGCAGATGCCACCCCTGAGGACTGCGATATTCCATCGCAGTCCTAAGAGGTATTCACCTCGTTTTCAGTGAAAATGGCCATTGGTTCTCTACACGCACCATATGAAACACAGCAGCATTAAGCTGCTATTTCACGCTGGTGTTCTGTGAGAGTGCGGTCAAGCCTATACATTCGTGCTGCAACCGTAATATTTGCAGTATTTCTCTACACAAGAGGTTTTCTGGAAGAATATATTTTCTATGTGATAAAATCGCCTATTGTAATAATCTTCAATAGTGTACTCCATGATTAATCTTAATTTGGTGTATAATAAAGGATAAATAAAAAAATAGAAATACCTATCGTTTCAGGATTCTGTAGAAGGCTGGCAAGAATACCAATTGGAAAACGAAGCTCTGGACGAGAATTGTCTTCTCTTAAACATGGAAGCTGAAAAGTTAAATCTTCCCCGTAAGTTTATTAACTTTCATCACACATTGTCTTTAGATTCAGTAGAATATGCCAAGTACGCCTGTATGAGGAAGCTCAATGTCATTCAGCGTAAGATGCAATTTCTCTGCGAAATAAAATTTGTAACGAATCAGATAAATAAGCTGAAGTGACAATAGGCCGGCTGTACGCTTAAAAGAACCTACGACCGATGATGAAGATAGGTTTCGAGTGGCAGACTCGTACAGGCAAACGCAGTGTTCGGCGGAAACCCCCCCCCCCACTAAATGGAGTAACGTTTTGATGAAACATGCAGGCAGTTAATGGGGGGCGAGCGAGCGAGGGGGTAAAGGGAAGGGAGGGTACGGTTAGGCGTGTTTTTCCCGAGGAGTTGTTTTTACTCTTTTATTTGTTTCCCGGTTTTTTTTTTTTTTTTTTATTAAAAATCAAAAAAAAAAATAAAATCTTCCAAAAAAAAAGGTTTGAGGCACGTCTCGTCGAATATTTTGGGCTTATAGCTTTCTACTTTTTTCTGCCAAACGCACCCAATATGTAGATTACTCAGGACCGTGCATTGTGGTATTCTAGGGGCTTCCCCCTAGAGGCCTATGTTCAGTAGTTGATCCGTGATGGGCTTTAGTAGTAGCAGTAGATACAGATAGATAAGTTTATTATTGAAAGTACTCTAGAACATTGTTTCCTAGATTTTTTTAGATTACAGATATTAATTTAGAAATTAAGTGTATTTTCTAATAACTTAAAGTGTTTATTGTAAAGGAATATTACCTTGATTTTTTTTAACCACGCATAACATAGGTTGTGGTTTGAAACTTTTTCCTCTTGTATATGAAATTAGAATCAAATTTCCTTAACTATTGGGCAGGCGAACTTTTTTGAAAAATAAGTTTATGATTAACATTTTGTATATGTATGTAAAGCGTCTGCCATGCCGGCGAGTCCGCGACCGCACTCGTTCCCCTCCACGCCGCCTTCTGGTTCGTACACATGCCACTTTTGCATTGCCTTCACGTGTGTTTTTAGCGTTTTGTATTCATAGTTTTATAATAATTAAAAGTGGTCCTATATTGTTACATCACCTAAAATAAAGAAAATTTTGTCTTAAGCAAAGGTTTCCTTTGTGAAATTAAAGAAAAAGAATGTTATATCATAAATGCATATAGATTAAATTTGATGAAAACTTCTCAAATATTTACAATCATCTGTTTTAGCAATTTAGGACTGCTTTATTGAGATTTTATCTCATTATTTATTAATTTTTTCATAGTTTGGTTGGTTTTAATTTAAAATAGTCTTCACTTTTGAATAAAATCAACGTGATAAATTAAAAATTTGCGGTTCGAACTTGTATTTAATTGTGGTGTTTTGACTGTTCTTTCGAAGAAATGTGATTTCTTTCTATTGTAATTTACCTGTATCTTTACATATTAATAGGTCTCACAGACTGTAGCATCAGCATCAGTGATTGTAAAAATCACCCAAATCAGTTACATATACTCATTGTCATATTGCATTACATTTTTTTAAACACGGTCACGCCATAATCATCTTGTTTCTAATAAAAATACATTTGTGCTAAAAACTAAACCTCAAGAGAATAAGACGAATGCAGAGTATCAGCAGTAGGATAATTGTAGAGTTTATTTATTATAATATTGTTACAAAGATTAAAAATGATTTTACATTTTATTAGATAAACGCTCACGCCTGTCACCTCTCTGAGGTAGGCACAGACTACAGACTTTCATTTAGCACGATCCTGACACACCTCTCCCGCCTCCTCTACATTCATATACCTATGCTCGTCGGTTAAGGGTACTCCCAATTTGGCCCATTTTCGATATATCGCCAATTTGGTCGATAAACTTTGGCCTAGGGCGTCCCTTTCTCACTCGTTCATTCACTTCTGCAACATAAATTTGCTTTGTCACTCTTTCCTCATTCATTCTTTCTACATGACCAAACCACCGAAGCATTCCTTTCCTAATCCTGGTCACAGCATCATCTTGCAAACCACACTCTTCTTTTATCACACAATTTCTCACCCTGTCACTCAGATTCAGCCCTAACATACTCCTTAGTGTCCCCGCAAACTACAGACTTTCTATCGGCCGATAGTTTCATCAGATTGGGCTGTTAGTGCGCACACTGGGTGAACAAAACAATTAGGTTAGACGTGGCTGCGCAGACTAGCCAACCAACAGTCGGCTAATTGATACATTTGCTGGAGTTGGTGAAGAGATCAAACTCGTGGAATAGTGCCCAAAAATATTATTATTGTTTACTTGATACAAAGGAGGAGTAGAATCAGAGTAGTCTTTTAAGTTCTTTTTATAAATCGCTGGTCTTTTTTTCAATTTTCTGAATTAAGTTTTCAATATACGTTTCGACAAACAGTGACGAATTCGAATCCATTATGCACGCTCGCCAACGCACATGACTTTTTCAGTTTATATTATATATTAGTTATAATAAGGGCATATACTACCTCAGCTCAAATTCTAATTTCGCCCCCACTTCCCCGCGCGTCTTATGATATGTACCGACATGTTTGTAATCACTAATACTGTAAGTAGATAGGTCGTTAGATACTTATTTCATTAGGTTTATCATATTTACGCTAGTTTGTTTACGCCAACCCAGTCGCTTCTTATTTTTATTACGGTTAATTCCCATTTAAATTTTACATCGTCCTGTTGCGTAATGTGTATTCTGATCGTAAGCGACGCAGCTTTCCCGTTCGAAAGCCGAAGCGAGACTGATCGGACGGCAGAGAACAAGCTTCAAGACGCCGATAGTTTAGGTAATTTCTTTTTACAGTGAAAATAATGGTGATTTAAAAAAAATAAAAAAACATAAGCCCTGCTTTAGAGTTAGTTCAGTTAGTATGCAAAGTTTCATGATCTAATTTAAAGTATTTTATGAATATCAGCAGTTTATTGCTCAGTTTGGAGGTAACTTTGTATTTTTTTCTATTGACAATATTTTACGGAATCGTGTTTTCGTCTAACATAGTACTTAACATTAATCCTCAACTTTACCATATATTTATTTCAAAATTAATGCTGCAATATTTTCGGCATAACGGAGGATCATGCTAAGCCATTTAAGGTAGTATAGAGACCCAATACAAGTTGTTGCACGAATGGGGTAGGGCTGTTTAGGAGACGACGGTTTCCATTATTTATATATATATATATATTTATTTATTATATTTTACATCAGGCGTAGACGAGATGGTTGTTCCTATTTTATCGTAAACCATTTGATACATCCATTCCTTTTTTTTTTAAATTATAATATTGATTTATAAGTATGCCCTTAACTGGTATGTATCATCTTTTCCCTTCTAGAGTTTGTTAGATAATTGATTGCTACACCTTTTAGTTGTAAAATGCATGTGTGTTTTGCAGTTTTTCTTGGATTGTTATGCGCTGTCTTGAATTGTGTTACTTTTTATAAAGTAGTTGTGGTAGGTCAGTACGCGATAACCGGGTTCTAAGCCGGCATCAATGAAATTGTTAACTGCAATTTTACAGTTTAGTAAGAATGCTAACTGGCATTAAATCCGCCCTTTGTAACCTTAATGATTAGAACAATAATTTTTTGAAATAAATAAATAAAATACATTTTAAGGAATAAGATAATAAACCATCCATGCTGTCCGTGGTAATGTAAAACTTGAGAAAACCAGCATAGTTATAAATTTTTTCGAGGATGTGTGAAGCCTGGCAACACGATTCTTAGAAATTAGTATATTATATATGATGCTAAACAGTGATACGTATGTAGGTGGTAAACTTTAGATTTTCTTCTAATATCCAGCACGAAAGTTGTGTGCCACAGCTCGCTATGCCGAAGGTAAATTGCGTGTTCACATCATATCTAATGTCTTCTGGCTTACTCTAAAAATTCGCTATATTAAAATCCGTAACTCAATCTGTATAAACAATGTCGCATATCTACAGCTTATTAAATTATTTTTATTTAATAGTTCATTACGATGCTACTTAAATAAAAATAACTAACTAATAAAAATATACTAGCAACACTATTGTCGAATTTACCTAAAACTGTTTGTACCAGCAACGGTTTACGACCAATAGACATGGACCTTTGGTTTCATTTCGTAAACCGTCGTGGTTATGTCGCTTAAACTTAAACTTAATTTTCTATGTCCTAAGAACTAATTTTGTGTAAAAAGCTTTGATAACAGTTAGCCAGAAAACATTAACTCAGTGCGTCCGTTTCTTTTCAAATAGAATTTATAAAATTGTGTTTCAACAGTACGAGGCGCGCACAGTAGCCGAGCGAGCTTAGTATTTCCGTCGCTTCCGTTCTCTACAAGAAAACCCCCATTCCAGGATGACGCAATTGCTAGTGAGTATAAACATTTTATTTAATATTAATTATTAATCATTCTTGGTTGGTGTGATCTACTTCCAGTGTACCTAATATATAATAATGCTCCCTTTTTAAAATATTCGAAGTTAATGGAATCAGGCGTTACTTTGTAGATATTCATTATATTAAACATGTTAAGAATTATTTCGCTAACTTCCACATAATAAAAAAAAATATTTGCCTTAGTTTGAAGACCTTCGATTGTGTGTGGATTATCCCCGTAACCACTATTCTCGACTTATTAGTACTAAGCTGTCAGCCATTGAGATCCATACATTGAAAAGTTTACCTGATGATGTTTCGCTTAGGGGCGAAACACGGGTCGTATTTTCGACGAAGGTGTGTCTTTCCTAGTGTAGCGGAAATTTTGACATTTTTGGCATTATTGGTGAAACTAGTTAAGACACATCATTTTCATTTTATTATGCGGCTCTTAGCGAAAATTATTCTTAACTTCTTTAATGATTGAAAGATTAATTTCTCAAAAAGTATTTACATTAATCGTTAAGATTGATATAAATGTGTGCCTATCTTATTTTATTTAGACTATGGAACATTGAAGGAAGACTTGCCCACGGTGGGTTCGAATCCATCGCTATATTCGCCGCACGGCAGCCACGACGACGTGGCTAACGAACGGGCTCGCGAGGATCTCTACCAGTGGATGGCCAAGCAAGAGCCCATGAAAGTGGTAAGCATGATATATGTAAAACACATGCTATTTACACATTTTCTTCTACTATCTCTTCTTATTTTATACTTGTCTATCACTGCAATATAGGCAATTTATTGCAAATTAATGGTAGGGCTTATGTTTTAGACGGTAGGATCTTTTCTTTGTGGTAGGAATTCTTTTTTAGGTGGTAGAACAGAACACCTTTACTAGGTAATACTATTTATTTTCTAGTTGGTATCTTTATTTGTACCTGGCACGTTTCCTGGTTAGGAGTCCGCCTCTGTTAGTACCACCCACTTACTCATTTCTGCCGCTATTCATTGCACTCACTGCTGTGTTCCGGTCTGAAAAGTATAGAGAGCTAGTACAAATTACAGGCTAAGGCATTTCATCTTAGTTTTGAGAAATCACGACGCATTTGTGGATTTTTCTCTTTGAAGTTGATTAATGGTATCCATTGGCTGCAGTAGACACTGAGTATCAAGTGGACTTTTATTTTCGTTTCTCAATTCAATTTTATAGAAAAATCGGATTTATATTTGTACATTTTGCCTTTATATTATCAGGTGGCCAATGGGCATATTTATTTACAAGTATTAGCTGTGTGCTGGTAATTTAAGAAAATTCATTACTACTAATAAAATTTAAAATTAAAAATGGCGTCGCCGCTATTCACCTCTCGCTCGCACACTATAAAAAAGGTAAAGACTGTAAAAAAATACGTTGCGATATGCGTTTTTCGTACGCTCTATAACTTCACTTCAGTCCAACTTATCATCGGAATCAATGATACAAAATCCCATAAACTACAAAAGAATTAAGTCCGGTTTAGCTAATTTAGGATAATTTTGTTTGTTAATATTTAAAATATTTACACGATATTGAGATATAAGCAACCATTTTGAAAATTTTCGTTTGTCTGAGGTAATCTTCGGAATAGCTGAACTGAGTGTAAAAAAAACTTCATGAACAAATAGAGAGTAACACCAGAAGTGATCTAGATTAAATTTTATCTGACAAATTTAGAGATTTTATAAAAATAAAAATATTGATAAGATAAATGGTATTTAATGATAATCTTAAGTCGAAATAACACCACATTAATAAATCCCACCCAAGGGAAAACAGAGCGGGTCGTTATTTATAAATGATATTTTAAAAATAAGGTACCTCCTTGGGTAGTTATTATTATTTTCAAACATTTTCCAATTAATAGAAAATTTTAAATTAACCGAATAATATAACGTTATAACAATATACCATTATTTCCCTAATGGTGGTCTGTATGTTGACGGTACAGGCTCATTGAATCGCCATTTCTAATCCCATTCTTTATCCGTACGGACTGTATCTTATTTCTTCTCGTCCACGCCAGTCGTGAAATACTCAGACCGGCGATTTGGATAGCAGCGTCAAAAATGCGAGACTTCTGGTATTGCGATCATCAATTTGCCATGCGTTGTGATAAGGTTATTCCTCGTTACAACGGACTGCAGCTCTAAGGGCCACGAGTTCGAATTCCGCACGGAACAAGTATTTGTATAGCCTACAAATAATTGTTCTGGGTTTGGATGTTTGTCCTTGTGAAATATATGTATGTAAACTGCCTTCACGATATAAGAGAAAATCCTAGCATGGCTGTAGCGTTTTTTAAAGAAAAAATATTGTAGAAAATAATCGGGGTGTCGCTGTTTCGTAGACACGTAACGAAATTACTACAAAATGGCGGCCCCTTCCGCCGCCCTCGATGCGTCACAGTTCTCATTCAACGTAACTTAATCTGCTCTTTTAGCTATCCAGTGGCGTCATTAAATGTTGGAATATAGATGATAGATATGTATCATGGAGACATGTCACCTGTTACAGCAAAACATAGACTCAGTAGTTAAATGGTCCCATGATAATGGTATCGTCTTAAACTCAGATAAAACCAAGTATCTTGTCATTCAGTTGCCTTATCTATGTCTTACTGTCTCCTCAAATGTATACTCATAACTTTGAGTGCCTCCATAATGGTCTGAATAATTGTCGATGTGAGCCTATCGAAAAAGTCGATTGTGTAACCTACCTCGGTGTTAAAGTTGATACTAACTTCTCATGGTCCAGCCATGTAGATTATGTATGTAATAAGTTAAGATTACTTCTAAGTGAATTTTATGACTTAAGTTTTAAAGTTCCTTCTGCTACTTTAAAGTGCTTATATTTTTCTTTGGTAGATTCAATTTTGGGATACGCTCTTGACAGTTATGGTCTTACATTCAAAACCTACGTTGATAAGCTTGAAGCATTACAAATTGGATTTTTAAAGTTACTAGTTAATAAAAAAAACGAATACTATTTGTAAAGGTGATTACACAAAACTATTCAAAATCTGCAAAATACTCCCAGTAAGTTTAAACATAAATATTTACTTGCCATATACAATTACAACTGTCGAAACCGTACTCTAATATTGATCAAGCATGGTCAGGGTTCACGGTCAATATCTGCAGACAAATTTGTTGTACCAAAAGTAAATAACTACTTCGGGGATAGAACTTTAAAGAAACAGGCATGGTCGTTCAGTAGAGTCTAATTTGTCTTTCTTCGTGTCGGCGGTAGCGCAGGACGTGGACAGGGGACTGCAGGTAGACGCAATATACACAGACTTTTCAAATGCCTTCGACAAAGTCGGCCACCAAGCCCTGCTGTCTAAACTAAGACTAATGGACATCAGTGGTTCGAATCTTACCTGGAAATGAAACCTCAGCAAGTGGCTATAGATGGATTTGAATCTGAATTGTTTTTGGCTAAATCTGGTGTCCGCCAGGGATCCCACTTGGGTCCTCTACTCTTTTTGATATTAATGACATAGCTACATATATTGAAAATAGTTGTGTATCTATGTTTGCTAACGATCTCAAATTGAGTAGAACGATCAAAAGTCCCGGGGATGCTGACCTTCTGCAATCTGACTTAAACAAACTCATGGATTGGTGTGCAATCAACGGAATGATTTTAAATCCTAACAAATGCTACCACATAAGATACACCAGAAAAAGACGCCGCATCACTACTACCTACTAATTGGGTAACTTGACCTTGGCGGAGGTGAGGGAGATCAGGGACCTTGGTGTCTTGTTGGATTGTAAGCTGAAACTGACTGCTCACACTCATAATATCGTCAAAAAGGCGACTCATATGTTGGGATTCCTAAAATAAAACGCGAAATGCTTCCGATGTGTCAAAACTAAGAAGGTTCTTTTCAGTGCACTGGTACGTAGCCACCTCGAATTTGCAAGTGTTGTATGGAACCCATTTTATAGTGCGTCTTCTCAGCGAATCGAAACGATTCAAAGTGTTTTTACACGCTACCTTGCCTTTTCAACTCAACGACAACCTTACGTGACCGACGTCTCATTGCAGACTTAATGTTTCTACACAAGTTACTGCATAACAAAATCAAAAGTACGCACCTCCTCGATCACATCAAATTAGTTATCCCGTACAGATATCCCCGATATCCAATTCGCAGACTATTTAGCATACCTTGCCACAAAACTAATTTAGGCGCGCATTATCTTCTAGCCAGAATATGTAACACATACAATGAAATTATGACCAAGATACGGGACATCGACATTTTCAACGACTCTGCCCGATGCTTCAAAAAAAATTACCAATTTCTTTTCACCCTCTCGGCACACACTCATTCCTTAGTTAGATTTTTCTTAATATAAGTTATTTTGTATTCAGTACCATTATAATATAATAAGCTACATATTACGGTAAATGTTGTGTATATCTGTAATTGGCAAACATATTTAACTATATACATTTGTTATTGTGTTGTTGTTAATGTTTCATGTGTTTTGCTGTTGGTGTACCTTATAAATAAATAAATAAAAAGAAACGACTACCGTACTTTTTCAATAGTTTGCCTGAGGACATTTGACGTGAACCAGTAAAAAAACATATTTAAAAATAAATTAAAGAAATATTTATTGGTAAGTCTTAGTGCTTAACATTAATATTATGTATTATGTAAATGAGATTCAAATGTTCCTGCAGACAAACTGTGTAAGCAGTTTTGCGGGAATATGTATATGTCGGTACCTGCACCATTGCACGTGAAGTAGCGCCTCTGTTATTGTAAACAACACGTGCACCGCACACCTGCGCATTGCACCTGCAGTGGCGCTCGGGTAGCTACTTGTCTCGATTGTATAAAACGGACGGAGCGGCCGCCGTTAAGGCAGTCATGGCTCTGGCGTGGCACGGTTCACTTGTTGTATCCCGCTACTAGCTCATCCTAGACTATTCGGATAATTATTTCGTGGAAACGAATTAATTACTATTATCAGCTTTTAAATTAGTCTAAGTACAATTTATAGTGGATTACCTGTGATCCGTGTTTTTGCGATTGAAATTAATTCCATTTAACTACTTTTCTACATATATTTAAAAACCAAATTTTTTATTTTTAATAATAAATAAAAATCTGCAACACCATACTGTATCCCCCCGATTGTGTTATTATTAGTATTCCGTATTGCCTCCCACTCACACAGTTTTAAAAACATACCCATATAAAAACATGTTTACAGGAGCCAAAAACGAAGAAGCCAATAATCCCAGCGTCGAAAATGAACCCTCGGGCGATGGCGGCAACACTACCTGCGTGCAGCCTGTACCCGCTGCAGGGCTCGCTCATGCTGCTGGACGCGCATCTCGTGTTCCAGCCGCTGCTGGCCGCGCTCGGCGTGTCCCCGCACCAGGTGCCGCAAGGTAAGCACACGTGGCGCACTAGCAGTACTGCTAGTGGTATACATAGTTGCCGACGTGCAGCCTGTACCCGCTGCAGGGCTCGCTCATGCTGCTGGACGCGCATCTCGTGTTCCAGCCGCTGCTTTCCGCGCTCGGCGTGTCCCCGCACCAGGTGCCGCAAGGTAAGCACACGCGGCGCACTAGCAGTACTGCTAGTGGTATACATAGTTGCCGACGTGCAGCCTGTACCCGCTGCAGGACTCGCTCATGCTGCTGGACGCGCATCTCGTGTTCCAGCCCCTGCTGGCCGCGCTCGGCGTGTCCCCGCACCAGGTGCCGCAAGGTAAGCACACGTGGCGCACTAGCAGTACTGCTAGTGGTATACATAGTTGCCGACGTGCAGCCTGTACCCGCTACAGGACTCGCTCATGCTGCTGGACGCACATCTCATGTTCCAGCCGCTCCTTTTCGTGCTCGGCGTGTCCCCGCACCAGGTGCCGCAAGGTACGCACGCACACGTGGCGTACTAGCAGTCTTTGTATTGCTATATACAAAGACTCCAACGTGCGCAAAAATATATATATATATATATATATGTATATGTATATATATAGCAATACAAAGACTTCTATGTATACTACCAGACCGGCAATTCAGAAAGAAAACTGCGTCATTGCTGTGTATCACAAAGGTGCGCTCCGGCGCAGCTACTCGCATGGTAAATATGCCTCGCAATTTGATTTATTTACGCTAGTTAATATAAATACGAAATAAAGTTTTTATCTGAAATAAATTTCAATCACGTTTTCATAGACACATGGAACAAAATTAGTGTTAGACTACCGCAAATAATGTTTCGGTTTATAAAATAAAAAACTAGTCTCGTCGAACGGATAATTGACCGTAACTTAGTGCATATCATATTAAGGCCGTATAGCGTTTAGTAGTATATATGGAATTCTTTGTTGTTTTTATTAACTTTCAGATATTCAATTGCCCAAATAAAGAAGTCGTAAAAGCAAAATGGATTAGGCAGTCGACATGATTGTTAATAGATTACTATATTATTAGTAATTTTAATTTACTTATTTCATTTTATTTATTTTTAAAAATTTGGTGGTATATCATTTAAAGTTAAATATATTTTTTTGTCATTTAACAATATATGAAAATACTGTATTCTCATTCTATAGAAAAGTATGTTGACACAACTTTAAATTGGAATATTGTTATGTGGGTAGAGTGTGAAGTACCTAATTGAACATGTGCAGGGAAGTGGAAGGGTGGCGGTGGGGGCGGGGGCGCGGTGCCGGCGCTGGAGTCGCTGGGCTCGACGCTGTCGCTGCTGGGCTGGGCGGACGTGCTGCGCGTCGATATCGTGGTCAGCGACCTGGCGCGCGACCGCCGCCACGCGCCCAGCAAACCCAAGGGTAACCTCACGCGCCGTACACGCTGCTACACGTGTATTCCATTACACATTATTATACATCTGCCTGCCTCGTTGTTTTAGTGCTCGTAAACACGATTGCTGATAATTAGGTTCGGATCCCGCGTCGGGCCAAAATCAGTTATTAGGTTTTTCTGTCAAGCAATTTTCAGTAGCAGTCCGTAGTGAGAAAGTTGGCTGTGCTTCATCCCCGTAGCTCCGAAAACACGTAAGTCCTGTGCCTGATCTCTCTTCGGCCCTGTCGAATTGCCGTCCCAATTCGTCCTTTGAGACAGGCCGCCGTGACCGCATGCAGTCTGGAGAATGACTGCACTGCGTATATATATATATATATATATATATATATATATATATATACATATATATATATATATATATTATTAACATAACACGTATGTAACATTAACATTAAACATATCATATTTTCATCTTATATTTTACATTTGTTTATAAACTATTATAACATAAACTTTTAATTACTATTAGGCATTCGTTCATTACCTGAACAGTGGTGGCGGCCTAAGAGAATCCATCGGTCATTTCATCCTGTGGTTGTCGTAAGCAACAGAAAACTCTAGAAATATTTTATGGCTTCTGATAGATGGTGATATATATTCATTACGATAGATTTGAAATTAAATACAGGCTGGCGACAAGCACCTCTGGCACTGCAATCCCAATCTGCAAGCCACACGTGGCTTCTGCAACAGCTAAACAGAATTCTGGCATAAATACAAATGTTTTGAAAAACTATTCTACTTTCATTTCCTAGATTTTCATTATTTATATTTCTTAGTATTTTGCCATAAGTTGCTTACATTGTGTACGGCTATCAGTTTATCGTGAGTCATAGAACCAATACCTATTATTATTGCCTTTATTTACGTAAGCCGTAAGACAATAGCATCCACGGTTGTGTTAACAATATGTTATTTTTTTCTTGAAGTTATGAATAAATCCCGAATTTGAATCTATATAAAAATTAAATTTAATACTAGAAGATTCAACGTGATGGAGCCATACTACAGCTGTATTGTGGTTGTAGCAGCGAAGGACCACGCTTTCACAGAATATCAGCGTAAAATAGCAACTTAATGATGCTGTGTTTCGTATTGAGAGTGTAGAGAACCGGAGACCCTTTTTACTATAAATAATGCATTCCATCGTAGTCCACGGAGGTGACAACACGTCTGCATTTTGATTGTTAACCGAGGATTGTAGTTTATAAGCTACTTACCATCAGGTGGACTGTGTTCTTTTGTCACCCCTATTCTGTAAATAAAGACGTCTTTTGAACACTAAAAGTACTTTTATGTGCTTTTTTCAATGATTTTAATAATAAAATCAAATTTAATAACAGCATTATTTTTGCTTTTCATTTTTGCTGATAGTGGTAGTAATTTTATAATATAAAATACATTTTTTAATAAAAAGCTGCCTCCTTAGGTCACCCAAGTCACATTGACATTCCGTCCGAGACACCGGCGTTCCTATGTGAGAAGGTGTCCATCGACGTGGACCTGAAGAAGGTGGCCGATATGACTGTGGATGACCTCATACAGCGCCGGAATGTACTTTACATATCGCGCGGGCAACTCAAGAAGCACATTAGCACAATGCTCAACTTCAACGTCAGCGTAAGGTTTATCTCGCAACAGGTTAGAAACCAGAATTACATTCTCTCTTTAAAATTTTCCTATAGTTTCTTTTGACATATGTTATTGTCTATTTTTTCTTTTCTTTTTTAATATTTAATAATATATTCTTCGTTTAAATCTACTTCTAACTTTAGTATAACCAGCATAAAAAATTATGTTGTAAATCGAAACCGTTAAAATTTTTTAATAATAGGAATTTTAAAGTATAATTTCCTCATTGCTTGTGTTGGTCACACACACATAACCACATTTTTTTAAACTTCCAACATTAGAAGAAAATCTTTAATACTATTGTTAGATTCCTTCAAGAAATTAAATTGATAAAATATGTGAAAGATAATTAGGTGTACTATTATAACTATTGGCATTCCTTGGGGAGGCCTATGTTCAGCAGTTGACTTGTGAAGAGCTGTAATGATGATGATGGTTATAGAATCAAAATCATCTAGCCATTTATCAGTTTCAAAAGAAGTGGTATGTCCTCCAGGTGAATATGCCGTTACTTCGGTTGCTGCACCAAATCAGCAGCATGTATCAGAACGTGAAGGATACCCAGATCGAGCTGCGCAGTCAGACTAAGAGCAATCATCGCCAGAACAAGCATACGCCCTCATCAGGTAAGATAATTTAAATATCTTGCTACGAAACCTCATTCTGTTATTCATCTTCATCTTCATCTTTACAGCCCTTCACAAGTCCACTGCTGAACATAGGCCTCCCCCAATGCCACAAAGCACGGTCCTGAGCCATCTGCATCCATCGACTTCCTGCATGTCTCACCAGGTCGTCACTCCATCTAGTGGGAGGTCGCCCTACACTACGCCTACCGGTACGAGGCTGCCACTCGAGAACCTTTCTTCCCCATTGGTTATCGGTTCTTCGAGCTATATGGCCGGCCCATTGCCACTTCAGCTTACTAATTGTTCTTTAAGAAAGGCGACAACGCTCTCTTAAAGAACTACAGACCGATTTCCCTTCTGAGCCGCGTCTACGTGCTGTTTTCGAGAGTCATTACGAATCGTCTCGCACGCAGACTCGACGACTTCCAGCCTCCCGAACAAGCCGGTTTCCGAAAATGCTTCAGTACCATAGACCACATACATACCCTGCGGCAGATTGTACAGAAGACCGAAGAGTACAATCTGCCAGTTTGCCTGGCGTATGTGGACTATGAGAAAGCCTTTGATTCCGTCGAAATTTAGGCGGTGCTACAGTCCCTTCAGCGGTGCCAAGTTGACTGACTGTATATAGAAGTGCTGAAGTGTTCGTACAGTAGGGCTACGATGGCTATCCGAGTACAGAACCAGAGTTCGAAACCTATCCAACTGCAGAGAGGTGTAAGACAGGGTGACGTTATATCCCCGAAACTCTTCACCGCTGCGTTGGAAGACGTTTTCAAGCTACTGGACTGGAAAGGATACGGTATTAACATCAATGGCGAGTACATCACTCACCTTCGATTTGCCGACGATATAGTCCTTATGGCAGAATCGCTGGAGAACCTTAGCAATATGCTCAATGACCTCAATGATGTCTCCCAACGGATAGGTCTTAAGATGATGAACATGGACAAAACAAAGATCATGTTCAATGTCCATGTCACACTTATGCCGGTAGTTGTGGGGAGCACTATGCTCGAAGTTGTTGACGAGTACGTTTACCTGGGACAAATAGTCCGACTAGGTAAGTCCAACTTCGACCGAGAGGTCAATCGACGGATTCAACTCGGCTGGGCAGCGTTCGGGAAATTACGACACATCTTCTCGTCAGGTATACCTCAATCTCTGAAAACTAAAGTGTACAACCAGTGCGTGTTGCCAGTGATGACTTACGGATCAGAGACGTGGTCCTTCACCGCTGGCCGTATGAGGACGCTTAAGGTCGCTCAGCGAGCTATGGAGAGGGCTATGCTCGGAGTTTCTCTGCGTGATAGACTCAGAAATGGGGATATCCGCAGTAAAACCGGAGTGACCGACATAGCCCAACGGATTTGTAAGCTGAAGTGGCAATGGGCCGGCCATTCTGTTATTAGTATGAGTAAATCCGTACATTTTTGTATATAAGCGTTATTGAAGCGGAAGCATGTATGGCGTCACTTAACTGAATTGTTTTGTAATATTTTGTTACCATTAGCAAGTAATTGTGGTAAACAGTTATTTACATCCTACAGTTTCATGATTTAAATTGTACTTATTTAATACCAATTACTTTTACATTGCAGTGCATTATACATAAAGGGACGTCAGGATGGTCTGCTATTTCCTCTGGATTCATACTCTACTTTAATTAGACGTGGGTAATCGGACAAGGAGAATTAAACGACGTAATTCACACTAAATATAATAAGAGTATTATAACAAAAATTATTAGAGACCCTGATTCGTTAAACTCCACCAAGAACGTAATGCTTATTTTGTAATGTGAACCGATCGCCGTCTCGATGCGAACTGCCACGTCGTCCCTCCTCCTTCTCACACTAGCCCTTGGTGTTGCGTCAGAGTGAACGACAACCGATCACTTCGACAGATGGCGCTTTGTATATCCGGTTGACGTTCACTCCTAAATAATCTTCGAAACAATCAAACGCGCCGTCATATATTTACAATAAGTTACATATACAGTTGTTATTTTTAATTTAATGTTATTTTAGTTTACAAAAACTAAGCACACCATTTATTAAGCTTGTGTAATTAATATATGGGGTACAGCCACGTTGCAGCTATATTTTGGTTGTAGCAGGAATGGGTCGGCTTGACTGGGGTAGGACCACGCTCTCAAAGAATACCAGCGTAAAATAGCGGCTTAATACTGCAGTGTATCGTATGGTGAGTGTAAAGATCCAGAGATCTTTTTTTAATGGAAACGGGGCATTCCATCTTAGTCCTCAAGGGCGACAACGCATTTGCGTTTTGATTCTTAATCGAGAATAAATATGTAGATGTCTATGGGAAACAGCATCCATTTACCATCAGGTGGACTGTGAGCTTGTTTGTCACTCAACTGTTTCTAGTTTACTATCTAAAAATATACTACACTAAGTCTTTGGCAGTGAGAGGCGACAAATTAAATGCTCTATTAGTTTCAGAGTTCCGCGAGAACGTAGTGAGCCTGTCGTCGCTGGATAAGGAGAGCCAATATGGGGCGCTGGACGCGGGGCTGGTGTGCGGGACGGGGGCGGGGACGGAAGCTGAAGCGGACGCGAGAGCGGGAGTTGCAGCCGATCTGAGCGCGGGAGAGGGAGTGGAGCTGAGAGCGGCTGCCGGCGCGGGCCCGGCGGCAGCGCCGCGCCCCGCGCGCGCCCGCCCGCCCGCGCAGTCCTTCGCGCAGAAGCTGCGCTCCACTGGCAAGAGCGTTAAGGGCAAACTAGGTGACTCTTCTTGTACATTATTTTTTCATAGATTCCCTTGTTCATAGTACTGTTTCCTTTTCTGAAAATTTTATATGAGGGAGCGCACACCCCAAATATAGTATGAATATTTTTGCTATGCCACTATTATAATACTACGTGGGCTTAATAAAAAGCGTCCAGCTACCAAAGCCCAAAAAGTTTCCCGAAGAAAAAAATGGGGGCTTTTGCACGGACTGTCAGGCTCAAATCGGGCGGTATCACACGACCTCATAGAATAACAGCGTGAAGTAGAAGTTTACTTCTGCATTTCGCCTGGTAAAAGTGCAGGTGGCTGGAGGACCAATCCCTTCCTCCCTCCCCTTAACAAGGTAGCGGAGTTAAAAAAAGCACTACCCCATGAGGGTACCAGCACCCCAGGTGACGGACAATCCCTCGCTGAACATCCACGCCCTAGCTACCCTAATCTTCCTGAGTATGAGTTCTCAAGCTGCCCTGCGTATTCTGTGAGGGGGGAGGGGGGAATTCTGCTCAAGGCTAAAACTGCTCGACTTCTGTCATGATATCCGTGAATTTATTCAACATCAAGGGGAATTCATTCAAACCTTAACGCTCTCCACTACCATCTGGAGACGGCAAAGCCGATCTTGTTCTTTCTAAGCGAAACACAGGTGTCCTCTCCGGCTGATACTTCGTATCTTTCCTACCCGGGGTACAAATTAGAAAACACTCCTTGGTGCTTCGGGCTGGATTTTGCGTATACGTCACGAAGGAAATCTATTCGCAGCATCAAGGTCTTAGTGGGCAAGTACCAGAATAAATTTGTGCCTGAAATCGAGATATTGTTGAACAAAATCTCGGATTGAGTGCGACTAAATCTAATCCAGTTCAATCCCCAGAAGGCACAAGTTTGCGCGTTTACCGCTAAAAAGAACCCTTTTGTCGTACCTCCTCAGTTTCAGAGCACTCCCCTTATTGCCTGAGCCAGTATCGGAATCCTCGTCGTCGACATATCGAGTGACGTGCAGTTTCGTGGTCACTTGGAAGAGAAGGTCAAACTGACCTCTAAAAATCTTGGCGTGCTCGGCAGAGCGCGACAGTATTTCATGCCGGCACATCGCCTGCAACTTTATAAGACGCAGGTTGATGTGATAGCTCCTTCCATATTTTATCGCATCTAGGATGGGGGATAATCTATGGAATTGTTCGGACTAATTCTTGCCGCTCAATTTCATCATCACATATCGCGACATAACTCACGATACCATCCATACCATCTGGATGATTGACGACCCACTGTTATGCGATTTACGAGACGTTTTCTTACACGCAAAACTTCCTTGTGGAATCGACTACCATCAGTGATTTTTCCGCACCGATACTGCTTAGGGACCTTAAAAAAAGAACCTAATCTTTTTTAAAAGACCAGCTACGCGCTTGCGATTCCCCTGGTGTTGCAATTGTTTATGGACGGCGGTCGACATTTACCATCAAGTGAGCCGCATGAAACAGAAACAATTTTTTTTTAACGTAACGTGGAGGCAGTTTACAAACATAAATTGCACAAGGACAAACATTCAGACCCGGATAAATTATTTGTAGGCCAAACAAATATTTGTTCCGTATGAGATTCGAATGGAGCCGTCTATTCAATATAGATTATAATTAATACTTATTGAGTTCGGAAAAAAACCTGTCCTGAGAAGAACCAGCAAGAAACCCAGCGTGACTTTCAAAAAAAAACAGCTTACAATCATGTATGTTACAATTAACAACACAAAACAAATTAGAAATAGCTTGGTAGCGATCACCTTTCCCAGGGGTTATTATCATCCGTAAATTACTTAATATTATAATAACCCTTTTTATACAAACTTATTTTAATAATGTTTTTGGATTTTGTGCAGGCCAAATGTTGTGTATTTTCTGGGATTTTGTTGTAAAAGGGTACATATCGCCCCAATAATGAATTACTGACCCGGTGGAGTCGAGTAACTGGTATAATATCACTTATTTTTGTAATACTGCTTTTTTATGTACAATTACATTTTCATAAATGTATGGAGAGGCTAAAGTTAATAAGTACATTAATTTCCTAATTTCTATAGTAAAAAAATACCAGACGGCACTAGGCTATGGAAACAGCTAAAGTAAACTAGTCTAGCTGTTTCAACGCTGGTAAGACTCCCTAATCTTTTTTACAGCATATGCTACCGGTTTTTTTACGTAAAGTTCTCTTTTTGTTATTTTTGACATTCGGAGTTATGAATTTCATACATTTAATTTGAGTGCCATTTAAATGCAAGTTATTAACATTGAACCAATTTACTAATCTAGATATACCATTATTTACTTCGTCATTATTTAGTAACTGTTGTTTGAATTTGAAAATTAATAAAGTGTCGTCAACAAATGCAGTAGCATGCTTCGTTTGCCCCCTCTTCTATAAAAAAGATCTATGTGCAATCCTGTAATATCTATGTAATATCTACATTTGTTATGAAATTACAACAGTACACCACGACAAAAATGTATCTAGTATTGTACAATCGCGTATTCATTCACCATTCAATCAAGTCAATTGCGGTAAATCCTCCCTGTTATGTGAGAGGCCCATTTCCAGCAATAGATTGATAATGAGTTCAAAAGGACAAGGAAAAATGTTATTAAAATATGTAAATGTTGTGTATTTATTGTATCCCCATGGTACATAAGCACTTAGAGTTGTAATTATTTTGAATGAGTGGACTGTTTTGTATTGATCGCTGGTTCAAATCCGTCTCGAAGGACCACTATGTTCAAGGCTCTTGTGTGCACTTGCAGATTATTGCTGTCTTGTAATTGATAGTGCTAGCAATAAAACTTGATGACACTTGTAAAATTATTTGTTTCAACCGCTTGATTTATAATATTTGTGCATTTAGTTGCATTGCAATTGTAGTGTCTGTCGAGAAACTGACTTGAAATAGGTTGAAACTAATTTTATATTACAATAAAGTGCTGAATATGGTTTACGCGCACTTCATACTAACAGTTTTATTAGTGTATTGATGTAGATCGGAACCAGGTTGAGCGCTAAGTTCTTAAGCTACCACAGCCTGCTTTACCACGTGCTCGGTGATAAACAATATATCGTCGCAAACAAAATATAAACCAGCATGGCAGACAAACAAGACTTTGCAAGGACGTGATGTAGTCTTAACAGATTTTACTAAACTAGTGCGGCATACTAATTGCTTTTTTATAGAAGAGGGGTCACAAACGAGTGCTTCGATTAAGAATCAAAATGCAGATGAGGCTGGTTTCCTACACTCACCACATGGTGCACAGCAGAATACTAAGCTGCTATTTTACGCTGGTATTCTATAAAAACGAGGTTACTCTCAAGCCGGCCCATTCGTGCCGCAACCATAATATAGCTACATCGTTGTTCTACCCGTGCTCACAGAAATGTAACAGTAACTTTAGTTTTGTTATTGTATTCACTAACAGGATACAGCTCGCTGAACGAGGGCGCGCACACGCCCATGTATAACACGACTGTGGGGCACGTGGCGACGCATGTGACGCACGTGGCAACGGTGACACACGCACACACGCCGCAGTTGAGCGTGGCCCACGACTCTCAGCTGGCGCCTCGATGCTGGCGCACCATGTACCTCCTGCTGGACCTGTACGCGAACATGCCCGACGCGGACACCATCACGCACAGGTACGACACCACCGTGGGGTACGCGGGGCACGTAGTGACACACGTGGCGTACGATTCGTAGCTGGCACCTCGCTGCTGGCGCACCATGTACCTACTGCTGGACCTGTACGCTGGACGTTAATGCCCGACGCAGACACCATCACGCACAGGTACGACACCACAGTGGGATACGCGGGGCACGTAGTGACACACGTGGCATACGATTCGCAGCTGGCGCCTCGCTGCTGGCGCACCATGTACCTACTGCTGGACCTGTACACGAACATGCCCGACGCAGACACCATCACGCACAGGTACGACACCACAGTGGGGTACGCGGGGCACGTAGTGACACACGTGGCGTACGATTCGCAGCCTGCGCCTCGCTGCTGGCGCACCATGTACCTACTGCTGGACCTGTACGCGAACATGCCCGACGCAGACACCATCACGCACGGGTACGACACCACAGTGGGGTACGCGGGGCACGTAGTGACACATGTGGCGTATGATTCGCAGCTGGCGCCTCGCTGCTGGCGCACCATGTACCTACTGCTGGACCTGTACGCGAACATGCCTGACGCAGTCACCATCACGCACAGGTACGACACCACCGTGGGATACGCGGGGCACGTAGTGACACACGTGGCGTACAATTCGCAGCTGGCGCCTCGCTGCAGGCGCACCATGTACCTACTGCTGGACCTGTACGCGAACATGCCCGACGCAGACACCAACCATCACGCACAGGTACGACATCACAGTGGGGTACGCGGGGCACGTAGTGACACATGTGGCGTACGATTCGCAGCTGGCGCCTCGCTGCTGGCGCACCATGTACCTACTGCTGGACCTGTACGCGAACATGCCTGACGCAGTCACCATCACGCACAGGTACGACACCACCGTGGGGTACACGGGACACGTAGTGACACACGTGGCGTACAATTCGCAGCTGGTGCCTCGCTGCTGGCGCACCATGTAGCTACTGCTGGACCTGTACACGAACATGCCCGACGCAGACACCATCACGCACAGGTACGACACCACAGTGGGGTACGCGGGGCACGTAGTGACACACGTGGCGTACGATTCGCAGCTGGCGCCTCGCTGCTGGCGCACCATGGACCTACTGCTGGACCTGTACGCGAACATGCCCGACGCAGACACCATCACGCACAGGTACGACACCACCGTGGGGTACGCGGGGCACGTAGTAACGCACGTGGCGTACGATTCGCAGCTGGCGCCTCGCTGCTGGCGCACCATGTACCTACTGCTGGACCTGTACGCGAACATGCCTGACGCAGTCACCATCACGCACAGGTACGACACCACCGTGGGATACGCGGGGCACGAAGTGACACACGTGGCGTACAATTCGCAGCTGGTGCCGCGCTGCTGGCGCACCATGTACCTACTGCTGGACCTGTACGCGAACATGCCTGATGCAGTCACCATCACGCACAGGTACGACACCACCGTGGGGTACGCGGGGCACGTAGTGACACATGTGGCGTACGATTCGCAGCTGGCGCCTCGCTGCTGGCGCACCATGTACCTACAGCCGGACCTGTACGCGAACATGCTTGACGCAGTCACCATCACACACAGGTACGACACCACCGTGGGGTACGCGGGGCACGTAGTGTCGCACGTGGTGTACAATTCGCAGCTGGCGCCTCGCTGCTGGCGCACCATGTACCTACTGCTGGACCTGTACGCGAACATGCCCGACGCAGACACCATCACGCACGGGTACGACACCATTAGTTATTAATCAAATTATATTCCTCAATATTTTAAAATTTCATAATTTGAATGCTGTGTGCTTATTTGCCAGGTTCTCAGTATCAGCGGAGCTACCGGAGCAGTACCGGCAGCCGCGCGTTCGTCCCAGCTCCCGCGAGCAGAACACCAGCAACTCGTCCTCGAGTGCCGCCGGCATGGGCATCGTCGTCGTCGGCATTGCTCGGTAACGTTTCGGAATGAGAAAGTGCATAGAGGAATGGTAGACGTGGATTAGATGATTGCAAACTTTTGTATTTTGTTATATTTAATTATTTGAAAGCTTTGTAAATTGTAACTACCATAGAATACTATAATACATACATAACAGAACGGGGCGGAGCCCGTGTAGCCAGCACAGTCAATGGTTTCCACTTTTCGTGTCAAGCGTCGCTGCATGCAAATTATGTAAAAAATGGCAAATTGTGCAATCATTACGTGTCGAAATAACAGCGAGAAATGGAATTTAAATAAACGAGACATATTCTATAACCAGTAAGTCGAAACTTTTTATATTTTGTGAATATGAGAAACAAAAATAAAAAAATATTTGTGTCAAAAAAGATAACCAAAAGTTTAAAATGTGTTTGTAGTAGTGATAACTGATAATACGACGTAATTGCTTGTATGTGTGCTCCAGGCGACGCCAATCCTCGTACAAAATAAGGTTGACAACAATTCTATTGTGTATTATAGTATTCTATGGTAACTACCTAAACCTAATTAAGAATTATACTTTTGTAGGACAGTCTTCATTTTATTATATATTAGTTTTTTTCTCTCACTTTGTCTATTGAAGTAATGGTTTTGTGATACCTAATGCTACTCATAGTAATAGCCTGAGTTAGTGCGGCGTGCTAGTGTCGTGGCAGTAAATGGAAGTTTGTTGAATCAGAACGTGGGAGAGCTACGCTGCAGCGATATTCTGATTGTAGCACGAATGGGTCAGCTCGATATAGATAGGAGGACCACACTTCTGCAGAATACCAGCTTAAATATCAGTTTAATGCTGTGTTCCGTATGGTGAGTGTAGAGAACCTTTTTACTGGAAACGAGGCATTCCATTTCAGTCTTCAGGGGTGACAACACATCTGCATTTTTATTCTTAATTAAGGATAAATGTCTATGTGTCACAGCATCCACTTACCATCAACTGGACTGTGTGCTCGTTTGTCATCTTTATACTATATAAATAATGTTTTGTTAAACGCCAAATTAATATGTAAACTGCATATTATTTTTCTTAATAATATTACTCTGAAAATACGTTTTATATTTTCTCCTTATGGCCTAAATTAAATATATTCTAATATACTTCGTTTCCCGTGTAGTGGCGGTTTAGAATATCCACTACCCCATATCTTCCCGTGGGTGTCGTAAGAGGCGACAAAGGGACACAGGCGGGAGATGGGCAGCAGCATCTTCCTGATAACAGAAAAATAATAAAAAAAGCGGCGGTTACCAATCCGCTTGCCCAGCGTGGTAACTATGGCAATGCATCATCCATTAAGAGTTATAAAGAGACGGCCCCCAGTACACAGTGGCCCTGCTATTCCGACGATGGCGTGGCAACCATTGTAACGGCGGAGCAGGGGGGACGACCGACCTGTCAGCATACAACGCACGCTCTCTGAGGACTAATGAGAAGATCCTGGAGCTGAAATAAAAGATAGACAAGCTGCGCTGGAAAATTATAGAATAAAACGAGGTCCGAAGAGAATGGGCGACCATTTGCCAAGGTGTCGTCGGATTTGTCGCCCCCAAGTCTCTCGTTAACAACGTTGTAAAGATTGGGAGTGTGGTGAAGAGGGTCGCGTACCTTATACTCAGAATCAACAAACGGTATTCGCCAAGAGTCGTACAGATTTACGCAAAAACCTCTACACATCCCGATGAGGAGGTGAAGGAAATGTATGAGTATATATCATGCATTCCTCCAAAACCCACTATACGGTGTTACGAGGGGTGATCCAAAAGTAATGATAATGAAAATAAAACACTGTAATTAAAGTTAAAATAATAATTTATTTTTCTACATAGTCCCCTAACAAATCAATACATTTAGTCCATCTTTTTTCTAAACCCAAGATTCCCTTTGAAAAAAATTCTTTGTCTTGACCCCTCCCGTAATCTTCTTATTTGGTCTGCGTAGTATGAGCCCGTAATAGTGGCTCCCTTTTCCAAATATTCCACCATAATTATGCCTTGAGCGTCCTAAAAAACAGATGCCATAACCTTTCCCGCCGAACTTTAAACTTTGAATTTCTTTGGCGTCGGTGAGGAGTATCGCTTCCAAGTCATCGATTGTTGTTTCGTTTCAGGATCAAAATGGTGGATTCAGGTCTCGTCCATAGTCCCAAAACGGAACAAAAAAATTTCTTGATCCGCTTGAAACTTTTCGAGATTGACCCTCGAAATGTCAACTCGATTTTTCTTTTGCTCGTCGGTAAACATTCTGGGCACCCAACGCGCAGAGACCTTTTTCATATGCAACTCGTTCGCAAGGATTCTTTGAACGCTGCCATATGAGATCCCTGTGACCTCAGCTACATGCCTGATGGTCACTCTTCGATCTGCCAACACAACATCTTCGACTTTTTTCACGTTGTCTTCAGTGAGAGACGTCGATGGGCGTCCTTCGCGATGTTCATCTTCAGTGGATGTTCTGCCCAGTTTAAACTCCTTGGCCCAGCGTGCAACTGTAGAATATGGAGGAGCAGAGTCCCCCGATGTTTCCACTAAGTCACTGTGTATGTCTTTTGAAGACATTTTTTTCAAACAGAGGTACTTGATGACAGCTCTAATTTCGTTTTTCTCCATGTTGTGTTATCTCTTTGACAGTTCGTATTCAAATGAATGTATCTCCCGGAAATCGTGATCTATTTATATGATTTTTTTAGGCTGACGTAGTAAGTATATAAGCAAGCAAAAATATTTTTTTTGGATGTTTATGCGGACCTGAAGTAACCGATTATCATTACTTTTGGATCACCCCTCGTAATAGGAGACTTCAACGCAAAACTCGGCACAATAGAGAACGGTGAGCTGAAGGCAAAGAAATTTGGAATAGGGCAACGGAACTAAAGGGGCCAGCAGCTGGCTGACTTCATGAAGAAAAAGGGACCCCGACGGTTCGACAAAAAATAAGATAGACTTCATTATGACGACTAGACGGCAACTGTTCAGTGATGTCTCAGTGATCGCGAGGGTGAAAACTGGCAGCAATCACCGAATGGTTAGAGGCACACTGAACTTAAACGTTAAGTTAGAGAGGTCTCGTCTAATGAAGTCAACCCTTCGTGCTTTAATCTAAAATCCCGAAAATTTTCAGCTTGAGTTACGTAACCGCTTTCAGTTCCTAGAAGATTGCAATACCTTGGAAGATATGAATGATACGTTCGTGGAAACTGTCCATTCGGTCGGAACTAAGTTCTGCAAGACCCGCCGCAGGAGAACACAAAAACTCCGATCACACTCTTCTGGTGGTTAGACGGGAAACGAAATTGTAGTCTTCAGCAGATTTGACAGCGAGATACGCAACTTCAATACAACTTCGTATTAAATAATTAATTATTATCCGAGTACAGAACCAAAGTACGAAATCTATCCAATATCAGAAAGTGTAAGACAGGTGACGTTATATACTCGAAACTCTTGACCGCTGCATTGGCAGACGTTTTCAAGTTTCTGGACTTAATAGGATACGGTATTAACACTTGGTGAGTACATCTTCACTCATCTTCCATTTGTTGACGATATAGTACTTACGTCAAATTCGCTGGAGGACCTATGCACTATGCTCAATGATCTCTATAGTGCTTCCCAACGGATAGGTCTTAACATCAACATGGACAAAACAAAGATCATGCGTAACGTCCATGTCACACCAATGCCGGTAGTTGTTGGGAGCACTAAGTTAGAAGTTGTTGAATATGTTTACCTGGGACGAATAGTTCGGCTAGGTAAATCCAACCTCGACCAAAAGGTCAATCGACGGATTCAACTCGGGTGGGCAGTGTTCAGGAAATTACGACACATCCTCTCGTTAGATACCAGTGCGTTTTACCAGTGATGACTTATAGATTTGAGACGTGGTCCTTCATTGCTGGCCGTATGAGGACTCTCAAGGTCGCTTAGCGAGCTATGGAGAGGGCTATGCTCGGGGTTTTTCTGCGTTATAAAATTAGAAATGAAGATATCCGCATTAGAACCAGAGTGACCGACATAGCCCAACGGATTCGTAAGCTGAAGTGACGATGGGTCGGCCATATAGCTCGAAGAACCGAAAAGCCATGGGGAAAAAAGGTTCTCAAGTAGCAACCTCGTACCGGAAGGCGAAATGTAGGGCGACCCCCCACTAGATGGAGTGGCGACCTGTTAACACATGCAGGAAGCCGATGGATGCAGGTGGCTGAGGACCGTGCTTTGTGGCATTCCTTGCGGCAGGCCTATATAGTGGACTTGTGAATGACTGTAATGCTGATGATTAAACTTCGTGGTTTCTTTTGAATACCGAATATCAAGTCTAAAGAAGAAGAAATGGACCTTTCTTCGGGTAATCTCTCTTAAGCTGAGAGCTAGCGCTGCTTTGTCAATTATATTGTACCCGGCCAACGCAAGATTTGCCTCTTTCGACATATCATTTCATTTGTGGATTTAAGAAAGTCTGGCTTGAATTTTTATTCACCATACGAAACACAACATTGAACTGCTATTTAAGCTGGTATTCTCTGAGAACGTGGTTTTTCCCCGGTCGGGCCGACCCATTTAAGTAATATAATAAGTATAAAAAAGTATAAAATAGCTGCAGCATGGCTATAGACGTATATAAATATAACTGTGCGGCGGGTGCGGGTGGTGTGCGCAGGATGCACCGCACGCGGCTGCTAGCGTCGCTGTCGGGACTGAAGCTGGAGGCGGAGCTGACGTCGCTGCAGGGCTCGCTGTCGGCGTCGCGCACGCAGCAGTGCGCGCTCTCCGGCAACCTGGGCCGCGCCATGATCGTGCTGCTCGAAGGCGTCGCGCCGCATCAACAGTCAGTGCCACGCTTCAATTCACTTTCTCTCTCTCTCTCTCTCTCTCTTTCTTTCTTTCTTTCTCTAGGATAGTTGACACCATCATTATTAATAATTAACTACATCATAATATAGATAGAATTTTTTACTTTTAGTCAGTTGTCTTGAAACGAGGTGGATTCTCCGTTTTAATATAGTACTATGGTATACACTGTGTCCCAGAAAGAATGGATAATCCGGAAGCGCCTAATAGTACAGGTATCAGGCGCTCAAATAGAAATACAAAAAAAAATATTCCAAGTGGTGCCAAAAATATGAAGGTTCTAAAAGAATTTTGTGGTGGCCGGTGGTTTTTGGTGCTAGTTTATACCAGACACTAAATGCACAAATATGCAACAATTTTACTTACGATAGATGTATTATAATATACTGGCGTTAGAAAAAAAGTGGCAATGCAAAAGTAAAGGGGCGTATTTAGAGCGAGAAAGATAAAAAAATAGTGGTTTGTTTTACGAGATTTCTACCTAAAAGTTGCTTGCTTTTCCTAATGTAGGTGACATTAGGAGTCAGGGACTTTAAATTTATTTGTTAAAATTTATTAGTGAAATAAAGCATTATTATTATTATTTGAAAACCTCCAAAACTGTAAGTATTCACTTATTGATTTTATATGTATCTGTTAATTTTGTATCTATTTATTGATTTTAAAATACTATGTTGATTTATTACTATGTTATTCTGTTTTTAACGCCGCATAGGTTCCATACATTCGGTGATAGAGCCTGGTTTTGAGAACTAAATTTTTGTACGTGGTAGAGCCATGCTGCAGTTATATTAGTAGTATAGTTGTAGCACGAATGGGTAGGCTCGACCGGGGAAGGACCACGCTCTCTCACAGAATACCGGCGTGAAATAGTAGCTTAATGCTGCTGTGTTTAGTATGGTGAGTGTAGATAACCGGAGACCCTTTTTACTGAAAACGAGGCATTCCATCTTAGTCCTCACGGGTGACAACGTAATCTGCATTTTGATTTGTAATCGAGTATAGGATGTTGATTTCTATGGATCGCAGCAATAACTTACCATCAGGTGGACTGTGTTCTCGTTTGTCACCCTATCCTATAAAAAAACTAAAAAAAATATTATCGACCTTGGCCTTGACCACAGGTCTGACGGGGTTGGTCCGATACAATGTCCGGATCTGAGAGGTTAAGAATAGGAACAAACGATTTGTATACAAATGGATGGGAAAAGTGATCACATTTTATAATAATCTGAATGAATAAGAATCGAATTCAAAATAATCACAAATACATGAAATCCTGCTAATTCTACCCTTACTTTTCTAGAGGTTTCTTACTATTGATATGTCATTAACTCGCAAAAGTATGCCTGACATGATTACTGATTAAGAAACCAAATCAACTCTCGCCCATTGACATTTCGTTTCATATCGCGCGTGTCACAGTGTCGGTTGTCATGACAGTCGTCGGTTACGTCGTTAATAAGCAGAAATTTATTTTTATTATATTTTATTTATTATGACGATACTACTAAGCCCATTAAAAGTTTTAAAGGAAAATTGAAATCATAATTCGCGTCGTGTAGTTATTAACTTAAGCATTAATAGGAAGCGTGCCACTAAGAAAGTAAACATTATACAATAATTTTAGAAACGAAAGCTTGAATTGAATCGCACACATAGGAGCGCGTCACGCTTAGTTGTTGCCCATAAATCACATTCAATATACAGGTTTTTAGAATAACCCTGTATAGATATCTATATACTATTTGTATCACCCACTTTAATTTGTAATTCTGTTGAGTTTATATTGTTATTACTTTCGATTATTGAATTTATTGTTTTGTTAAGTTTATTTTCGTTATTTGTTGAGTTTGTTTACTTAACATGCTGATACGAACAAAAATAACCAGTGTTTTGGGAAGTCAAACGAGGCGGTTATTCATTCGCCTTCGAAATTACTTTGAGCGAGAACAACAAAATTACGGCGCACGCAAGTGAAATAAATTTATCTTTTATAATTTGTTTAATTTTCAAAAAGAAATTAGGTGATATTAATCTAATTGGAGTTAATTTTAATTTTATTGTCATAATAGATAAGCAAAATTAATAATCTAGTCTACTACATTTAACATTTACAGTATTACATTTACGTTTACAAAAACACACCTAAGTTACGTTCTGGTGACCTAACGTCCTCTGCACCATGCTACAATGCAAGGACTATAATGGACGAAAACTACGAGTGTTTGATAAATAGGAGCAGCTTTGTATTGTTGAGTGTTTTCTGTGTGGCAGGACGGTGGTGCGCGTGAGCGTGGGAAAGTCGGGCGTGCTGTACTCGTGGGAGGGTGGGCGCACGGGCGCAGCGGCCGTGCTGAGCGTGGGCGGCGTGCGTGTGGACCTGCCGCAACATCCTGTCGCACTGCACGGCGTCATGACGCGCTCCAGCCGCCAGCTCTCCTCCACGCTGCAGGTGGGCACTCTCACATTACTCTGTACACGTGTGCGTGCACGTGAATCTGCCGCAACATCCTGTCGCAGAGCACGGCGTCATGACGCGCTCCAGCCGCCAGCTCTCCTCCACGCTGCAGGTGGGCACTCTCACATTACTCTGTACACGTGTGCGTGCACGTGAATCTGCCGCAACATCCTGTCGCTGAGACGCGCTCCAGCCGCCAGCTTCCGACAGGTGGGACTTCACATTACTCTGTACACGTGTGCGTGCATGTGAATCTGCCGCAACATCCTGTCGCAGGGAGGCCAGCTATCACATTATCTTTAGACGTGTTGGCGCGCTCCAGCCGCCAGCTCTCTTCTACGCTGCAGGTGCGCACTCTCACATTGCTCAGTACACGTGTGCGTGTGGGTGGAACTTCCGCACCATCCTGTCGCACTACACGGTGTCATGAGCCGCTCCAGATATCATATTGATAAACCTGAGAACACCGGATGTTAATCCATTGAGGCAAAGCATAGAGAGAAGTAGAGCGTAGGTAGAGAGTAGTAGAAAAACAGTTCGTTGCCAAGAGAACGTCATCATTGTTCCTTCTTTTGTTACAGGAATTGGGCGTGACGCGTACATCATCGCGTCAATCTCGCAATCCGCCTGGAGTGCCGCCCCCGTCGAACGGTCAAGCGGGAGCGGGACCGGGCACTGCGGCAGCGGGGGCGGGAGCGGGTGGCACTGGGCTGCAGGCTGAAGCGGGCACGGCTGCGACAGAGACGGAAGCGGAAAGCAGGCCGCCTCGCAGCACTCGCCCGGTGACGGCGCCGCGCCACGAGCCGCTGCTGCAGCCCTTGCAGCTGCAGTTCACCATTATGTTGCAGGTGAACATCTGCAACGCACGTTCATCCTCCTTTACATTTATTCTTAGTATTGCATTTTTAACCCACTTATAAATTTAGATCGCCGACTAACTTCTACCAACTACCAACCAGTTTAAAAATTAGTTCATGATCACTACGTCAGGCAGACTGTTAAATACGAGGATATTAACAATAACCTCTTTCTATATATATATATATATATATATATATATATATATATATATATATATATATATATATTGTTCTTAACGAAGCAGATCTTAATGTGATCGATATAATATAAACTTAAAATAAAAGTGGATCAAGGATCGACCCTTGAGGACAATATGTCATTTATGTTAAGTTTCTGTTCAGTATTTTAGAATTACCGACAGTAGACTTTAGTTTATGAATTATGATATCGTGCTGGACAAATTTTTTGTAAAAAAAACGATTTTAACAGCCCATTAAAAGTACCTATGTAAATTGAATTTACATAGGTAATTTTAATGGGCTGTTACTTTTATGTAATCCACAATCTCGGCCTTTTGCCAAACAAATTTTTAAAGATTTTCATAAAATTGTCTTTGTATTGTAATTTATTAAAAAACCAAAAAAAATACGTGTGGCACTCGGTGACTGCCGCGGTAAAGCTATTGCATAGCATTTTTTATCAACTTATGCAATTATAATTATTTATTTATTTTATTTATGCAGTTAAGTCTTTGATATTAAATCAAGTTACACTTTTTGAGCGTGGTGACCGATAAGAAAACAATTTTTTTTCTCGTATTGAATAAATGAGAAGTTAATATTGTTTAAAATATTTTTAATATCTTGCAATACATGTAGGTTATTCAGGAATTTTTATCATTGAGTTAGCAGCTAGTGTACACGCACACAAACACCGTGCCGAAGTCTGCCCAGTGCCGAAGTCTGCCGAGAACTAAAACGACGTTAGACGATGCACGGCTTTCAACGCCACACCTCCGTGCCCGTCGGAGTGGGGAGCGTGAGGTTTTTTTTCGTTACGGAATTTCTGGATTCGGTCCCCGCGCTCAAGGCCCGCGATAGAAGCTATGCAATAGCTTAAAAAAATCTAAAACAAGACACATCTCGCACAGAGCCTGAGCATAACGGCCGCACTGCTGCCGTCGTTACAAGCGCAGTACAAGATGGAGCAAGTGCACAGCACGGGCGTGACGGGCCTCAAGGCGCATTTCACTGTCGACCTGCCCACGCACTCGCTCAGCTTCGCTACTAAATTACAGGTATGTCACGAAGTATTCTTGTAAAATGTTTTTCTTATTCTAAGGTCAATATGCTAAAAATAAAAAATTGATTTCATTTTATGTTTTATATGCAAGTGCAAGTTGTAAGAAACATGTGATCATATATTTTAAATATGATATACGATATATTTTAATATAGGTATTACGATCAATTTTTTAAGAATAAAGTAAGTAAATAAGCAGGTGGCTCCGAGGACCGAATTCACCTGAGTTTTGATTGCTGTTGATATTTTTGTTTGTAATTTAAATTGAGTTATTAGGCGCATATGAAATTTTTCAGAGTCAAAAAATAATATTGCAATGAATAGAGTGAATAGAATATTAATTTTAGTATATTACTTAATCGTTCGCCTTAAATTTTACATCAGTTAAATTGTTAATTGCAATTTTAAAATTAAGGATGTGTGTAATCTATTTTTTGCATTATAACTAAAAAATAAAAAGGAAGAATAACAACTTTATATAGCTTAAATCTTTATTATTTTATTTCGATCAACTCATACTCGAGTAGCGTGTTAAACATATAATATAGTGACATCCTATTTACGTACTACTGTTAGGTACAGGGCTCTCACTTCTGAGAGGGTTTTAAGGCAAGAAAGTGTCCGCCGAGCTGCCCAAATGCATGTTGGCGGATTTCATATGTCATATGCAGGTCTCCTTACGATGTTTTCCTTCAACGCAGAGCACTTAAAATTGCAATTAACAATTTCATTGGTGTCAACGGGGGTTGAACTCAGGTTGCTCGCGTATTGTGAAATTTACACCGAGCGCCGAGCGCTAACCTACTGAGCTACCACGCCTCAAATATGTATGCGGTCGAATATAACTTTGCTTATTCTTTTTTACGAAAGAGCTACTGCTTCGTGACGCTTACAGAATGTCTTATTTGCTTCTGATAGGTAACTGAAGCCAACATTCCGGCCGCGGCATCGGTGGCGTTGCCGGCCGTGTCGTGTCGCGCGCGAGTGTTGGGTGCCGAGTGTGGGGAGAGCGGGGACGGACGAGAGGTTGAGGAGGACGGAGAGGCTGGAGAGACCGTGGAGGGTGGGGAGGGAGGAAAGGCTCCGGGGCGCGGGGAGTGCGGGGAGGAGGGCGTGGTGCTGCGCGCCGGCCGCTACCTGGCCGCCACCGCCGACATCGGCCTCTTCGAGCACACGCTCTCCACCGACCTGCTCAACCACCTCGTCTTTGTGCAGAAGGTCTTCATGAAGGTCGGTCGCCACTCGTCTCTCACACTCCACAACTCGTATGCGCTTTTCATTGTTTTATTACTCACAAATAACCTTAACACAGAAGAGATCCGTATCATAGAATTTTTTTAAATATGGAATGAGGATGACAAACAAGCGTACAGTCCACTTAAAGGTATGTGGATGCTATGGCCCATAGACATCTACATTTATTTTATCCTTGATTAAGAATAAAAATGCAGATGCGTTATCCCGCCTAAACACTAAGACGGAATGCCTCGTTTCTTATAAAAAGGATCTCCGGTTCACAAACATATATGAATTCTCGCGCCTGATACCCAGAGAGCTAGTCAGAGTCTACGGACTTCCATTTAGCACGATCCTAACGCGGGGTGTCTTGAATATTTCACATCATATCTACCTAAGCATACTTGTCTATTAAGGGTACTCTTAATTTTACTTATCTTCAATAATCACCAAATATCTCCATCAAGGAACATCGCATCAAACCTTATAGTGTTAACGAAAAAAAATTATAAGGGAATAAAGAAAAGAGAATTGCGTAAACACTGGTGCATGTACGCACATGCACTTACGTGCGTATACGCGCTTATCCATATATAACAAATATAGTTAGGTACAAAGAAATCAAGTCTAATTATTTATTTATACCTAATGTGTTAGTAAAATTCGCTTGACATATCAGTCAAGTCAAAAGCCCACTCCTGAACATATATCTTTATATAGATTGCCCCATAGACAGGTTGGCAACCGAAGTTTAATATTTTATAGTTATTATCAGTATGACGCTGATGCCAATCTCCTGGTTTGTTTCCTCTGTCGCCCACGGGACGCTATGGGGTAGTAGATATTCCTACACCGCCATTACATGATTACACACCACATGTGACATTTATTTTATATTGTATTATATAAATAAATTCAGTGTATCATATATTTTATTTTTTTTTTTATTTTCAATATAATAAAAGAGTAGAAATTGGAAATGTTTAACATAAGTTTTTTACATTTCATTTTCATTAGAGCTTATCAAAAGACCACTATTAAACATATGCTTCCTCCATAGATTGTATTGTTGATGGGTATTTTACATAGTTACAATCATTGACAGGCTAGTTGGCAATGCCAGTAATTTATTATATTGACTTGCTGTCAGGAAGATCTGTTTAATTTTCGTGCTGCAGTTTGTTATCGGATGGTGAATTCTCGTCCTTCGCAAAATACCATGAATTACAAATATCAAACTGCCTGGTCATAATCTATCAACCACAATTGTTTAAATACAACATGCATCAACCGAGATATCAAAGAAGAAATAAAAATGTTTCTATAAAAAAATCAACAGAACCACGGAACATTGTTAAAAGTAAAGTAAAGTTACAGCCTATATACGTCCCACTGCTGGGCACAGGCCTCCCCCTCATTTCTGAGAGGGTTTTAGGGTAAGGAAGTGTCTGCCGCGCTGCCCCAATGCGTGTTGGCGAACTTCACATGTCTTCGAAACATTTTTTCTTGTTCCTCAGACATGCAGGTTTCCTCACGATGTTTTCCTTCACCGCCGAGCACGTGGTAAATCAGCACTTAAAATTGCAATTAACAATTTCATTGGTGCCGGCGGGGATCAAACCCGGGTTACTCGCGTTCTGTTATATTTACAGCGAGCGTTAACCATCTGAGCTACCACGGCTTACTACTACGGTACATTGTTTATTACTTGTAATAGGAGATTTAACGGCCACATTGAAAAAAGGACGAACGAAGACTAAGCAATTGGACCATATACCCCATGCGTTTAAAACATAAAGAGCTATAATTTAAAACAACTGATTTATTTATTAACTACAAATAATATAAAAACTTTCCATCTATACTTGCAGGAAGTAAACGAAGTAGTTCAGAAAGTTTACGGCGGTGAGAAACCAGTCCCGCTGTGGAACGAGGAGGAAGCCTCGTCCTCGGCTCTCAACCGAATACTCTTTTCTCTGATCATCAGGATAAAGGTAATCTATCATCATCATCATCATCATCGTAGCCCCTTGCAAGTCCACTGCTGAACATAGGCCTCACCCAGGGAATTGTCATTCCATCTATTGAGATACCACCATACTGTCTGTTTTTCCTTAAAACAGTTAATACATTTTAACTGGCATTTCTGAAAATGAAATAACATTTAATGTGTAAAAGCATAATTTTCTTTGTTAGCCCACTTCTAAAAAGGAGGAGTTTCTGAGTTCGACGAGTTGTTACCCTGAGGTTGGGAAATTGCATAGCCTACTCGAAAGGGTCAAAAACTATATTAAAAAAAAAGAAAAACCAATTTGAAAAGATTAAGTAATAAAACAACGTTCATAATATTTAATAATATCTGAAGTCGGAGCTTAAACTTACTCATAGTGTATTGAAGAATCAAAGCCTCTACTAAGAAGGTATTAAATTATGTGAATATTATTAAAATACTTTCGAGAACCGACAACATATGGGTAATAAAGGTTCTCAAGTGGCAGCCTCGTACCGATAAACGACATACAAAATGCAGTCAGTAGATGGATGCAGTTACTCAGGACCGTACTTTATGGCAATCTACGAGGCCGAGCTATGTTATGTCGTAGTAGTGTTAGAAAGTAATATCGGAACTACAATAGGAGATCCCACTTCTGATGTCGGAAATACAACAGGATAAGTCCAATTGTTAAAAATAATAAAAGTGTGTGAGGGGATGTTCAACTTGCGCTCTTGCTTACGCAATAAATCATTATCAGTAATAAGACAGCATAACGAACTATACATTCAGTATAGAGCTATTACAGTTCAACCATACATACCGTAATATGTATGTCTCCGTCACAATTACACACTGGTGTGACGTGAGGGATACAATTACATGATGAGAGCAAAGTATGCAAACCATGAAGGTTAGAGAACAGGAGAACGATCACTACGTACTAAAGCATAGCCCGCCTGTCCTTGAAAATTGTAGAATATATAGCGGCGCTGACGTCGGTGAGTAGTGACTGCGAAGTTAACTGTTTATGAGTACAAGTAGTTGAAGTAAGTTGAATATTGTACAAATTTTCATGCTCCGTAATTTTGTAATTTTTGACAAAAGGAACATTAAAAAATGGAGAAATATTTTATTGTCCGTGGATGGTTGTGGTTATGGTTTTTGAAAGAGAAGAAAGTAAAACGATTTGTAAAATAAGAATAGAAGGGGAGTTGATCTAGCAAGTAGATGAGTTTGTATATTTGGGCTGCGTATTTAGCAGGGATGGGAGATATGAAAGGATATAAAACGACGAGTGAATGCGGGAAATAGAGTAAATGGGGCCCTGCACTCTATTGTGAATAGTCAAAATGTGTCAAAAAAGGCACGTATGGCAATTCACAATTATGTTGGTCCTTACTTTAACGTATGGTAGTGAAAGTTGGGTGTGGCAGAAGAAGCACGAGAGTAGAATCAACGCAATAGAAATGCGGTCGTTAAGGAGTATGTTATGGCTGAATCTGAACGACAGGGTAAGAAATTGTGTAATAAGAGAAGAGTGTGGCTTGCAAGATGATGTTGTGACCAGGATTAAGAAAGGAATGCTTCGGTGGTTTGGTCATTTTCCACATGAAAAATATATAAATAATGGAAACCGTCGTCTCCTAATCAGCCCTACCCCATTCGTGCAACAACTTGTATTGGGCATATACTACCTTAAATGGCTTAGCATGATCCTCCGTTATGCCGAAAATATTGCAGCATTAATTTTGAAATAAATATAAGGTAAATTTGAGGAGGAGAGGGTAAAGTTGAGGATTAATGTTAAGTACTATGTTAGACGAAAACACGATTCCGTAAAATATTGTCAATAGAAAAAAATACAAAGTTACCTCCAAACTGAGCGATAAACTGCTGATATTCATAAAATACTTTAAATTAGATCATGAAACTTTGCATACTAACTGAACTAACTATAAAGCAGGGCTTATGTTTTTTTTATTTTTTTTTAAATCACCATTATTTTCACTGTAAAAAGAAATTACCTAAACTATCGGCGTCTTGAAGCTTGTTCTCTAACTTTCGAACGGGAAAGCTGCGTCGCTTACGATCAGAATACACATTACGCCTTAACCTTAATAAAAATAAGAAGCGACTGGGTTGGCGTAAAGAAACTAGCGTAAATAGAGTAACCTAATGAAATAAGTATCTAACGACCTATCTACTTACAGTATTAGTGATTACAAACATGTCTGTACATATCATAAGACGCGCGGGGAAGTGGGGGCGAAATTAGAATTTGAGCTGAGGTAGTATATGCCCTTATTATAACTAATATATAATATAAACTGAAAAAGTCATGTGCGTTGGCGAGCGTGCATAATGGATTCGAATTCGTCACTGTTTGTCGAAACGTATATTGAAAACTTAATTCAGAAAATTGAAAAAAAGACCAGCGATCTATAAAAAGAACTTAAAAGACTACTCTGATTCTACTCCTCCTTTGTATCAAGTAAACAATAATAATATTTTTGGGCACTATTCCACGAGTTTGATCTCTTCACCAACTCCAGCAAATGTATCAATTAGCCGACTGTTGGTTGGCTAGTCTGCGCAGCCACGTCTAACCTAATTGTTTTGTTCACCCAGTGTGCGCACTAACAGCCCAATCTGATGAAACTATCGGCCGATAGAAAGTCTGTAGTCTGCGGGGACACTAAGGAGTATGTTAGGGCTGAATCTGAGTGACAGGGTGAGAAATTGTGTGATAAAAGAAGAGTGTGGTCTGCAAGATGATGCTGTGACCAGGATTAAGAAAGGAATGCTTCGGTGGTTTGGTCATGTAGAAAGAATGAATGAGGAAAGAGTGACAAAGCAAATTTATGTTGCAGAAGTGAATGAACGAGTGAGAAAGGGACGCCCTAGGCCAAAGTTTATCGACCAAATTGGCGATATATCGAAAATGGGCCAAATTGGGAGTACCCTTAACCGACGAGCATAGGTATATGAATGTAGAGGAGACGAGAGAGGTGTGTCAGGATCGTGCCAAATGGGAGTCTGTAGTCTCTGCCTACCTCTCTGGGTGACAGGCGTGAGTGTTTATGTATGTATGTGCGTGGATGTGCAAGTGATTGAGCATCTGATCGGAAAAATAGACCGAAAATGACTTTTATTGACTGCACGTAGTGATCGCAGCGCCTCACTGATGGTGTCCATATTTCTGGGACACTATTTTCTACGGCGATCGTTCTTCTGTTCTCTAACCTCCATGATGCAAGCAACTGCAACACTACCCATCTCAATGTAACACAGAGCAGCCTCTCAACAACGCCATCTTCCATACTTGCACCAGAAGAACCACTACAACGTACAGCACCACGATACTATCTTAACACGATTACTACGCAGAATGAATTAGACGCAATCTCTCGCGCTCGGCACCTACACTGAACTTTATACTGCACAAATGGGTGGGGGTTTGAATTTGAAATTTTGAATTTGAAGCAATATAATCACCATATTGAGCTTTTGCAAATTCATCCCTTTGAAATAAACAAAACGCGCGTTACGTCAGTTCGTTCTAAAAGAAACGTGACAATGGCAGCCAGAGATGCGTCACTTTTTTGGGCCGGTCCGCATGCACCGAATAAAAATATAGTTCTTATATAATATTGAAAATAAAGTTTTATCTTTTGAATAAGTACGTACTTATTCGGTGTCGTTATCACTCGAATCTTTATATGTGTTTTAAATTAATGCTTTTTGTTGTTAAATTAATAAAGTACTTTATAACAATAGATGATTTTTCTTCTATAGCAATCTTTTACATAACTTTTTAATAATAGTTAATAAGTGTATATTATATCCATCATTATAAAAAAATAATAAAAAAATCATTATAAATAAAGAAAGTACTACATGTAAAATGTGCCTATATATTGAAGGTTTGTAGCCCCTGTTTAACGACCGAAAGGTCATTGTCTGTTTTTCTCAGTCGATTTGGCACTTACTACACGATTGTAAGAGGGTGGCACTGAAAATTTCGGGAATCAAGGAAGTAACACAACATTACTATTTAAAAATGTATTTGTTGCTTTTCGAAGTATTCTCCGCGAAATTTGACACATTTTTCCATACGATGGAATCAATCATTAAAGCAACCATTCCATTCGGAAGTTGGGGTCTCCAAAATGGCCGTTTTGTAGGCGTCCTCAGCTTCTTCAGGTGATGAAAATCTCTGACCTTGCAATTTATTCTTTATTTTAGGGAAAGTATAGAAATTATTAGGGCTTAGGTCGGGGCTGTACGGCGGATGGTCTAATAATTATATGTTTCTTGCTCTAAAAACTCCTTTGTTCCGTGTGCGGTGTGAGAACTCGCATTGTCGTGATGGAGGATGATGCGGCGGTTGCAGTTCTCTTTCCGGAGTTCAGAAACGCCCTGTGGCAAACAAATGCTAGCATACAATTCTGCATTAACCGTTCTTTGTCCCTCAAGAGGAATAGTCGTAACATGGCTGGTTTTGGAGACAAAAGTGGCCACCATTTTTTTTGCAACACACTGTGAACGAACAATTTTTGTTGGCTTTAACCCATTTTCGAACACCCAAACTCGTGACTGGTATTTTGTTTCGGGTTCGTACGCGTATATCCAGGATTCGTCACCTGATACGATATTGTATACAGCATTTGAGGATCCTGCGTGGAATCTTTCGAGAGTTCTGACGCACCAAGTAACGCGAGCCGCTTTTTGCTCTTCACAGAGCGAATGCGGTATCCATCGGGAAAGCAACTTTTTTACACCTAATTGTTCATGCAAGATTATTTATTTGACTTTATTATTTTTGACTCATGCCAATGTCTAAAGTTGCTTGAATTTCGCGGTATGTCACATGTCGATCTTCCTCAATCAGCTTACGCACAGCATCAACGTTTTCTTGGGTGACTGCAGTTTTTGGACGACCTTGACGGGGATCATCACTGAGCTTGACACGTCCACGTTGAAATTCAGCAAACCAGCGATAAATTGTGGTTTTGGATGGGGCTTCATCACCAAATGCAGAAATCATCCGATCAACACACTGTTTTTGTGTTAAACCACTTCGAAATTCATAATAAATCATCGCTCTTGAATTTTCTCGAGTCAATTCCATTCTCTCAACGACTAAACAAGTTTGACAAAACCTTGTGACAAGAGCGAGAATATTTTTTTAAATAAATAAATGTTATTCGATTTTTAAAACCAAGGAGTTTTCAATTAAAAAGATTTTAATATGACAGGAACAGTGGAAATATTCCATTCCCGATACTTTTAGTGCAGCCTATGTATATATTAGTATATACAGAAAAAGAAGTCAAGCGCAGGGGCGCGCGGGCGATACGTTCGCAAGTTCATTGCCTAATGCCCCCGCAACTCGTTAGACGTATACGTCACGAATTGTGAATACAGTATTCCAACAAAAAGATAATCTGGTTAATTTGTTTTCAATTATTTCAAAAATTGGATATGTGCGACAATCCGCACAACTGGGACGGCGATACGATCTTGGTCGCCGAGAATTTTGAAAACACATTGCGTTCATTTAATTTCAATTTTTTTCTTTCAATTTTCCACCGGGTATTTGAAAAAACCGACTGCTTGTACAATATTTTACAAAAATCACAAGTTGATGTCGGTTATTGCAGTAATAAAATAAAGGAGTTTCAGACATGGTTATGTACTGCATTTCAGTCAGATTTTGATCACATTTATGAAAACACATTGCAAAATAACTCTGCTCCTCCTTAGACGTAATGTGCGTTGTGCTCAGACAGAATACAAAGGATTTTTTGTTGAAATTATTGATAACATATCTTCAGAAATTAATGGCCGATATTCTGAAATTTTCAAATTAAAATTTTTCCAATTGTTCAACAACAAACTATTCGAAAAATATCGTTCAGATTTTCCTTTATATGTATTAGATTCATTATTTGAAAATTACGCAAACCATTTTGGTAAACAAACATTGAAAAACCAATTGATTTCATTGTATTCCTTCCCTGAATTAAAAGACCGCAATGTTTTCGAACTCATTGACTTTATAAACGAAAATAGTCCTGAAGAGGCCTTTACCCAGCTTTTAAAGTTAGCTTATCTCGTCGTAACTATTCCAGCCACAAGTTCCTCCGCGGAACGTGCTTTCTCATCTCTGAAGCGCATCCATACTTATTTGAGACATACACAAGGTCAAGAGCGTCTTTCAGACTTATCAATTATCGTAATTGAAAAACAGTTATTGGTATAATTAAAACGTTCACTAACATTTTACGCAGAATCAAATCTTTCCTTAAGAAAGAAATACGATTTCATTTAGAATGTAAATATTTTTTTAATGTTGTACATAGTTTGTTTGTACTTTGTTCATTCTTTTCTTTTGTTCATGTATTGTATTGTATGTATATATCTTTTTCTCTCGCTCAAGCAAACTCAAACGGCTTTTTTCAAAGCCACCGAAGGTATGTAATTGCTGATATGTCATACAATCTATCTAGCAGTGGTATGCCTTCTGTGTGCTTTGTTAAACACGTCCTCGATAGCACTGGATAGTGGAGACAGATCAAGATTGGTGTATATTAATAAAACTGCTAAAACAACAAAACCGTATCTTGGGCTTGCCCTAGTTTGGAGCCCTAGCTTCGCCACTGGTTAAGGGTTAAATTTATATCTTAGGTTCAGATTCCGTTTAAGATCAACATATAATTACGCAAAATATGAATTATTTTCGGTTCAGGTTTCGTTATGAAACGCTGCTCAATTTTAAGATGCTGTTAAGTCTCGTGCTGTCTCTATCACTTTAAGCCAAAATGACTGACACCACGAGAATGAACGACATCTTAAAATTGAGTAGGGTTTGAGTATTTGGCCATTAGTGTCTCAGACACGACATCCTAAGTTACCTGAGATTTTATTGCATAAGGTTAAACGCACATGTATACGTGCTACAGTTATAGATTTTGCTGAGGCTGATTCAAATTGTACGTACTCGTAAGTACATAACTCATGGTACATACTATACGCGTTAAACGAGTATTATTATTTAAATCGCATGCATTATATTTGCAGTATATTTATTCAGAGTGACCGTGTAATATAAAACGTAAGGATGAAGGCAATAAAAATGTGGGTTTGCGGAGTTAATGTAAAAGGACAATGGTTGGCAGAGTTTATACAATATTTTCTTACTAGAGTGCAGATGACGTCATCAAAATCGAGTCGCCCGTACCTTATGCACCGTATGCTCTTTGACGAATTTTCGCTTTCGAATTTTATGACGTCATTTTCGCGCATGTGTGATTCATGTACCCCATTATATTCAAATGCGCTTCACGTGGGGCGAATTTGTGTGCGATATATATTATTTCATACAAATAATTTTTAAATTTGATGATTGCGGTGCGTGTGGCTTTTACGATCGTACTTTGTGCCTTACGACCGTAAAAGCAACATGTACCTTAAAAGATTCATCAGGCACGGACAGGCTCTAGCCATACCTAAACAGCGACATTCATTTATTAGGATGAACGAGTGCTGCTGTTCTGTCTGCGTAAGGATACGATTGCTGGATGTGTGTGTTTGTGTGCATTTGCAGCGCATCCAGCTGACGGCGACAACGCCCAGCAACTCTGCGCTGCGGCTGGAGACGGGCGCGGTGGAGCTGGAGCTGTCCAACCGCGTGCAGAACGTGCCGCACCACGAGCTGCGACTGTTCGCGCGCGCGCAGGTACCACTCAGCTGTTCCAGTTGCTGAAGCTGTCCAACCGCGTGCAGAACTAGCCGCACCACGAGCTGCGACTGTTCGCGCGCGCGCAGGTACCACTCAGCTGTTCCAGTTGCTGGATATGTCCAACCGCATGCAGAACGTGCCGCCGTACCACGAGCGGCGCATGTTCGCGCGCAGGTACCGCCCAGCTGTTCCAGCAGGTACCCAACCCATGCAGCTCGCCCCGCAGAACTCATTTGCTATATGTGGACTATTTTCCTTTATAGAGAGGATTTATTTTAATCGTAATGCTTTTCCGACGGATTCACGATGGCAGACGAGTACCTCGACACTAATATCCGCCGCAAATGTAATTTTTACTTATGCATAAAAGATATATATACCGCAATCTATTAAAAACCATAATACTTTTTGAAATTTCCCATGATAAAATTCTCAACTCTAACATAAAATGTATCGTCACTTACTCTACGAAATATTATGCTACCATTTCACGCGAACGTTCCCGTTCGAGTACTCTACTCAACTTCTAATAATTCTGTTCAATAACAAATATGGGGAGGTTTCGATCGATGGCGAAATAAACATCGAAATATCTAGACCAGCAACGCTAAAAGTTAAAGTTATAGTTACAGCCTATATGCGTCCCACTGCAGCTGGACCTCTCATTTCTGAGAGGGTTTGCTTTAAGCAAGGAAATGTCGCGCTGCTCTAATGTTTGCAAAGTACATGTCATTTACTTCATTCTATAGGTAAAGTTAAATAATAGTATGTATAGAGACGCTAGATGGCCTAAACACGACTAATTTAATATAAATCGGTAAATTATGAAGTCTTAGATTGTTATGAATGAATTAAATATGATAATTTTATTCAATATGAATATTTTTAATGTTATTTGTTTAATCTTTTATTTTAACAGTTAAAAGTAATATTATTGACTATCTTTAAATCCCCGCACAAAGAGGAGACCGAGATAATAGGAAACAATGTATACTGTATTTTATCTCATTATGTTCAACAGTGGTCTTGTGAAGGGTTTTAATGATAATAATCATAACTTCAAAGATACCATGGGGGACAGAATTTTGAAGTATTTTTAGGTTTTAAACACAGAATATAGAATTATTAGTTTTTGAACTTTAATCGACCTCTCGCACGAACATATTTGACTTTTAACCCTTCATTTTAACGTTTCAAACTAACGATGTCTGTGTTTGGGTAACTGCATAATTTGATTATGCCAAACTTTCATGATCTACGTGAAGACAGAGAGTATCTCTGAGAAAAATATCTGTGATAGACAGTCGCTGAAGTAATTCCGTAAATGTTCCTTTTCAATCACGCAACACCCGCAACATTTTCCAAATTTTAATATGCATTGTGTATGTATATCGAAGGAAATTCCTTTTACCTCGAAATAAAATATAATTTAACTTTTAAGGTGGACGTGAACTTGAGCCTCGGGCAGCTGATACGGAACGCAATGTTTGAAGAGGCAGAACCCGAATTCCAGCAGTACGCGTTTTTCAACACCAGAATATGTATGTATTTTGTTAACTAATAATTATTTAAGGACTACCAACTTTAAAATATTATTCATGTTGTACCATTTATGGTACAACATGAATAATATTTTAAAGTTCCATGATTTCCTACCTTACCCTTCTAACCTAACCTGTCCGAGTCGGGGTGCCCCACGTCCTAGGCTCGCTTCGCTCGCTATTGCACTCAATATAACACCAAAATATTAACTTTTATAACTACTTTAATTAATAAACATAATTTATGGCTGCCACCATTTGTATCTTTGCGATATTTAGCAATATTTCGCCGCCACAAATATTCTACTATTCAAAAAAACTGAAGCAACGGCATGACGTAAAGCTGTCAACAAAATGGCCGGCCTAGCGATTAATTTTACACATTTTTAAATCCGAATTGTAAACCCAACCCATGATTTTTTTAATACGTAGTTTATAAATTATATATTTTATGTTGTATATGTATAGGCGGTCCATTGTCACTTTTGCTTATTAATCCGCTGGTTTGTTAGTCCGCCTTTTTATCGATAAACAAATCACGATAGTCCGCATAAGTTTTTATTTGATTATAATAATACCAAGTGTTATTTGAAATTCTTTTTTAAAGTATTTAGAAATGATCTTAGTAAAAAAACTTAGAAATTATTGAAAATAAGTTTATTATTTTGCTACAGGTTTATTTTACATTATGCAGGATAAAATTTAAAACATTTAACAAATCGAAATAGGAGGTTTAGTTAACTTATTTTAAAAATCAGATTTGTGAAAAGAAAAGTCCTATCAGTTTATCGTCTTAGATGGTGTTACCAAGTTTTTGTTTTTATTATAAGCCTTCAATCACAATACCCCTATTTAAAAAAAGTTTTGATTTTCAAGGGTTATTAAATGAACTTTCTGGAAAATATTTAAAAAATTATGAAAACAAAAAAGTTTTACACTATATCCTATACCTTTAAACGAGCAATTCTTTTTTTATATATATATATATATATATATATATATATATATATATATATATATATATATATATAATCGGAATCTCGGAAACGGCTCCAACGGTTTTTCATAAAATTTAGTGTCCAGGGAGTTTCGGGGGCAATAAATCGATTTAGCTAGGATTTATTTTTAGAAAATGTCTTTTTGTCCGTGTTTTCATGCAAAAGTGCTACAATATTAGAAGGTAAATTTTGACACTGTGTTAACGATCGTAATAGATCAAGTGGATATCGAGCGGTCGCGTTATCGTAATACCTTGGTTCGCGTCCTGTCTCGTTCGATCCTTTCAAGTCCCTTCTTTTGTGAGAAAATCTATTATTTCGAGCCCTTTTTTTAGTATTTTTTAAAAATACGAAAATTTTAATTAAATTGATTTAACTCATGATTTTTAATTCAAATAACCAGTTCAGTTTTTTCTATTATGTCAATAAGATCAAAAAATTATATTCATGTTTCATCAGTATGTAATTTGTATCTAAATGTAATTTCAAAAAAAAACCGAGCAAAGCTCGGTCATCCAGGTACTAATAGTTTAACAAAGTGAACTTTAAGCAGACAGCTGATTAAAGATAAAACGTGACATCTACCTAGGGCTAAGTATTCCCCAGAAAGATGTTTTGCTTTAAGGTGTTGCTTTAAGGTTTGCGTCGACCGTCCGCCCATACATTTTTTAACCAAAATATACACTAAACACAGACACTCTTTCTTTAAAACTAATAATTTTATCACTTCTCTACAATGAAATGTATACGCGTCTGACCGTTATAGGCAATAACTTACATTATATACTGAGAAAAACAATAGTGAAATCCCGGAAAAATTTGACACTTCTTTAGTAGTGTGCGTGACTTTTGACAAGCAAACGAAAGGCGACGTTTAAACATTGGCACGCTAGATGGCAACCAAGTGATCTTAAATAATTCTGATAAATCAATATCTTAAGTTCAATAATTGGTTAATTTCCTTTCCAACCGTTAAAAACACAGTTTAAAATAACATAAAACTAATGACATTAGACACCTATGTTTTTTTTTGTAAACAATTTTATTACTTTGAATAAAACTAAATTTACGGATTTTATCGCGTTTATTTCACTACTTTTACTTATTTTTAATTCCCGACGTTTTGGGTGCTTTACAGCAACCATGGTCACGGGGGGACTGAGATGTTTGACGTCCCAATGTCATAGTTAGTCCGGCTACCTTCAGTTTTTGAATATTAATTTTTGGTCCGATTTACGCAAAACGAGCTTATAGTGTCATGAAGTCTTGCAGTGGTATGCTTAGGTTTGGGTTTAATTTTGTTAATTATAGGATCCCAAGCAGGTGGCAGCACCCATCCATCTTCTCTATTGAAATTTGGATGTTTTTTAATTTCAATAGCCTCGCGTATCATCCTTGGTAGGAATCGGTGTTCTTTTGCGAGAATTTGTGGTTTATCAAATCGAATGTAATGGTGGGGACGACAACATGTTCGCAGACTGCAGACTTCCCGGAGCGTCGATGCTTCACGTCAGCTATATGTTCTTTCACGCGGGTTTTTATGGATCTTTTTGTTTGACCTATGTAAGAGAGACCACATTCACAATCTAACTTGTACACTCCTGCATCTTGTAGAGGGATATTACACTTGACGGATGGTAAAAATAGACTAATCTTCTTCGGCGGCTTGTAGTATGTTTTAATGGAAGCTCGCTTCAAGATGTAGCCAACCTTGTCTGTGACTCCTCTGACATATGGTAGTACGCAGGCACACGACTGTGGCTGGCTTCAGCTTGTTGTCTTGCAATACTTGCTTGACGTGCTGACGCCTTTTATTTATTATTTTACTTATTATACAAAAATTATACTACATTAAGTTTTTAATTACAAGAATAGGTATATAAATATATGAATTAAATTTGATAGGTTAATTTTGTAAACTTAATAAAATGTTTTAAGTAGTAAATATGATGATTAAAACTACTTTTACGGATTTTATCGCGTTTATTTTTACTTTTTATTTTTAATGTTCTTTCGCGAGGATTTGTGGTCTATCAAATCTGATGTAATGGTTGGGGCCGTCTAGGATATGATCAACCATTACATCAGATTTGATAGACGACAAATCCTCGCGAAAGAACACCGATTCCTACCAAGGATGATACGTGAGGCTATTGAAATTAAAAAACATCCTAATTTCAATAGAGAAGGAGGCTGGGTACTACCACCTGCTTGGGATCCTATAATCAATAAAATTAAAACTAAACCCAAGCATACCACTGCAAGAACTCAAGACATAGTCAGTTCATTTTGCATAGATCGGACCATAAACAATAATTAAAAAAGCTGAAGGTACTCCGGGTTTAACAATGACATCGGGACGTCAGTCATCTCAGTCCCCGTGACCATGGGTGCTGGAAAGCGCCCGAAACGTCGGGAATTAAAAATAAAAAGTAAAAATAAACGCGATAAAATCCGTAAAAGTAGATCATGTGCAATGTTAGCGTAAATATAAGAAATCATTATAGTAAATATGATTTTCCAAAATGTTTGGAGCAAATGGTGCTAGTCCTTTTAGGTATCCAAGATTCATGGTTTCTACAAGCTTCAATCCAAGTTTACCGCCTAAGAGGATCTCTTGGAAATCTGTAAAAACAAACCAATAATAGAAAAATTAACTACTTTTTGTATTACTTTATTATAAAATCTAAATAAAAATTACAAACCGGTTTGCAGGCAGATCGGCAGATAAACCCGCATGGTTAATTAACTTATCAATAGATAAAGTTGTGGCGTTCATTTTTGTTGCAGTGATTGTCCAGTTTATTTTTTTTAAATTGCACACTTTTGCTGCGAGGTAGCAAGTTTCGATTTGACTTATTTGGCCTGTATTTTGTATAATATTTTAATACTAGTTATCGATTATATTTAATTATTTAATATTCAGTATCGTGTTGAAATTGAGCTGAATATATAATCATTTAACAAAATCCACTACACATCTGTATGTAGTGATTATTATTCATCACAAACTGATTAGGAAATATATTTTCGTTATATATTATTATATAGTATAATTTACTACACAAGTTAAAAATATTCGGTAGTAATATACTTATATAGATTATTTTTCACTTTATGAACTATGATGGCCACACTTGGTATTGGACGAAAATGTTCACAAAGTACTAGTTTTAATGATAAAATTACTTTAATATCATGTTAAAAATACTCACAGATGAAAAGTCATATTGTCCTTTTGTAAACTTGACTTTTTTTCATGTAAATACACTGCAATTCGGAATTTTGTCGGAGCTCGATTTACTGGCACTATCATTTTGGAATGACGCACGTCGCGGAGCAACTAGTTTTATATAACGGGTATGAGTCGGACTCTCGTACCTTTTACAGAGGGGTATGCCTTGCGATGCCGTCTCCTTTGGTTTAATACTCAAAGGTAGTAACAAATAAAATACGAAGTAAATTATGACCTGAATTTTATTTTTTTTACTACAATTTAAATCTCAATAATTCATTATTTACTAGACGAAGATATGAAATGATTGATATAATTTTTTTAACTTTTACCTGGATAGAGGCGACGTCAGCATTCTTATATTAAGTGCACAATTTTGTCTGAACTTGAGCGTCCTTGATCTCAATAAGGTTGTTCGTCGTCATTTCATTTTCACAACGTCAAACCAGCGCAGCTTAGTCATATAACTTCGCTCATAACTTCAAAGACCAGACATGTGTTCCTGACATGTTCCTGTGAGTTGCGACGTACCTGCTCGGGCCATTTAATGGCTTTTTTTTTTGCGGCTTGTTTGAAGTTTTCACTAAGGGTGGATATAATTTGACATGCAACCGTCTCACCTCAATGAAATATAACTTTGTACAATTTTATACCCCCTTAACATTTTCACACCTTTCAAAGTTAAAGCATCATCGTCACAAAGACAAATCTAGTGCCCATACAGACCATACCCTTAATACCTGCATGCTATTTTGCTTGGTAAACACTTGGAATGTGGGATAAAATAAATAAAAAATTGCTACACAGTAGAATATATAATTTACTTTAGTTTCGTTTTTGCAAATAAATTAATTAGTTTTATTACATTAATTATTTTTACGTGGTAGAGCCATGCTGCAATTATATTAGTAGTATAGTTGTAGCACGAATGGGTCGGCTCGACCGGGGAAGGACCACGCTCTCACAGAATACCAGCGTGAAATAGTAGCTTAATGCTGCTGTATTTCGTATGGTGAGTGTAGAGAACCGGAGACCCTTTTTACTGGAAATGAGGCATTCCATCTCAGTCCTCATGGGTGACAACGCATCTGCATTTTGATTTGTAATGGAAGATAGATGTAGATGTCTATGGGCCGCAGCAACCACTTACCATCAGGTGGACTGTGTGCTCGTTTGTCACCCTATCCTATAAAAAAAAATTAGACAACTTAAAGCTTAAACTTAAATTTTGGAAAGGAACTTAATTTAAATTGGTGGAATTTCTTATTAATAATTTTAATGTAATTCACGCAGAATTGTATTGTTTGCTTCCGACCAATAACAGCGCTGATACAGATTTCCCCTTTTTAAATTGTAGTAAAAGTTTATGTAAGCTAAACGCGGTTTCGAAGAGTAAGCTGGAATAATTATATGGATAGAATAGAATAGAATATTTTTTATTCAATATAGATTACATGTAATTCTTATTGAAAATCATTTTTACTTTACCACTGGTTCGAAAAAAAAAACCTCTCTCCTGAGAAGAACCAGCAAGAAACCCAGCGGGACTTTAAAAAAATTTGAGTGTGAAATGGATACAAAATACTTACATAATTTATTTTAGAAACAGCTTGGAATCGACCACCTCATTCCCAGGGGTTATTATCATCCATATATTCATTTATATTGTAATAACGCTTTTTATGCAATTTTTGTTTTGTTATTATTTAAACTTGGTAATAGAGAGACCTTGTATATTTTCTGGGACTTTGTTGTAATAGCGTATACATTGCCCCAAGAATGAATTACTGACTCTGTGGAGTCGAGAAACTTTTGGTATACCAGCTTGTGTTTCTTTCTAGTGCTTAAGAGTGTATATCACTTTTTCTACTAAAGCTACCTTTGTTTTGTAGACAATACATTAAAGAAATATGCCCATTTTTCACCTGACTATGTATAGAAATGAAATAAATCTTAAAATTCAGCTAATTTCTACGTGGTAGAGCCATGCTGCAGTTATATTAGTAGTATAGTTGTAGCACGAGTGGGTCGGCTCGACCGGGGAAGGACCACGCTCTCACAGAATACCAGCGTGAAATAGTAGCTTAATGCTGCTGTATTTCGTATGGTGAGTGTAGAGAACCGGAGACCCTTTTTACTGGAAACGAGTCATTCCATCTTAGTCCTCACGGGTGACAACGCATCTGCATTTTGATTCGTAATCGAGGATAGATGTAGATGTCTATGGGCCACAGCAACCATTTACCGTCAGGTGGACTGTGTGCTCGTTTGTCCTGTAAAAAAAATTCAATTGTAAATTAGTTACGCATATTACAATGTTAAAAGAAACGCAGTCTGTTGACTGAAAGTATGACACCTTGGTTTGACCAGAAATAGCAACTATACAGTGGAGTCAGCGTCTTCTGTAACGTTGTACTTCATAACATGTTTTCAGGAATTTATTTACTATATTTTGAACGCATTTCAACTACCCTTTTTCTAGGACGTTCCATTTTACACACTGCTACTTTATTCAACTCGTTTCTGAGTTTTATACATTATTTTGTATTTTATTCAATTAGTAAGTATATCTTTATTAGTCTTTGTGTAGTACATATTAATAAAAAGTATTATAATAATTAAATAAATTAATCATTCAGTATGTCATTGAGTGCGAACGAATTATACGGATTTTTTGACATTTGACAGTTCTGCAATTGGTATCGGCCACAGATGTAAGACACATCAAAGGCATCTGAAGGCGTCGGCGCAGTCCTTCGTTGTTGCGATTGCGTCTCGTTGTGTACTGTGCCATTTTGTGTGTTTCTTCTTTTTACGACCTTATTTTTCAGTATTTATTCAGTAAAAAGGTTCTCTGGTTATCTGCTTTACCATACGAAACACGTCTGCATTAAACTGGTATTCTGTGAGAGCGTGGCGTTTCCCCGGTCGAGCCGACCCATTCATGCTACAACCATAATATACTGCAGCGTGGCTCTATCACGTCTGAAATGGGAGTAAATAGTAACGTTTTGTACCAGCGATGCGCAACGCGTTCCAAGAGGAGCTGACAAGCGGGGAGGGAGTGGGTGCGGGTGACGAGGAGGAGAAAGAGGTGGTACTGATCACGCTGAAGCGGCCGCTGGTGTACGTGCAGCCCGTCGCCGTGGACAAGGCCATTCTGGTCTGGCTCAACTACAAGAACGCCTACGAATACTGGAACGAGAAGCGCCTCAGCCTCAATAAGGAGGTGCTCACCGCCACGCAGCAAGTCTTCGAGAAGGTAGATAATGCTATAAAAAATTTTAGGTCTTTTTTCTTTTAGTTTATGACAATCTCGTAGTAACGAGTTTCGTCAATATCAAGTCTTTCTTTCTTAATATACTTGCACGATTGTATGTTTTCCAGTATCAAGTAATATACACCATATGTCGATGCGTTACATTCCTAAGTTTGTGGGAGATATTGACGACAGCTTAAGTCAGCAGACAGTCGATGACGATAGTACTTCAAGGCGCTAGCATTATCAGAATGGAACATTCGAACCCACGATCATTGTGTTCGCGGTCCACATCCTACCGTTAGGCTTCCGACTTTTATTGTATTTCATTTTGGAAACTTCGGAGTTAGGCCGACATTTCAAGTTGACTCAGTTTAACGAATTTCGTATATTTATAGTATAAAATATATCGCATAAGTGACATAATATTGGTTTAGGTCCAACTGACGTCTCAAATCACCACACCGCATCTGAGCACATTGTTCCTGCAACTGAACGTCGACGACATAGGAATCTGCCTACCGCTGAATCAACCACCAGTGGTGAGTACTATATAGTATGCGATTGCCAAATGCAGAAAAGGTTAGAATAGTATATAGGTGGTAAAGAAAAATTAATTTAAAAAAACCTCAAAACTTTTTTTCATTTCTTTTTTTTCTTCTTTTTATATAATGATTGTCATACATGAATATCTAACTTTTACTACGCTGTCTGCGCGCACACATTCGTAAGGGTTTCGTGCTCGGCAAAAACGTTGTGATTGAAGCGCACACAGAGGAGCGTACGCGTAATTATTGCCCATAAATCGCATTCAATTTGAGATTATTTCAAATAAAATTAGAAGTCTTATTTACTCGTATTTTCAAAAACTGTAATAAAGGTTTGTCTTTATTTATATGTTGAAACTTATATATGAACTGTGGATATTCTTTGAAAAATAACCCTGTATATGCATCAATAAATTTCTCTGGTTTCATTCCTCAGCAAAGTATTGCCGAATTTTTTCGAACTCAAATGTTATAGAACATTATAAAATTGTTAACAAAGAAAAAATATAAAAATTTCGTTTGTGCTTTACGTGGTAGAGCCACGCTGTAGCAATATAATATTATTGTTGTAGCACGAATGGGTCGGCTCGACAGGGGAGGGACGACGCTCGAAGTCGCACCGAAGCATTCCATCTTAGTCTTTAGAGGTGACAAAGCATCTGCATTTTTATTTTTGTTCAAGAATAAATGAAAATGTCTATCGGCCATAGCATCCACTTAACATGGACCGTGTGCTTATTTGTCACCCCTATTCTATAAAAAAAAGTGTTTATTTTGCAGGCAACTTGGGGTCGCGGTGTTTACGAGCCGGAAAGTCGCGGCGCCGTGGTGGTGACTCTGGAGAGCACTAGCATTTCTGCTTGCAGTTCAGGCTCGCTCGTTAGTAAGGTAGTGTTTTAATTTTGATCTAATAATTGTTAAATTTTAATATCGAAGTATTGGTCTTTCGAGCAGGACCTCTAAAACAAGTTGACTGCTTATGTCAGCGTTATTTTAGTGGGTATGGATATACATTAATATAATTAATATGGTTCCTATTATACCTAGTTTCATTCGAGAACTATTCATAATTTTGTCTAAATTGAAACGGAGATGTAACGTTTGAAACGTGCGTAGGGGCGGTTCGTGGGGCTGTGCCTGCGCTTCGCGTCGGACTTCGAGGCGTCGCTGGACGACTGGAAGCCGGAGGCGGCGGAGACCACCAGCAACGTGTGCTGCGTGTCGGAGGGCACGTACGAGGTGTGCAGCCGCACCACCGCCGCCCGGCGCCACGGTACGTAGGAGCGGCTCGTGGGGCTGTGCCTGCGCTTCGCGTTGGACTTCGAGGCGTCGCTGGACGACTAGAAGCCGGAGGCGGCAGAGGCCACCAGCAACGTGTGCTGCGTGTCGGAGGGCACGTACGAGGTGTGCAGCCGCACCACCGCCGCTCGGCGCCACAGTACGTAGGAGCGGCTCGTGGGGCTGTGCCTGCGCTTCGCGTTGGACTTCGAGGCGTCGCTGGACGACTAGAAGCCGGAGGCGGCGGAGGCCACCAGCAACGTGTGCTGCGTGTCGGAGGGCGCGTACGAGGTGTGCAGCCGTACCACCGCCGCCCGGCGCCACGGTACGTACGAGCTGCTCGTGGGGCTGTGCCTGCGCTTCGCGTCGGACTTCGAGGCGTCGCTGGACGACTAGAAGCCGGAGGCGGCAGAGGCCACCAGCAACGTGTGCTGCGTGTCGGAGGGCACGTACGAGGTGTGCAGCCGCACCACCGCCGCCCGACGCCACGGTACGTAGGAGCGGCTCGTGGGGCTGTGCCTGCGCTTCGTGTTGGATTCGAGGCGTCTCTGGACGACTGGAAGCCGGAGGCGGCGGAGACCACCAGCATCGTGTGCTGCGTGTCGGAGGGCGCGTACGAGGTGTGCAGCCGCACCACCGCCGCTCGGCGCCACGGTACGTAGGAGCGGCTCGTGGGGCTGTGTCTGCGCTTCGCGTTGGACTTCGAGGCGTCGCTGGACGACTGGAAGCCGGAGGCGGCGGTGACCACCAGCAACGTGTGCTGTGTGTCGGAGGGCGCGTACGAGGTGTGCAGCTGCACCCGCGCCGCCACGGTACGTAGGAGCGGCTCGTGGGGCTGTGCCTGCGCTTCGCGTTGGACTTCGAGGCGTCGCTGGACGACTGGAAACCGGAGGCGGCAGAGACCACCAGCAACGTGTGCTGCGTGTCGGAGGGCGCGTACGAGGTGTGCAGCCGCTCGGCGCCACGGTACGTAGGAGCGGCTCGTGGGGCTGTGCCTGCGCTTCGTGTCGGACTTCGAGGCGTCGCTGGACGACTGGAAGCTGGAGGCGGCGGAGACCACCAGCAACGTGTGCTGCGTGTCGGAGGGCACGTACGAGGTGTGCAGCCGCACCACTTCCGCTCGGCGCCACGGTACGTAGGGGCGGCTCATGGTGCTGTAATTCTCCACATGCTAGCAACGCTGAACATGTGTAAATTGAACAGCGCGATGCGACACGCGTCGACCGGGCTGCAGAAGCGCGTGTGTAAAAGGTAAGGGTAGTGTATGCTTAATGCATTTTTTCGTGCTGAATTAGATAAAAGTGTTCGCGCGAATATTTATCCCATTGTCAGCATAAGAAGATTCACATGTATACATGGGAAAGAGGTGATGATAGAAGCATGATAGATTTCGTAATTGTGGATGAAAGAATGAGGAGCGCAGTCGTAGATACAAGGGTTTACCGGGGGTCCAACGTAGGGACGGAACTTGGTCTTATGTCGAATTAATGGTCTTTTCAAGCGTTGGTGGCATCGGACATTTGTGTCTACCACTGCGTTACAGCGTATAAGAATAGAGAAGTTACAAGATGAAGATGTGAAAGAGAAGTATAAATGTAGACTGAGAGGAAATATTAGATGTTTGAATGAGTTGTGTATGAATGATTTAGACTTGAATACTGTGTGTAATAATATTAAGAAAGGTTTGGTGGATGCCGCCACTGAAGTATGTGGTGTAAGTAAGAGAACAAATGAAAGGAAAAGTAATACGTTGTGGTGGGATGATGAGGTGCGGGTGGAAGTTGAATCAAAGAAGAAAGCATGATTAGATTTACTAGCAACCAAAGCTGGTAAATCTTCTGGTATGAATGATGAGATTGAAAGAAAAAAGCAGAATTTAGACGTCTAAATAAGAGAGTAAAAGAAGTTGTTGAAAGGAAAAAGAAAGAAAGAACGGATAAGAGTGATAGAAGGATATCTGATAATTTCCAGGCTAATATAAAAATGTTCTGGAAACTCGTAGGAACTGCCAGGGGAAATACAAAACAGCCTATAATGAATTCTATAAGAGACGAGAATGGATGTATTCTGAATGATGAAGTTTCGAATTTAAACAGATGGAAGGAATACTTTGAAAGCGTGTTTATGAGTGAAGAGTCGTCTGAATTAAATGAACTAGAAATTCCGAAAGAAGTGGAAAGGGGTATGGAGATAAGTGTAGATGAAATAATGAAAGCAATGAAAAGCATGAAAGCAGGTAAGGCAGCCGGATATGATAGAGTATCACTCGAGATGCAAAGGGCTGGAGAGGGAGTGGTGGCAGGCCTGCTTTATACCTTGTTTAATTTATGTTGGGAATTAAAACGGGTACCGGATGACTGGTGTAAAGCAGTTATAGTACCAATATATAAAGGAAAAGGGTCACAGCAGGACTGGAAAAACTACCGTGGTATCAGCTTGCTTAGTATTGTGGGTAAACTGTATACTAAGGTGTTAATTGAAAGAGTTGTGAAAGAAACTGATGGAAAAATTTGGGATGTGCAAGCGGGTTTTAGAAAGGGAATGGGGTGTACAGATCAAGTCTTCCATGCGCATGATTGCGGAGAAGTTTTTGGCCAAAAACCAGAAAGTTTTTTGTGCGTTCATGGACTTGGAAAAGGCTTATGACAGAGTGGACAGGAATGTGTTATGGCAAACACTGAACTCATATGGGTTGAGCGCTGGTTTGATACAGGCATTAAGGTCTCTTTATAGGGACTCTAGTGCTTGTGTCAGGATCAATGGGGTCTACTCGGACTGGTTTGGCATCCAAAAAGGTGTCAGACAGGGCTGTGTAGCTTCCCCTTGGCTGTTCAACCTATTTATGGACAGCTGTTTGCAAACTTTGAAAGATGAAGAATGTGGGTTAAGAATGGGCGAGTTAACCGTCAAATGCCTTTTGTATGCCGATGATCAAGTCATATTTGCGTCATCGGCGGCTGAGTTGCAAATGATGGTTACATTAATGAACTGGGAATTAAAAGAAAGGGGAATGAAAGTGAACGCAAGTAAGACGAAAGTGATGGTTTTTGAAAGAGAAGAAAGCAAAACGGTATGTGAAATAAGAATAGAAGGAGAGTTAATTGAGCAAGTGGATGAGTTTGTGTATTTGGGATGTGTATTTAGCAGGGATGGTAGATATGATAGGGATATAGAACGACGAGTAAATGCAGGGAATAGAGTGAATGGGGCACTATACTCTATTATGAAGAACCAGAATGTGTCAAAAAAGGCACGTATGGTAATTCATAATGCTGTGTTAGTCCCTACTTTAATTGTGTGACCATGTTAATTGTTGTGACCAGGATTAAGAAAGGAGTGCTTCGTTGGTTTGGTTATGTAAAAAGAATGAATAAGGAAAGAGTGACAAAGCAAATTTATATGGCAGATATGAACGGCCGAGTCGGGAAGGGACGCCCTAGAAAAAAGTTTATCGACCAAATTGGCGATATTTTGAAAAGGGGCCACGTTAGAAGTACCCTTAACCGACGAGCATGTATGCGTAGATATATGGATGTAAAGGAGGCGAAAGAGGTATGTCAGGATCGTGCTAAATGGAAGTCCGTAGTCTCTGCCTACCCCTCTTCTCTCTGGGTGACAGGCGTGAGTGTTTATGTTTATGTTATTATATCAGCTGATTTTATTTTCCACTAAGTTAAAATTTAAGTTCCACTGCTGGTTTTACGTTTAAGTATTTTCATGATTTTTTTATGAAATTGTCGTTTCGGTTAGCTTACGTGTCAAAGGTATCGTTAGGACTATCGTCTGTCTTCGTTTTCGGGAGCGTTTCACAAAAACCCGGTATTAAGAAAGAAATTGTAAGTTTCATATACCAAAATATTGTGATAACTAAAGGTTTTGTAATTTTTTTAACAACATCTATTTTCAATGTTTTCATAATAATGCAATATATAAAACACTATAATATATAAAATTAAAAAGAATAATAAATTTATTGATATATTAAAGGACAGCAATATTTTGTCATAAGGTACATTTTTTGAGCCCAGCCTATGTATTATGAACTCTAAAATGGTTCACAAACTAAAGTGAAGATGTGATATTGAATTAGTAGTGTGATGCGCAATTAAGGTGCTGCGGTATCACTTACAATCAACGTTCCGTACTATTAATATGTACGTAAAAGTAAAAAAGTATAACACATTACAGAAAATGCCAAGTGGTTCCTGAACGTGTCGTGGCAGATGGAGGGCGTCGACATACACCTGGACGTAAATGTGGGCAAGCAGCTGTCCGCACTCGGGCATACGCTCACTATGATCACAGGTCTGAACATTCAGTTTCAAATACTTGTAGTGTAATTATAATGGCTTTATTATTTATTTAATGTACATACGTGGTCAGTGTAATCATATATTTTTGTACAAATTGTTAATAAGTCGTATTTCTTATCAACGGAACATCTTTAAATAGTGGTGTATTTAGAGGTACAATATTAGATCCTTTTATATTTAATAATATGTATCAGTTAGTTACATAAGTTTTGCTTGTCAACTACAAATTATATTTTATGCGTGGTTTCTCTGCTCAGGTTTTGAAGAGGAAGATCCGTACCAAAAAATGGATTCGTATGAAAGTGATTTCGACGACGAAGCAGACAATAGCAAGGGATCTCAGGTATTTTTAAATAAGATTTATTTTAAAAGTATCCTAATTATATAGTTTGAAAATTCTGTCATATTTTAATTATTTATTTTATATTTTGTGACAATGTCAAAAATGTTGGATCTGAATCTAAAAGTTGAGAAGTATACTTAAGAATGGAAGACATCTGATTACTGTGTTTCTGATCTAATTTTTTCTTTAATTTTGCTGAATGTTGGTAGTACAGAAATTGGTCTAAAATTGAGGGGTCTAATGTACTACCAGATTTAATAAAGGAATGACTTAACTATCTTTCATTAAATCAGGAAACACACCAGATTCGACGTTTGTATTAAAAATAGTGGCTAGATAAGGTGCTATTGTATCTAATAAAGATGCAATAACTTTAACGGAAATCCCCCATAAGTTTGCCCATTTTCTTTACATCAATCGTATCATCGTAAAGTATTTGAACAAGTTTTTACATTTTGGTTAAGCAATAATTCAGTGACAATAGGAGAAGAATTTAATGATTTTGTTGTCAAAAAAGAACATCAGTTAAATGTTTCAATCAAAAGCCATAGCAACTTTTTGATCAGATTAAATTAAGTTAATGTTAATATACAATTGAAAATGTTAATTTTATTGGATGCCTGATATGTATATCCCTTACCAGGCGTGACAACAGTGGCAAATATCCCCCTTATGAGTCAATCTATGTCGCAATTTGTGTCGTAAGAGGCGACGGAAGGAAACAAATTGGGAGCTGGGCAGCAGCGCCTTCGGCTGTAAGTACTTATACTATTGTAGCAGTGCACTCTGAGTACGTTCCGGGAATTAAAACAAATTGGGAGGTGGGCAGCAGCGCCTTCGGCTGTAAGTACTTATACTATTGTAGCAGTGCACTCTGAGTACGTTCCGGGAATTAAAACAAATTGGGCGGTGGGCAGCAGCGCCTTCGGCTGTAAGTACTTATACTATTGTAGCAGTGCACTCTGAGTACGTTCCGGGAATTAAAACAAATTGGGAGGTGGGCAGCAGCGCCTTCGGCTGTAAGTACTTATACTATTGTAGCAGTGCACTCTGAGTACGTTCCGGGAATTAAAACAAATTGGGAGGTGGGCAGCAGCGCCTTCGGCTGTAAGTACTTATACTATTGTAGCAGTGCACTCTGAGTACGTTCCGGGAATTAAAACAAATTGGGAGGTGGGCAGCAGCGTCTTCGGCTGTGAAGTACTTATACTATTGTAGCAGTGCACTCTGAGTACGTTCCGGGAATTAAAACAAATTGGGAGGTGGGCAGCAGCGTCTTCGGCTGTAAGTACTTATACTATTGTAGCAGTGCACTCTGAGTACGTTCCGGGAATTAAAACAAATTGGGAGGTGGGCAGCAGCGCCTTCGGCTGTAAGTACTTATACTATTGTAGCAGTGCACTCTGAGTACGTTCCGGGAATTAAAACAAATTGGGAGGTGGGCAGCAGCGTCTTCGGCTGTGAGTACTTATACTATTGTAGCAGTGCACTCTGAGTACGTTCCGGGAATTAAAACAAATTGGGCGGTGGGCAGCAGCGCCTTCGGCTGTAAGTACTTATACTATTGTAGCAGTGCACTCTGAGTACGTTCCGGGAATTAAAACAAATTGGGCGGTGGGCAGCGCAGCGCCTTCGGCTGTAAGTACTTATACTATTGTAGCAGTGCACTCTGAGTACGTTCCGGGAATTAAAACAAATTGGGAGGTGGGCAGCAGCGTCTTCGGCTGTAAGTACTTATACTATTGTAGCAGTGCACTCTGAGTACGTTCCGGGAATTAAAACAAATTGGGAGGTGGGCAGCAGCGCCTTCGGCTGTAAGTACTTATACTATTGTAGCAGTGCACTCTGAGTACGTTCCGGGAATTAAAACAAATTGGGAGCTGGGCAGCAGCGCCTTCGGCTGTAAGTACTTATACTATTGTAGCAGTGCACTCTGAGTACGTTCCGGGAATTAAACCCGGTGTCGATTAGACAAACATAAATAAATATTTTTTTTAAATGGGTACTTGGATTTTTGTTAAGCTAACAGCACATTAATTGAGGTGTCTATGGAATAGAAAAAAGGCAATAAGGATATATAATAAAGGAAATATCGCTATGTTATTTCTAACCACGTAAGACGTCGTAAGCATTAATTAAAATAGTTGTCTTTGTACCGATTCTTCAATTTAGGCGGGCAACGGTCTTACATCATAAAGTAGTAGTAATTCCTGATTTCCTGCAGTAGTATAACTGAACAAAAATTGAAATAATACTAGTTTTTACGGAATTTATCGCGTATATTTAACTTTTTAATACCCGACGTTTCGAGAGCTTTACAGCACCCATGGTCACGGGAAGGACTGAGATGTTCAACGTCCAGATGTCATAGTTAACTAAATATAATATTTACGATAAATTCCGTAAAAACTAGTATTATTTCAATGTGTAGTGTTCGCGTAAATATAAGAAATCATTATGAAGAAAAATTGTTCAGGGTTTCAAACTCGCAAGAAAAAAATGTCTACAAAAATATGTTTGGGAGTTTACCATTGTCCTTTAGGTAACACTTGGTAGGTTCCTTGCGGAACGGAGTATCCTTTGCAGGAGGTGTAGTCATCGGGTTTTATTGAATACCGTTACTGTTACAACCTATCAAAATACACTGCTGAACATAGCTGGAATTTGGCGTAGCTGCCACGCTTGGCAAACGAGTTGGCAACCGCAGTTTTTAATTTCAGTCGTTGTTAGAAAGACGCTGCTGCCCGTCTCCTGATTTGTATTCGATTATATTATTATTCTGATTGAGATAGTGGATATTCTTAACGGTAACTCACAATAAAGCCAAGTCTGAAAGATTAGTTTAATGTTGTTCTACGCACCAGGAGAGCATCGTGTACCGGCGCAAGTACACGGAGCAGCTGCCGGCGTTCGTGCTGGACCCACGGCTAGATGCGCGTGCGCGCTGCAAGCTGGTGGAGCAGGAGATGCGCGAGCAGGCACGCATTATCTGTGACCTGCGCGCGCTCGGCGCCAGCCACGCCACCGTTGAGCACGAGCTGCGGCGCCTGCACGAGCTGGAGGCGCTTGTGTTCAAGGACTTCCGGCGGTGAGTGCTAGCACTCGCACTCGCTCACCTCGCAGCCACGCCACCGTCGAGCACGAGCTGCGGCGACTGCACGAGCTGGAGGCGCTCGTTATTTTTTAGGAATGGACTCCAAACAAAATTATTTAATACGTTGTCAAAAGAGTTTCGCTAAAAATTTATTGCAAAACTATCGTTTTATAAAAAAAAAAACATCAAAAGACAATATACGATACGGCCGACGTATCTTGGCGAGTCCGACCTTCGCGCAGAAGGTTGCGCAATAGCTTTTTTAAGGAACAAAATGGTGGCATGAGGCGACGTACGGGGGGCGGTGGTCTAGGCTAGAGATTGACCATAAGTAAACACAATCGACCCTTTAGTCATAAAATATCGCAATCGATTAGTTTTATTTAGAAGTTATTGATTTTTGTTTATATAAGATATTAAACGAAATAGATTTACAAATATAGTGAATTTTGTTGATAATAAACAAGATTTCGACTCAAATAAAAAAAAAACTAAAAACATATTATTTTCTCAGCTGAAAGACATAATGTACTTAAATATCAATTATCTATTAACGTCTTCTTGAGTAACGACTATTTGAGAAAATTTAGAACCTCCTTATAAATTGCAAATAAATATATTTTTATGTCTTAATTTTAATCGATTTGAATAAAAATCGATTAAACAACACCCTCAGGCACGCGTGTTGGACATCCCTTTCTGGTTACTTCGTAAAGCTTCGTGCTTATTCGGCAATGCTCGGTACACGGTAATATTTCTCAGTCACACGTTAGCATTGGTGTCGTGTTCGTGTCGCTATCTCTGTCTTGAGCACAGTCGGTTACAAAAGTTTTCGTTGTTATTGTTGTTTGTTTTTATTAATAGTGTTAAGTTTGTTTTGTTTGTTTTATTTGTTTTATTTGTTTTATTTGCAAGTGTCAGTTAGCACTTATATTATTCGCCAAACATGCCACCAAAACATAACAGTGTGTTAAATCGCCAGACGAGAAAAATTATTTACGATTTAACGCAATATATGAAAAAAGAAAAAGAAGAAGGCGTAAAAGATGTCGATAAAGTTTATTTAAGAGTTGCTAACGCAACTGGTGTGTCCCAACGCACAGTACAGCGGATCGCAACTGAAGGCAATATTTCGGGCTTACTTTCAGTATTCCGCACGCCTGGTAAAAAAAGGTCTAGATCAACACCTATTACTGATATGGATAATTTTGACCAGGGAGTAGTAAAAAGATGCATACACAACTTCCACAAAACTGAAAAAGAAATGCCGACGATAAACAAATTACGAGGGTGGATTGAAAAGTACTCGGCCTAACCAAGAAAATAAACACATACTAAATCAGTTATATTTTTATTTTTCTACATAATCACCATCAAGTTCAATACACTTTTGCCACCTCCCTCCCCTTCCCTCCCTTCCAAGCATTTAGACCGTTGAAAAAAAATGATTCTTCCTTAGAGTCAAAATATGCGTCTACAGCTGCTTTGACCTCGTCGTTTGTCAAAAATCTTTGACCTCCCAAGTGCTTTTTTAGGTTAGGGAACAGAAAGAAGTCTGATGGTGCCAGATCAGGTGAATACGGCGGATGCGGTAACAGTTCAAAGCCACAGTTGTGAATTTCAGCCATTGACTGTACTGATGTGTGAACACGGGCGTTATCTTGATGAAACAGGACTTTTCTTCTGAGCATTCCTCGACGTTTTTCTTTTATTTGCTCTCGTAAACGACGTAGTAAGGTGCAGTAGTAATTAGAGTTTATAGTCTGACCCCTTTCAAGATAATCAATCATAATCACACCTTTCGAGTCCCAGAATTCTGAAGCCATATATTTGCCGACAAAATCGACTTAGCCTTTTTAGGGGGTGGTGAACCAGGTCTTCTCCACTGTTTTGATTGTTGTTTTGTTTCCGGTGTACAGTAATGAACTCATGTTTCGTCCATAGTAACAAAACGATTCAAAAAATCATCTGCATCGGCTTCAAATAACTCCAAACAGTCGCGTGAAATAGTCAATCGCGTCCTTTTTTGTTCAACTGAAAGCAGTCGCGGAACCCACCTCGCAGACACCTTGTGGAAACCCAACTCGTTGACATTGATGTTTTGAATTCGTTCATAAGAGATGCCTATAATCTCGGCTATCTCTCTAATTTTTAATCTGCGGTCTCCCATTATTAAATCAAGTACTTTTTTAATATTTTCGTCAGTAGTTGACGTCGAAGGCCTTTCAGAGCGGGGTTCATCTTTCACACTCTCTCTACCACGCTTAAATTCTGCTATCCATTTTTTGACGGATGAATATGACAGAGCACAATCGCCTAATGTACTGACCATGTCATCATGGATGGCTTTTGATGATAGCCCCTTCTTATGGAGGTACTTAATGACGGCATGCTGCTCGATTTGTTCCATTCGCGGAAATTATGTCCGATTACTTTGTTAATAAATTTATAAAATCACAACTAATTATCGCACACGTTTCGAACTTCACACAATGAACTAGTCTGAACTGAACTAAATAATGTGGTTAGATTTGATTTTTAGAATTGAATGGATCTGTGTTAGGCCGAGTACTTTTCAATCCACCCTCGTACTAGCGAAACTCAAACGGGATATAAATTTTCAAGGTGGTAAAACGAGCTTAAAGACAATTATCAAAAACTTGGGTTTCAAGTGGCGAAAGACCGAAACCAATAGAATGGTTCTTATAGAGAAGACCGACATTCGCCTGAAAAGGATCTTGTACTTGAAGGCAATGAAAAAATACAGGGACGAAGGGCGACCAATTGTATTCACTGACGAGTCGTATGCCCACTCATCACATACAAAAGGTAAGGCGTGGTCAGATGGTTCCGCTCAAGGACTAAAGCGCCCGATATCAAAAGGTCAGCGGATAGTGATGGTACACGCTGGGTCAGAAGCAGGGTTTGTTCCGAACGCGCTACTAATGTTCAAATCTGGCAGCAAAACCGGAGACTATCATGATGACATGAATTTCAAAAATTATGAGAAATGGTTACGGACCCAACTGATTCCAAATTTGAGCCCTAACTCGGTGGTGGTTATCGATAATGCTCCGTACCACAACAAATTAATGGATCCTGCCCCTACATCTAATGACAAGAAGGCAAAAATGGAATCGTGGTTATTAGAAAAGGGTATACCATATGAAAAGGACATGCGTAAACCACAACTTTACGATCTAATAAAAAAAAACAAAGACGTGAATAAAAAATACGTAATAGATGAAATGTTTAAACAAAACAACCACGATGTCCTTCGTTTACCCCCATATCATCCCGATTTAAACCCCATCGAGATGGTGTGGGCTGCCATTAAAGGGCACGTAGCCGCTAAAAACGTCGACTGGAACGTAACCCGGACAATGGAGCTCATACAAGAAAAAGTAAATTTAATGGGTCAGAATGAATGGAGTGCTTTATGCAGAAAAGTGCAAGAGGTCGAACATGACTATAGGAAGAGCGACCATATTATTGACGAAATGACGGATCAATTATTCATCATTAATACAGCTTCAGATTCAGAAAGTGAGTCTGAAAGTGAGAGCGACGATTACGAAGATGAACCTATGCCAAGTACCTCACATGGTACACAAGGGGCCGACGACTTTATGTTAGGAATTTCCCCCCTCAGCGACAGTGATTAAATAATAATAATTGTAAATAAATAAAAAGTATTAAATGTAAATAATATTGTATGTGTTTGTGATAAAATCTGCCCCTATCGAAAGGTGAGGTATCAAAATTGAATCTTTAATTTATAATGTCTCCAAAGTGTTTTGATATTTTTGGTCACTGTATTAGGGAAATTTTATTTGTACATTGGTATATATAAAAAAATGACAATAACAGTTTTCTTCACGAGTGTTCATGCGCTAAACTTCGCAGAGCCTATATTCAGACTCGCCAAGATACGTCGGCCGTATTGTACATCATAACATAATACACCTATATAATATGTAGATAAAATTACATTTTCTACTAAAATAAAGGTACTAAAGCATTTATGAACTCTTTAACTTTACTACTTCACTGAACCAATTGAACACAAAACAATTTGACACCAACAAGTCGTTATGCAGCCTTAAATACCTGCAGTGATAACTGTGCTGTTTGTTGTGTTTTGTTGCCTTTAAGATGTCTTTCTGAAGTGTAACGTGCGGTTGCGTTGTGTTGCAGCGACATGATCCAGAAGCTGCGTCGCCAGAGCGTGCGCGCCAGCTCCATTACGAAGGGCAAGCTGGGGCTGGGCTCCAACCGCAGCCAGTCCTTTGTGGCGCACCCGCCGCCGTCCGAACGCCGAGACATAGATGGGTACTATATTTATAGCTTCAGTATAATGCCCTCTGCTATGCTAACTGCTCTAGCATATAAACTGCGTGCAAAAGAAATACCAATGATCAGTGATCACTTGTCCCACTTCCGCCGACCGCGACGCGCTTGCAGTTATCAGCAACTGCCCGCGGATTATACTTTCATCATCATCATCATCACAGCCCTTCACAAGTGTACTGGTTAACATATGCCTATCCCAAAAACACGGTCCTTGGAGCTTAGCCAAAATGACTTCGTACGATTATTAACGCTATAGAAAACTATAAAAATAAATGCGATCGACATATCTGAACGTGGACACGTCACGTGACTCAACGTTACCGGGTCGTCATTTCGTACTGTTAGAAAGACGCCCTTTACTTTGTTTACCGATATTTTAGTAGCACTATTTTTAAGAAATAAACACTCGTCGCTACTAGTACTAGCTGGAGCTCAATAACTATGCAAACTAAGTGCAATGGGGCCATATATAGCGGTAGTTATACAGCATCATTCTTGCGGTTCATCGCAAATTTAAGGAAATTATATATATTAACTTTGGCCTCTCAATACATTTACGAAAATGTATTGTAATATGTGCATAAAAATAAAGGTAGTTTTAAAATTAGTAAGTGATATTCATTCTGTTAATGCTAGGAACTGACATATGTAAGCTAATAGTAACAGCTCGACTGTATAGAATTAGTAATTCATTCTTGGGGCAATATATATATATATATATATATTATATATATATATATATATATATATATATATATATATATATATATATATATATATGTGTGTGTGTGTGTGTGTGTGTGTGTGTGTGTGTGTGTATAATGCCAAGTTGAAAAAAATGTATTGATTGTGTAAAAGGGGTTACTATAATATTAAGAAATTTATGGATGGAAATAAGTTAGTATTATTTATAATCTATATCGAATAAAAAAAAATCTGTTTCTACATCTATTTTACAAGTCCGTTGCTAAACAGGTCATCAGTCAATCAAATCTTCAGTCAATCATCTGCATCCATATATTTGTACAACGTTATTAATTTTTTATATTATTTGCTGCAGAGTGATAGAAGCGAGCCTCGGGTCTAGCGTGCCGGTGGGCAGCGTGGGCAGCGTGGTTAGCGTGGGCAGCGTGGAAACCGTGGGCAACGTGGGGGACTCTGGCGAAACGCTGCTGTTGGGCGACGAGGACCGCCTGGCTGACATCATCGAGGCGGGCAGCTGGAGCTCCATGGAGAGCGAGCCGCTCACTGGTACATGTTACAGCAGTTGGACCATGTTGTCACATCCTTATACAGATCTTAGCCGAGTTGGAATCGATACATCTTTAATTCTTTAAAACCTAACCTTTGTTCGAACCAGGAAGGATCACGCTCTCACAGAATACTAGCGTTAAATAGCAGCTTAATGCTTCGTGTTTCGTATGGTGATTGTAGAGAACTGAAGATGCTTTTTCTAGTAACCATACATTCTATCTTAATCTTCTGAGATGACTACATATCTGATTCTTAGTTGAACACACATTTACTTACCATGAGATTGACTGTGTGCTAGTCTGTTTGTGTATGTACAACTATGCAAGTATGTAATGCAGTGCAATGCAAGATTAAATGCTGCTGAGGAATACCACTAAAATACTGAGATTGTAGGATGCAAAATGAAACACTGTTTATCGTAACGCCTTGCTAATGGTACTGAATTTATTGTAAGAACAATATGTGTACAATATCGTAAAACACGAGCTCGCGCTCCAATTACGCTATCATATAAAAATGTACGGGCTTACTCGTACAGTTTGTCTTTGTTGGTTGTCGTCTACATGCACCTAGGTGCTATGCAGGTATCGGGCCTCGGGGTATACCCCATTGCCCCGACTTTCCTCATGGCCCACTGCTATGGGCCAGTCCTGGGTGCCTATATTAGGCTGGTTGCACGCGGATACTTCCCGTAGTGTGACATTTTAATTTTCCCGTGGTTAACCGACTACGGGAAAAAAGGAGGTTGTCTAGTTAAAAGTCTGAGTTGGCCTTTCAGCGGTATTGAGGGTTGTTACTCGACTCTCTAATCGCTATAGAGAGGAGTTCTCTTGGAAAAGGTCGCCCGTCCGGTGGCCGGGTATGCAACGGCGCAAATCCGTTGAGGTGTTCGTGTGGCCCGTTGTCGGCGCGGTCGAACATGCCGCGCGCCAGCCGGGCCACAAAGTCGGTGATGTTCTCGACCTTTAGGTTGGCCGCTATAACGTCGTTCCGGACGTAGCGACCTGCTCCGACAATCGTCCTTAATGTCAGATTCTGCTGGGCCTGCAGTCGCCGCCTCAGAGGGTCGCTCAGAAGCGCGTACCAGGCCGGTGCAGCGTAGGTGATGAAGCTCCGGATATACATCTTGTATATCCGGAGCTTGGTCTTAATCGGCAGCTTGGATGCCAGGACCGGCAAGAGCGTCGCCCGCGCACATCGGGCTCTGCGGACGACGAAGTCGACGTGCGCGGTCATGCGCATCGTCCTGTCGATCCTGCACCCAAGGTAGGTTACGGCCTTCTGGTATGCGATCTTCTGGCCGTTGAGGGTCAGCGGAGGTGGAAATTTCCTGAGACGGCGAGTGAGCAGAGCGGTCGTCTTACCAACGTTGACGACCATCCTCCACTCATCCAGCCATGGTGGCAACAGGTCCAGCAGACGCTGCATCCTGGCAGTGGCTATGTGGGCTCTTCTGGACGAGGTGAAATAGGCCCTATCGTCCGCGTATAGCCAGCCAGCTCAACGTCGTCCTCCCACTCTTGCAGCCTGCCTGCCAGTGTTGGGATGTCGTTAGTGTAAGCCGCGTACAGGACTGGAGACAAACAGCTGCCCTGTGGAACGCCGGCTCTGATGGTTCTGGTTGCGGACTCGGCGTCCTCTACGCAGACGTAGAATTTCCTGTCTTCCAGGAAAGACGCCACTAGCCGCAACATAGCAAGAGGGACACTGGTCTGTTCGTACAGCTTGTAAAGCAATCCTGAGTGTGTGGCACCCTGTCGAACGCCTTCTCGATGTCGAGAAAGACGCCCAACAATATGCTGCCACGATTGTACTCTGCCGCAAGTAGGTGCAGCACTCTAGTCAACTGTGTGACTGTAGAGTGACCCCTCTTTAATCCGTGCTGCTCCGCCCGAAGTTGGATGCACGGACGGAGACGTCTTAACAGCAATCTTTCTAGCAGTTTAGCTATGTGCGGTAATAGCGTGATCGGCCTGTAGCTGGCAGCTCTACGCCTGTCCTTCCCGGGTTTCGGTAAGACGATGACTTTGCCTTTCTTCCAGTCCTCCGGGAAGTGGAATGTCCGCAATATCCCATTGTAGAGTCGACCAAGCTCTACTAGGACTCTATTGGGCAGCTGTCGGAGTGCAGCGTTGGTAATCCCATCGTGCCCTGGCGCCTTCCTCGGTTGCAGGCGGGTTACTGTCCTCCGCAGTTCTGCGGGGGAGATGAACAACTCTCCTGCAATTGGCGGCGCGGGCGACAACAGGAACTCCTGTACACGACTTTTCTTACGGGCATGCAGCTCCATGAACTCCGCACTTGCTGGGTTCGGCATAAATTGCTCCTCGAAGTGCTCGACTAGGATATCCGCTCTGCCCTTGGCATCGTAGCAGTGTTCACCCGCTCTGTTGATAAGCGGGCAAACGGGAGGTCTGGCGTTGGTCAACTGTCGGTTCAGTTTATAGAGCGACGCATCTTGCTCGTTCGCCTTCCAGATGCGCCGGTCCCAGGCCTCTCCTCTGAAGGCCTGGACTGCAACCGACAGTTTCTCCGATACGGTGTTAAGTTGCTTCTTTATCCTGGGGCAGCGAGTACGCGCCCAGAGCTTTCTCAACGCTCTCTTGCGCCTGATCTGCACGTATATCTCTCGCGGCAGATCGTCTCGCCTTGCTGTGATCGGGACGATCGTAGAGGCCGCGAGGGCCTCCTGGATGTTCTTGGTAATTCTAGTAGCAGCGGCCTCTACGTCGTCCGCTGTGCTTATTGGCTGGTGGACTGGAGGTCTCTCCTGCAGATGTTGGCAATAGAGCCTCCAGTCGACACGTGTCTTGAAAGCTCTGGGCGGTGTTGTCACCGCCTTCAGGCCAAGGGATATCAGAATCGGGAGTTGCTGTGAGGAGAGGTCGTACAGCACTTCTACCACTATCAGGTAGTTGACGTTCCTAGTGAGCACGATGTCTAATACATCCGGATGTCTCCGTGCATCAGACGGGTTCTTCGGGACCTAATACGTCATAGTTGTTGTTTTCAGCGTCTTCATAAAGTTCAAGACCCGGCGGAGTGATCACTCTGGACCCCCACGCCGGGTGTTTAGTGTTTAGGTCCCCGGCGATGATAGTGGATGTTTCACCTTCTATCACCGTCCGGATGTCTGAGGAGCAGAATGGAGTCCCTGGCGGGCGGTATGCTGCGTAGATCCTTAGTTCCTCGCCCGCCGCCTCCATTCTTATGCCGATAGAGCGCATAGTCTGGTAAGATGGTAATTCCAGCTCTTGGTGGACGATGTCCCTCCTCACTAGAACCGCCGTCCCTCTGTAGGCGGCCCCTTGAGAAGTGACTTCGTCCCTTCTGTACAGATGGTAATTCGGCAGCTTAATATGCGTCTTTGGATTTAATTTTGTTTCACCCAGCAATATGATGTGCAAGTCCTGTTGCTGGGCGACCGTGCGGAGTTCATGCAGCTTCTGCTGTATTCCGTCCGGGTTCCAATAGAGGAGGCGCAGATTACTCTCCTCCGTAATGCCGGGCTAGTAGGTTTGCCAGCGCCTTCATTATAGCTGTCACTGGATCTGTCCCGGCTCTAATGTCGGCCAGGACTTGTGTGCCGACCTCGATGGCAATACCAACCAAACGTTGTATTGCATCTGCTGTCTCGAGGCCGGCAGTAGGTAGTACTCTTGGCTTGTGGGTAGAGCGCGCTCTACCTGTAGAGCGGGCTCTATGTTCAGGTAGAGCCCTTTCTGGCACTCTACCCACTCTTTTGGTCGTCTCCGAGTAATCTGCGCCTGTGAGGCTACTGGTCCAGATGGTGTCGGGGTAGAGTAGTAACAGCCTGAGGAGGCTGCGACTTCTTCCTCCTTCTCCCCCGCTTCCTCTTCTTGGAGGGTTGCCAGTGCTGTGGCAGGGTTGGCGGGGGGCTGTAGAGTCGCCCCGGTGGTTGCCCTTGTCACTGTGGGTTCCACCGTTTCCTTAGGTGTTACGGGTAGGGGGGGGGGGGCTGGTTGCCTGCCCTTCCCTGTGATGGTAACCCACCCGTCTTTTTGGATGGTCACAGTTTTTGGGCGACTCTGGGGGATCTTTTTTGGGTCCTCCGGGAGTAGCCCCGGCAAAGTTATCCCCTGCCTTCTAGCAGTCCTCCTCAGGGCTGGGCAGCGGCGGTCATTTGCCGTGTGGTTTTTGCCACAGTTGGCACACTTAGGTTCTTCCTCTCTACCCCGAGGGCAAAGGCTCGCAATGTGCTCCCCGGCACAGCGCACGCACCTCACTGGTCTGAAGCATTTGGCGGAGGCGTTTGTCTTTGTGGCAGTTGTTTAAGGGCGGCGATTGTCACTTGGTGAGCTACATGCTCGTTTGTCCCCTCTTCTATAAAAAAAAATCTATCAGGCGAAATTAAATGATTTTTTAAATTGATTTGTTAATCGTTAAAGTTAAAGCAGTTAAAGTTGTTTTACATCTTACTATTTTATAATTTTGTATTATATATCTATATTGTCAGCATTGTATTTCCTTTTATTAATTTTTTTAACGAGTAGAGGCGGTGTAAGAATATCTACTACTTCATATCTTCCCGTGGGTGTCGCAATAGGCGACAGAGGGAAACAAATGAGGAGATGGGCAGCAGCGTCTTCCTGATAACGACTAAAAATAAAAAAAATTGTGGTTGCCAACCCGCTTGCCAAGCGTGCCAACTACTGCAAATATCCCTCTTATGAGGTAATCTATAGGGGAAGCGGATGGTCATCAGTGGAATTTAATAGACTGTAACGGTAACCGTAACTTATTTTTTTTAAATTAAGCTTTTTGTTTTTTTTTTTTTTTGGAGAAAATGCAATGCAATAAGTGCAATAAGTAATTAAGAAAGGAATGCTTCGGTGGTTTGGTCATGTGGAAAGAATGAATGAGGAAAGAGTGACAAAGAAAATTTATGTTGCAGAAGTGAATGGCAGAGTCGGAAAGGGACGTCCTAGGCGGAAATTTATCGACCAAATTGGCGGTTTATTGAAAACGGGCCAAATTAGGAGTACCCTTAACCGACGAGCATGTATGCGTAGGTGTATGGGTGTGAAGGAGGCGAGAGAGGTGTGTCAGGATCGTGTGAAATGGAAGTCTGTAGTCTCTGCCTACTCCTCTGGGTGACAGGCGTGAGTGTTTATGTATGTATGTATGCAAAATGCAATAACTGGACTGATCCAGTATTCAAAGATCAACGAGATTGTCAATTTCTTTGTACAATATACCAGAATGCTATACAGAGTGGAAACGATAAGTGGCTTTATAATAATACTAGCTGTTACCCGGGGCTTCGCCCGCATGGTCACTGGGAAATGAACTATCCATTGCTTTTTGAATTGAAAGAAAACTGAGTTTTATAGATTTGTCAGTGTTGCAGCCATTAAAAGGAAACTGAGAAAAATTGATTCGTCAGCCTACTTAAATGTTTTGAAACGCAGCGTATAGGAAAGCATGAAAATAGCCTGTTTATTCCAAATGGAAATGGGATATTTTTTAATTAAAGGAAACTGAGCATAATTATCCGTCAGAGATGCAGACTTTTGAAAAGAAACTGAGCTAAATTGATTCGTCAGAGATGCAGTTTTCTGAATTGAAAGGAAACTGAGCTTAATAGGTCCGTCAGAGGTGCAGCATTTGGAATTGAAAAGAAACTAAGCTAAATAGGAAATTTTGAATTGAAAGGGAAGATCTGTGGGAATTCTGATTAATTGATTGTGGGAATTTTGGAAAAAAAACTTACTGAACACTATTTTAAGACGCTACTGTACACAATGTTATATGTTTTTCCATTCGGGGAAAGAATGTGGAGATTCTGGGCATTTGACACACGCGAACATGCTACATACAGCTGACCATGTGAGAAGCACGGTTTTCTAAGTTGACCCCGCTACCTGTAACGTTTGCCCTTGCGCTTTATTAATTGTCATTGCAAAACTGAGCTTAATAGGGAACTGCAACCTTTAGAATTGAAAAGGAAGATCTGTGGGAATTAGGGATCCGTGGTATAATAACATTTTCACCTTTTCCTACGCCTGTCAAAATTGTAGCACCGATTATGTTCCGTCCAAGATGTGTCACACGCAGCCTTGTCCCGTTACATAACCGAGGAGCATCTAAATTTCGCATTAGCATGACTGGGACGTCTAATTTTAATTGAAGCTTATGTGAGGGCACTCCTGACAACTTTAGAGAATTTAGAAACTCTGCGGGATACGAAGTGCTCCGTTCTGTGTCCATAACTATGTCTACTGACAAATACTCTGTTATTTCTCCTGCTACTTCGCTTAATATATCTGAATTTATTTTATTAACTTTATTGGATAAGAATAAAATATTTTAAAAAAATCTTTTTTTTTTCGCTTTTTTTTTTTTTTGTTTTTTATTTATTATTTATATAATTTTTTTATTTTTTTTTTTTTTTTATAATAAAAAAGAGTGGTTTTTTGGGGGGGGGGTTTTTGAGGGAGGGATTTATTTCGTCCCACACTAAAAGTTTGCATTGTCGTAGCATTATACCTCGTGCACTATTTTTGCTAAAGTTGCAGATCGGCGATTCTTCCTGGGCTAGATTTAGAGGGAGTTTTAAAACGGAATGTGCAGTGCGGCCCCCGCTTAGCAGCGTGGCGGCTATACCGGAGGAAGCTACGGCCACAGCAATGTTTTTATCTTTCCGTACTTGCGCTAATAATAAATTTAACAAAAATATCTTCCCAGTTCCTCCAGGGGCATCTAAAAAGAAAAGTGCACCATTTCCAGATTCAATTTGTCCTAATACTTTGTCAAAAACTCGTTTTTGTTCGGGAAGCAAGGACCCCCCTTGCACAAGTTCGGCTACTTGCTGCTGCAAAGCTGGTATATTGTAGTTTGTTTCACGTATAATTTCATCACTTAGTTCATTTTCGGTTGTTTGCTGAGGGCTTATCATTCCAAAGTCGCTCTGTTGCCACGTGAAAGAAGGACAAACAAACAAATAAACACACTTTCGCATTTATAATATTAGTATGGATTATTTGTAAACCATAAAAATATCGTAAATTTTTGCAGATATCGGAAAGTGTATCGCTTAACAAATAAAATGACATAATTGTGTTTCCGCAGGTCCTTCGCGCAGTATGTCGCTACGTGCGCGCAGCTCTGCAGCTGGTGCGGGAGGCACGCCGGGTGTGCAGCGCCAGAGCTCGCTACCCGCGCCCTGGCCCGACAGGAAGGACTCGCAGCCGCGCCGCAGGAACGAGCCCGCTCCCGGGTACGTACACCACCGCACAGCACTAACACGCACCACACCAACACGCACAGCACTAACACGCACCGCACCAATACGTAACGCACCAACATGCACAGCACCAACACGCACCGCACCAACACGCACCGCACCAACACGCACCGCACCAACACGCACCGCACCAATACGCACAGCACTAACACGCACCGCACCAACACGCACCGCACGAACACGCACAGCACCAACACGCACCGCACCAACACGCACCGCTCCAACACGCACCGCACCAACACGCACCGCACCGACACGCACCGCAAAGACACGCACAGCACTAACACGCACCGCACCAACACGCACCGCACCAACACGTACCGCACCAACACGCACCGCACCGACACGCACCGCACCAACACGCACAGCACTAACACGCACCGCACCAACACGCACCGCACGAACACGCACAGCACCAACACGCACCGCACCAACACGCACCGCTTCAAAACGCACCGCACCAACACGCACCGCACCAACACGCACCGCTCCAACACGCACCGCACGAACACGCACAGCACTAACACGCACCGCACCGACACGCACCGCACCGACACGCACCGCACCGACACGCACCGCACCAACACGCACCGCACCAACACGCACCGCACCAACACGCACCGCACCAACACGCACCGCACCAACACGCACCGCACCGACACGCACTGCACCAACACTCACCGCCCCAACACGCACCGCACCAACACGCATCGCACCAACACGCACCGCACCAACACGCAAAGCACCAACACGCACCGCACCAACACGCACCGCACCAACACGCACCGCACCAACATGCACAGCACCAACACGCACCGCACCAACACGCACTGCACCGACACGCACTGCACCGACACGTACCGCACCGACACGCACCGCACCGACACGCACCGCACCGACACGCACCGCACCAACACGCACCGTTTCGTAATTTCCGAACACATAATGATATAAGTATAATCTAGTGTTCTTCTATAATTTTTATACACTAATTATTAAAAACTTTTAGATTGTTCTATGTTATATTTAGTAACGACCCATTTCTAATTTAGGACGTCGACGGAAAATCAAGGACAGACGGATAGCAAGCAGAACAAAACAAAGACCGCGGAACCTAACATCGACTTTGAGCTGGATGTGAAAGTGCACATCAACAGCGGCAAGTGTGTACTGCATACAAAGGAGTCCGGCAGAGAGGACGACATGAAGATGTAAGAATGTTTTGGTTTTTATTGATCTTTAAAACGGCTATCGATTTAACTAAAATAATAAATGAGGTATTCACATGGTAATAGTTTTACCAAATATATAAAGTGGTATTATGTTGCTGTTCGATTTAATCATTTCGGACACGGTGCTTTAAATTTACCGGCCACCAGCAGCTCAAACACCTTGTAGCTCTTCGCATCCATCATCCCCACCAGATTGCTTGATGTCGGCAGGCTCCTCCTGGACTCGGCAAATGGCACCCGCCGCTGGTGGAGTACGCCGCATGCGTTGGTCGAAGAAAATGAATTCAAATGCATTGTGAGCGTATTTTAAGGCGAAAGGGGGAGAAGTTGGAAGTTTTGCGTACCGGGCCAAGATGCATCGCTTTTTTGTTGAGTTGGAGCCATCTATTATCGTTACTGAGAAAAACTAAGCAGACCGAGTTCAGTACTTTATGCGCTCAAAAATTTGATGGCGGCGAATTCGAACGGCTACGACGTGAGGCTGTTTCCTCATCGAATGAAAATACTAAGACACAGAACAACTTGCACACGTATATGCCGCCGTAGATCTCCTTATCACTCAGACGTCAATGGAATAGTCGCCCAGGAACAAGAGCAAATGAAGAGCATATTGGAATAGGCGATTACGGAAGCGCGCAATATGCCACTCGAGCATCGACCGCGACTTCCCCGCATACTAAATCTAGCAAGCGAAATCGGGGTCTTGAGAACTCTAAACCCAATGCTGGTGACCTATTTAGAAGTCAGCCGGGACCTCTGCGAGACGGACTCAATTCTTTTTGGCGCCGTACTGGCAGTAAGCCGTATTATTAGCGCCAACCTCCCCACGGCTACGCGTGCTAATACACAAAGTAGCGCCATCCCAGCCTAGAGAAAAAGAATTGAAGACCGTATCGCAAAGGCAATAACAAACCAAGAATTGTGTGGCATCGTCAGAATTGCGGTTGCTGGGACAAATGTCAGTTTGTCCCATCCGGATGGATACAACGCAAAAACTGACGGAGCACATAGACAACCTAAAGTGGAGAATCGCTGCTTGGGGGAAGCAAATTCGGCAATATACCGAGAGGTCAACACGATTCAATCAGAATCGTCTCTTCCAGAATGAGAAGAGGCTCTATAAATCATTGTAGCGACCAATGGTACGTGAACGGGCCAAGCACCGAATCAGGCTGGCTGGTATTCTGGTGCGGCCTGTAGTCAGAGCCCGTAAACCACAGCGGGCCCTTGGACGGAAGTTCTGACGAGCCACTGTGCTAATGTTACCCCAACGCGGCGCGTTTTTCATGGTGTGTCACACTGTACTCGCCCGATATTTTCAAGAAGCTCTCGAAAGCTCTCGAGGTTTAAAAGTTAGTCGTTTTTTTACGTTTGAAATTAGCTCTAAAATCTGTATTTTTGTGCTTACGCAGTATAACAAAAAAAATATGACAAAAACTTGCCTTACAGTAAGTACAGAACATTCCTTAAAAATAACTTCGGTGCTATATCTTTGTGATTTACATAGCATAACCTTTAATATTGCTCTCTGAGCACGTTGTCACCAGTTGGCACCAGTTGTCTTTCCAATTCCGCCCCAGGTTAAAATGCAGTATTGTAAAGAGTGCACGATCAAAGTAAACACATTGCAAGGTTTCAAAAATCAATGTGTGTTTGTGTAAGTATAAGATGAGACGTAAATTTTAATCCGCTTTTCCGCCTTTAGTGGGATTATGTAATTCTCTGGTAGGAATCGAGGTTAGTTTTGTTTTTAAAGTTCGACGTTTAATTATTTTTTGTAACGTTTGGGGTAAATGTATCAAAATCTATTAGACTTACTCATTTCTCATATTTATTATTGTTGTATGTTGTATTTGGCAGTTTTATTAATGAAATTCATTTGCTACCTGCAACGGATTCCGTTATACAGTAGCTGTGCTGCCTATAATGTTGCATATACAGTTGTAATAATTTGTATCGTCGGTGCAGCAGCGGGTCGCGCGTGCGCGTGGGGCGCTCGACGTCGGGCGGGCTGGCGGGCGCCGGGGTTGCGGCGGGGGGTGCGGCCGGGGGGCTCTGTGGGGGGCCGCGGGGGGCGCAGTAGGCGCAGGCAGCGAGACGAGCTCGCCGGGCGCGCGCCGCAAGCCGCGGCTGCCGCCTGCGCCGGACCTCACCGTGTTCCGCGTGCCCGGCCTGCAGCTCAAGGTACACCACACAAATACACTTGCACAAACTTGTTCCATTCAATGCTCCACTAATACACTTTAAAATAAAACACTTAAAAATATAATATTTTTCCTCTAAAGAAAAGTTACCTTCGTACATCCCACAGCTATGTTGTGCCTCCTAACATTTTTGAGAGAATTTTTATGTAAGAAATTCAAATTTTAAATACATTTAAAATTACAAATAAATACATCAAAGGTTTGTTATTATAAATACAATATTGATTACAACGTGTATATGTTATTAAGCCTATATGGCCTTTATACATCGCACTGCTGGACGGACGCTTCTAACTACTAATTTAGTTTTTATGAAAAAATTGCACAAAAATGTTTTAAAAGATTTCTTTAATTTTGATCTAAAACATCTAATAATTATCCAATGTGTGTTGTAGCAACCTCCCTTACATTTATTTACTTAGCCATAGATAGCAATTTGAATAGGACATAATATTTTTATGTAGCAATTATGTTTAGTATTCATATATAGACCAGAATTATTAACAGCAATATGTTCTTATAATACACATCTTTATAAAACTGTCATGATAACCCTTATTACAACCTGTGACAATTCCATTGCTGAATAAACACCAAGGAATATCACACAACACGGTCTTCTGCCACCTGCAAGCATCAACTTCCTTCATATCTTTACTCCGTCAAATTAGAAACCGCCTTACATTGCGCTTACTGGTGCAAATCTCCACCTAAAAACTTATTTTTCATCGATTTTAGGTTCTTTGAATTACATATATAGTCAGCCCATTGCGACTTCATCTTACTAATCCATTGGGATATATCGATTACTCTGGTTCTACTGCGGATATTTACGTTATGAATTCTATTACGCAGAGCAACTCCGAGCAATGTGTTCTTTAATTATTATTGTTGCGCGCCTAAGTTGACGGCTGGTACCTGGCACTAGCGCCATCTAGTGTCGGGTAACAGAGCGAGGAGAGCTTTCCAGAAAATGCCATGACTAATCTTTCAACCAACAGCGCCATCTAGTATCGAATTGAAGAACTAAGCTTTCTAGAAGCCCCCCACACTCGAACTTTCTGCGCCAGGTCGGTCGGGGCCCCTTATTTACTGGAATATTCTGGATGTTTTCTCGGAAGAGCCCTATAAAAAGCCGTTGATAGCCGCGATCGGGGCAGTATTGAATTTGGCGAGACAATCGAAGCTTCGGAGCGAAATAAAGTGAATGTGATTAATTATTAGTGTCTTTTAAGTTTTAATTGGTGTTCGGTAATAAAAGTGTAAATTTTGGGTAATTCAATCGGCAGTTTTTATAGTCACGAACCCTAAGCTCGTAACAATTGGTGTCAAAAGTATGATAAAATCGTGCCGGTTTTACCTAACGAGGAAACGGAGGGTGTCCGTACCCGAAGTCAACTTCAGCAGGAGACGGACCAGAGACGATTTGGTGGTGTAACGCCGCAGATGTCTGAGGGCCAGCCGTCGGCCACGGAGGCCGGCCCGTCACCACCTCCTACGTCTGTGGCACCTGACTTAGGTGCTCTGATGGTGATGCTGCAGCAGCTGCAGTGCGGACAGGAGAAACATGCCCGCCGATTGGAAGAGCAGCTGCGGGGTGGACAGGAGGAACAGGCCCGCCGGCAGAGGGAACAGGTTCGCCGGCAGGAGGAACAGGCCCGTCGTTTAGAAGAGCAGCTCCAACGCGATAAGGAAGAGCAGATGCTCCTCATGAAAGACCTTCACGCTACCTTCGGAAAAGAGATAATGGAGGTGAAAGATAAGGTTGCTCAACATGACAATCGCCTGTCTGAAGCTGAAACCCAAATCAACCAAGTGAAGAAAGCGCTGGACGAACTCAAACTTGGGGATGGAAATACAGCTCCCGTAGTAGCTACTACACCTTCGCTACGTGGGTTCAAAGTGCCGCCGTTCGACGGGACTTCTTCTTGGTTGGCCTACAAAATCCAGTTCGAGGCTGTCATGAAAGCGAACGGCTGGAATAAAAGTCAGGCCATGACTGCTCTCACACTAGGCCTGCGCGACCAGGCCTTAGCAGTTCTGGAAGCTCTCGGTGAAGAAGTGACTTATGAGCAGCTCCTTGAGGCATTGAAGGTGAGATATGACGACGCTCACCTGGAACACGTCTTTCGTGCGCAGCCTAAAAATCGCGTGCAACGCATCAACGAAAACCTGTAGCAGTGGGCCATTGAGGTGGGGATGCTGGTTTGATAAGTATACCGGTCTGTACCTGCGCATTGAAGGGAACCTGGTGCAGACATTCATCGACGGCATCCGCGACCTTGAAGTCAGAACTGCTGTGAGGCTCGGGCACCACGAGACGCTTAAGGACGCCTTGGCCCATGCACTGGAGGTGGAAGCCTTGCGGCAGGATCATTGTTCCCATCGCGTCAGGAAAGTTGCAGCAGCTACAGTTCGCGACCGCAATAAAGGATACAGCCCTAGGTGCTATGAAGTAATAGAGCAAGTTACTGCCGAAACACGGATAAGTTCGGAATGTTTGGAAATCTAGTACCGTGGAATGGATAAAGAGGAAAGTGTACTTCATGAAATGTCCGACGAAGAGGTTATGAATCACATTTCTAGTTCTACAAGAATAAATAAATTAGATGATGATGACGTTATTCAAACTACTCCGTAAATGGCAGCACAAGATGTGATCAACGCATTTAAGCTGAATTTGCAATGGACTGAAGAAAATGATGCATCCTATAACAAACTTTTACTTTTGAGAAGACAAAGCTTTTTTCTCGCATTTTAACATTGTAAAAAAAATTGACGAATACTTTTATGCTTCATAAATTTATTAGTTCCTTTAAAACACTTACATTTTTAGTATGTAATAATTCATTAACGTAAATATATTATTTGTTAGTTCTATGACAGCGATGATGTTAATTTTATAATAATTAATGAGTACATATATAAATCTCGCGAACTATCACTTTACTATCTATCATATGTAATTTGTCGGATTATAAGGTGGTATTTTTCAAAAAGTTACGGACTACAGGCAGCTGTGGCAGTACTCTATAGTCCGACAAATTGGATAATACGACGCAGTCTTGCAAATCGTTTGTCAGAACACCGCGGGTCAACTGTATCTACGTCACTCCAGGTTCACTACGAATCCAAGACCTTGCCGGAAGACGTGGCATCCCCGCAGCCGCTGTGCTCAAGTGCCCGCAAGGTGGGCACGAAGAAAGCAGCGCTGTTTGCCTGGATCACGCTGCAGAGCATTCCCGAGGAGACGATCATCAGCCCGCACATACTGGAGTTCCTCGAACAGACCCTCGAGCCGATACCGACCAAGGCTTCGTTCTCGGCACCCACACCAGGTTAGTGAAGCGATACGCGACGAATGGTGTGGAATGAATGATATGTGAGTGAATGGAGGTAAAGGCACGTGAAGAAGATATTATGACGTCACTAAGGTTCGGCAACAGTTATCGCTAATTTCCGTCTATCCACTACAGCGTATAAAAGTTCACTGCTGAACATAGGTAATAAGTGGCTTATTGTAGACTGCTTTGTAAATGGATTTTGCTAATTTGAAAAACTACTGCAAATTTGATTTTTTACAAAGTCTATGGAGCTAGGTCTATTCCTCCTACTAATTTTTTCATTTACAGTTTGAGAAAGTTTCTTTGATTTTTCAACTTTGATCGGCTTAAATCTTTTCTCTTTCTAAGTATTAGTATTGATATCTTTAAATTATTTTTATACTGTTATGTGCGCAATTTAAGGGTGCATGTTTAATTTTCTTCCTTTTTCAATATAGCATCTACTACATACTACAATTATTATATTACAAAGTTATTTTTCCTAAACCATGAACATTTTAATTTTCCTCAAAATGGGTTTCAATAGATTATTAATCTCATAATCAGGAAATTTTCTTCCTCATCGCAATCATGGTAATATTTTTGTTATGTAATACAACACTATGTGTTCATTTCCATGTCCCTGACCCTGCCCCCGGATTTTCTGAGATGCTCCCTTTTACATTAATTGAAAATCAATATTTGAGCTCTTTCTACAACCAGCGATACAAAAGATGACAAGTGAAGGTCAGTCGCTTCGCAACTTGTAGCGCGTGTGAAGGCCGTGCGCCGCAGCACTGACGGTTGTAGTAAAATCACATGGTGTGCGTGTTTTGCGTAGACGCGGAGAGTGCGCCGCGGTCGAAGTCTGCGGAATATGCGTCGTACGGACAGTACGTGTACGCGTCGTTCCCCGTGGACGTGATCGTGCACTTCCACACGCGGCCCTCTGCCTTCCGCTTCAGCTGCCTGCCCGCCTCGCGCGTCGAGTGCCTGCTGCAGCTGCCCAGCCTCCGCATTGTCTTCAGCTCCAAGCGCGCCGGAGACGAGTGAGTGTACACACACACACACGCATGTAAACATGTAAACATAGAGCGGCCCAGCCTCCGCATTGTCTTCAGCTCCAAGCGCGCTGGAGACGAGTGAGTGCACAACCCACACACACGCGCACTCGCACGCGCATGCACACCCACGTGCACGCGCACGCGCACGCGCACGCGCACGCACACCGCACGCACGCGCACACTCACGCGCACACGCACGCGCACGTACACGCGCACCACACGCACACACGCGCACACGCACCACACGCGCACACACACACACCACACACACGCACACACACACACACGCACACACGCCGCCACACACGCATACGCGCACGCGCACACGCATCGCAACGCGCACACGCACCACGCGCACACGCGCACACGCACGTACACACGCACGCATACACGCACGCACGGCGCACGCACACACACACCAATGTTCTGCTTCTTTGATAAATACTATTTCATTACAGAGAAATGGCTGAACCAGCTGTTGCAATGGGTGGCCTCAGCGTAACAGGCTGCCTTGCAGACTTCTCGGTGTATATATTCCATCCCTATGGAGGCAAGAAATCAAGCCTCAAAGAGGCACAGTGGTCGCCGCTCGCTGACACAGAGCGCAAAGACTCGCTCAGCGTCAATGTCGAGTTCGTCAAGTTCCATTTGTCCAGGTCCAGGAAACTGGACTTCCAAACCGATCAGGACCAATCCAAAGCTACTGTGAGATTCTCAAGTAAGTTATGGTTTGTTGTTGTTAGCCTTTACTATATACAATACTGAAAGGTAGACCAATACAAGAATGGCGACAAATAGCGTGCTCAATTTGAAAGACTTGCCCATATTCACTAAATCGGCAACGGGTTGGAGAGAACAGAGTTGGAACCCTCGCACTCGTATGCTAGTCCCCCTCATCAAATGTCCAAATGAAAGAATTAAGAACTCAACATTTGGAATCGTTTTGTGCTTTATGTTAGTCGCCAGAACCTGTTTGTTAACTATCAAGTGAGGTTTGCATTTGAAGTTAGATTCCCCTTATACCTTTTGTATACATAGAGAAATTTATTTCGATACTTGTATACGGCTGGGGTAACGGATACTACTAGACTCATCTATGTCCGGCGCCTCTTATGGGGGTGCAGGAGAGCCTGATATGCTTACGACACTGGGTTATCTGGCTGCAAATTAAGATATCTATCGATATCTCCCTCGCCTTCCAGTATTCCATATAATATGTTGCAAATAGTGGGTTTTGGTTGCAGCCATCGTGGACGTGGGTTCTGCATGGTTCAAGTATGACATGCGGCGGCTGGGCGAGATCCTGGCGTTCCCGAAGGCGTGGTACCGCCGCAGCATCGTGCGCCGCATGTTCCTGGGCGACGTCAGCGTGCACCAAGAGCGCCAAGACCGCCATGATCGTCACGACCGCCACGAACGCCACGACCGCCACGACAGGCACGAGCGACACGCACACGCCGAGTGAGTCATACTTATTAAAGACACGACACTTATTAGAAGAGGTTTTGATTTATATTTATGTTTGGGATAATCTCACGATCTAAGTTAGATCTTGTGGGGCCCAGCCAAGTCTATTACTCAGCGACAAAAAGTTTACAATGATAAAATATATTTTTCATTTTTCAGAGCTAACAGCAATGCGCCTGTTTCGCCGGTACTACCACAGAGAGAAAAAACGAAAGCCGTCGAAACACCAAAACCTAAAGGTAAAAATTCTAATAATACTTATGTTATTTGAAGTATATTACTTATGGTTAACATATTATATTATTAATGAATTACTATATTTCTCTATCAGAGACTAAAACTTCGGGTGCGGCGTGGGAGACGCTGGTTTTGTTTGCGGTCAACTTCACGCGTCTCAATGTTCATATGAACATGGGCAACGTCATGGGAAACGTCAGGTTAGTGCAAAACTGCCTGTAGCGATATCGAATTTGAATTCAATGAATATTAATTTCATACAAATAGAGATTACAACAGAAAAATAATGAAAAACAAAATATACACCCATTTACGAAAAAACGACTGGTTGCACTCCGGGAGTGCCAGAAGTGAAAACTTGAATATTAACGTTGTGCAACGACTTGAATATTAACATTTTGGAATGGTTAGAGAATAAAATTATTCTCTAACCATTCACGCACGAATTTATTTAATTATTAATACTATCATTTATGTGGTAGAATACAATATTTATTTATTGCGCTAATTTACACAAACATGACAATTTATATTAGGTACATTCGCGCAAGCGCCTTGCGCCGCCTAAAAGACAAAGCAGGCGCAGGCGTATATTTCGCCGCACCGTATAAATAGGGGGGGATACTTCCTCTCCTACGCCGCGCCGGCTGTCTCTCTCTCTCCATCCGTCTTACGAATTTTCGATCAGGGTCACGTGTCCTGACGCGAGTTTAAAAATTTTTACCCATTACAAAAAAATGTACAACGCCGCTAAAGAAGTTTTTACTTCAAGAAACGGTTTTGTCTTGTCTGAAAAAAATAGAATACAAAAGAGTTTTACAATGGGCCCCCGGTAATCAGACAAATATTTTGCAGGGCAGTGTCGAACTATCGAATTTGTCGGATTATAGATAACCCTCTATATTCCGGATTTTTTTTAAAGAGTACCTTGTATTCCGACAAATTACAGATCCAATGATTAAGATTCTATATGTTCTATATGTTATAAAAGTGCTGTGGTGTTTAAAAAAGTACGTTTTGAAGAGATCACACCTTATGTGGGGTCTCTACTGTGTTTTAGGCAGGAATTATTTCGTTGGATCGTGCGGAGTTAGTCTCAAACGAAAACGGTACACTGATTGGACACCGATACATAACGGAAGTTCTATTTCCTCATGCACAATCCGCATTGGCTGCTTTTGGCGAGATCTCAATTTTTATGAACGATTATGCTCGCTTCTATCGGTCAGACGATGTGGAAACGTATATGCTAGAGGTCGGAATTCGTATTTTGAATTGGCCAGCTCTGTTACGACATAAATCCTATAGAGCATGTTTAGGAAGTTCTGAAGCGACGAGTAAGATCTGTGCAGCCGGCTCCGCAGATAATCAGGGAGCTAAAGAATGTGATTACCGCAGAGTGGGAACGTATTTTCCTAGAAACAGTCAAAGTCCATACTAAACTTTTGTCTGCTTTTACTTTATTAAAGAAAAAACAAACAAAAAACGTGTTTCATTTTTACTCAGCGAGAGTGTACCTGCTAGGGCTTTGAACTTTAACATTTTTTCTCATTCATTTAATCAAAATGTTGTAATAAAACTGACGAAAACTATTCCTTTACCAAATTATGAGTATAACACTACCTAAAATTATCAAAGAAACTAATAGTAATACTAAATTTGGTTCTTTATTTACGTGTCGGTTTTTTTTTGCAAAGGAGCTAATTTACTTATTTATGATTTGTTGACTGTTTATTTTTATATTTTAGCTCAGTTTTGCCACTACTGATTTCTTTCTGTATTAAATATGTCACTGTCACACATGGACGTTCAAAATTCTCAAAGGACAAAATTCATTGCTAACTTTACTGAGGATTATTTCAAAAATATCTGTTTTGCTCATCTTACATAACTGGTTTGAATTGACAGCTATGACGTCACAATATGGGGCCAGGTTAGTTCTATTCTTCTTTTAATCGTATTGTAAACAGCTTTAACGGACACGACAATACGAGTTTTCCATATTCGGTACCTATAACGAAAGTTGTGTGTGACAGCTGGCAGAGCCGGTCGCTGGGTGCGTCGGGGCGGCTGAGCATCGGCAGCACGCAGCGGCGCCACATGGTGGTGCGCGTGGAGCTGGGCGGCTCGGCGCTAGACGCGCGCGGTGGCATCGTCGGTGGCGCCATCTCGCTCGCCTCAATGCGAGCTCACCGTGAGTACATCCCCTCTCCCGCCCTTCTGTCTCCACCCGCGCCGTGAGTACTGCGTGCTCCCGTCCATCCGCCCTCGCTCGCGCCGTGAGTATTACGTGCCCCCGTCCATCCGCCCTCGCTCGCGCCGTAAATACTGCGCGCCCCCGTCCATCCGCCCTCGCTCGCGCCGTGAATACTGCGCGTCCCCGTCCATCCGCCCTCGCTCGCGCCGTGAATACTGCGCGCCCCCGTCCATCCGCCGTCGCTTCCACCGTGAGAACTGCGCACCCCCATCTTATGCCTTCATCCGTCCGTCTCGTTTATTATACTGCGCACGCTTCGTGACTTCTGCGTCCTTCCGTCACTTGTTCGTCACAAAACATGCGTACTATTAATATTAATCTCTAATGTGCGATAACATTGTATGCAAGAGTTTACGCAAGCTAACAGTGTGTATCCTGTACATTCTAAAACATTTACTAGATGGCAATGTCTTAGCACCGGTAGTGTCATATATTCTGTTACGTTCGATAAACGTATAAAATCACACGACCGCAGTTAAAAACGTTAAATATTTAAAAGAACCTAAAATGTTGTCTGAGTACATGTTCGTGAAATACAAATTGTATTTTAAAAATCTTTAGAATCTCGTATAACTCGAATATCAAGAAATGCACTATGTATTAACGAGTTTTCTATTTAAGTTTTATAGTATATATTTTTTACATATTAAAAAAAATTACTTATTAATGAAATAAACTGTGCACTAAAAAAATCCGTTATCTTCTTTTGATTTAAATTATTTGCAAATTTTTATCAATAATTTTTTCAAGCTCAGCTAAAGCCAAAATAAATACTTAAGCTCCGCTAAAAGTAATCGTGTTCTGTATCGACAAGGAACAAACATAACGTTCACATCTGTGATACTTAGAAAGTTTTATGAATGTATTCATTTATTGCACGTGTATAAGCCAAAAACAATAGATTAGAAACCCCGAACCCGAACATTAACTTAGGATTTTATTGCTATTATTTCGGGGGATTCCAAGTAAGACGTCATGTTTACGCCCGTTTGCCTCGAGCGGGGTGAGGAAACGGTTAGCGTATCGCGGGAGGGGAGGCTAGCTGTGTCGTACGCGCAGAGCAAGCGTGACAGTCGGCAGGAAGCCTTTGGGCGCTGTGCCCGGGCCAGTTAAACGTCTGGCGTTACATAATGTCCCGGGTCGAGTTAGGGGTCGCGAGTTTGATATAATTTTGCGTCGAAAGGGCGGCCTCCTTGTGTTATCTTATATTTGTACGCAACCGTGATAACGAGGCTTATTTCTTGAGTTTATTTGCGCGAATCCCGGGTCGATTATACGTTGAGAGCCTCCTTGTGTTATTAATGTAAGTTTCCGACGAGGCCAGAATTATAAATTGTTGTTGTAACCGTTTTAAGTATTGGTTGTGACTGGTATACGGTTGCGGGCGGCCGGTGTTTTGATTAAAGGCTGAATCTGTGTTAATTGTGTCCGCCATTTTGAATTACTATTGAATATGTGGGTCTGTCGAGTCCAGACCTCTAATTTAGTTGTCTGTTTGAACGTGTTACGTGACAAGAGGCCTACTTGGAATTTGTAGTGATTAAAGGAACTTTTATGCCGTTAATTGCATCGACGAGTTAGTAGTTTTGTGCTAAGTGAACCTGGGACTTTGAACTTTGACCAACCGTCCTTAAGTTGTGCCGCGTGTCACTTGTTTTAATGTCGATTAACGTTGATTTGTTTGAACTTGAAGTTAATTAAATGTACAATAAAATTGATAAGTTAATATAGTGAAAAATTGAAGTGGAAGTTTTCCATTGGTGAACGTCCCCTTGGATGGATTCTACCATTGGAGAGAGGCAGCGTCTTGGGATCTGCTGTCCAGGATCAGCGGGGATGTCAGATTACACATTGAACACATTACTGCACACCACTTACATGCACATCACCTTTCACCTGACAATGCCCTGTGGTTAACCCTACCTCCGCCAATCGGTAAGTGTTGCTTGCTTCTTGTTAGCCGTTATAATTTAATTATCCATAGGTCTTGGACCCTCCCCTTTGTTAACCGTCGAATTGGGCTACTGTGGGCCCTAGCTCGATCGACCTTTGTCGGGGTAACTGGGGGCGGTAACACATCATTATATTTTACTAACTACGGCTTAGGAGTCTCCTTTTTAAATGAGTTTAGAGTATTTCGGGTGAATGACTTAATTGTACGTTTTCTACAGAGTATAAATATGTATTATTAATACTTCGTAGGGAAATAACATTTTGTTCGAATTGCAGTGTCTAAATAATTCGAGATACCGCGTATATTTTGAGTTCAGCGGAAGGGAATGGCAATTTTTTTGCGACTTACTGAGAATTACGACTTAACGAGGTTCGAGTTATAGAGATTCCATTGTAATTGTGAGCTAGGATGTACAGGGTGTACAGATCCATCGATCATTGGTTCGTATCCGGCTCGAAAGACCACTATGTATTAAATATTGTGATTATTTGATATTTTTAATAAACTTAATAATATCTGTAAAAATATACACATAACCTCTACATATTTACAATTCATGTATCGCACAAATAATATTCTGTTGAGAATTAACCTGAAACGGATTGAAGCGAAATTTATATCAAAGTGCTGAGTATTGTTTGCGTACACAATGTTCTTCCTAAATAGGGTGTGGCAAGTGTCTAGTGTGTAATTTACATAATATATAAACGTGTGTGTGTATGTGTGTGCAGTGCACGTGGACGAGGAACCGGGCCGCAACCCGGGGCACGTGTGCGGCGTGCAACTGGCAGCGTTGGAGCTGCGGCTGGAGTATATGGGTGCGGGCGTGCTACTGGCGCGCGTGTCGCGGCTGCGCGCCGCGCTGCGGGACGAGTGGCTCGCACGCACACGCGCCCGACCGCCGCGCGCACGACACAATCCGAGGTACGTGGCACGCAGCACACTGCAGCTGCAGTACATGGGTGCGGGCGTGCTACTGGCGCGCGTGTCGTGGCTGCGTGCCGCGCTGCGGGACGAGTGGCTCGCACGTACGCGCGTCCGACCGCCGCGGGTACGACACAATCTGAGGTACGCGCCATGCGGCACGCTGCAGCTGCAGTACATGGGTGCGGGCGTGCTACTGGCGCGCGTGTCGTGGCTTCGTGCCGCGCTGCGGGACGAGTGGCTCGCACGTACGCGCGTCCGACCGCCGCGCGCACGGCACAATCCGAGGTACGTGCCATGCGGCACGCTGCAGCTGCAGTACATGGGTGCGGGCGTGCTACTCGCGCGCGTGTCGCGGCTACGCGCCGCGCTGCGGGACGAGTGGCTCGCACGTACGCGCGTCCGACCGCCGCGCGCACGACACAATCCGAGGTACGTGCCACGCGGCACGCTGCAGCTGCAGTACATGGGTGCGGGCGTGCTACTCGCGCGCGTGTCGCGGCTGCGCGCCGCGCTGCGGGACGAGTGGCTCGCACGTACGCGCGTTCGACCGCCGCGCGCACGACACAATCCGAGGTACGTGCCGTGCGGCACGCTGCAGTTGCAGTACATGGGTGCGGGCGTGCTACTCGCGCGCGTGTCGCGGCTGCGCGACGCGCTGCGGGACGAGTGGCTCGCACGTACGCGCGTCCGACCGCCGCGCGCACGACACAATCCGAGGTACGTGCCATGCGGCACGCTGCAGCTGCAGTACATGGGTGCGGGCGTGCTACTCGCGCGCGTGTCGCGGCTGCGCGCCGCGCTGCGGGACGAGTGGCTCGCACGCACACGCGCCCGACCGCCTCGCGCACTACACAATCTGAGGTACGCGCCATGCGGCACGCTGCAGCTGCAGTACATGGGTGCGGGCGTGCTACTGGCGCGCGTGTGCGTTATGGTGTGGTTTTGACAGAACTTATGACTCGACTAAGTATTTACAAACAATAATTTAAGCATATCAAGCGTGATAATATTAATATTTAGAAAAAAAGAATGTTGATCAAATTGGCGATATTTTGAAAATTTAGAAAATGAGAAGGGGTCAGCCTACCCCTCTTGAAGGTTTAAGAATGTTGCTTTGAATGAAATCTGTAGGAACGAATGAAAGAGTGTCATTTTTTGTTTTTTGTCTGTGGATATTATTTAAACCCGTACTAACTTTGGTACTGACGGGTCTTCGGATGGTCTACATTTTGTAATAAGCACACATTTTGATCCTGGTATAAACGTTAATGCTGTAACAAACCGGGACCTTTTAGCAGGACTAAAAAGTCCCGGTTTGTTTTTTTTTTTTTTGAACCAGTACTAAAACATTTTTTGAAATAAGACCAAGACATGTACGCGAGTTGTGTCGTCACCTGTAACATGCAAGCAACGCACATGGACTATATTTCTACCAGTGTTATGAAGGTTATTCAAATTCAAAGCAGTGCCAATGTATTTTTTTAGTATACTTTATATGCACTTTATATTATTTCTGTATTAACAAATTGATATAAATATAAATTAAGTTTTAAAATCTGCTTACATTTTCTTTACATATCGAATTATTATATTAAAAAAAAATTATACATTTTTAAATCATATTTTACATTATCCAATAATTTAAGATGATATTTTATAAAATGTATATTTTCTAAGTATGTATGTCATCTTTTGATTTAAATAAATAAATGTTTCCCCTGTTCAGGCCTGCCATCATTCTCCTCCACGGTACACTGAGTTGGCATCAGCTCCAGATTCTGATGAGCCGTAGCACAACACCCGATCTGCTCAAGATGCAATTGAAACTTGAAGAGTTCTTCACTCAGCAGTTCAAGTCCAGCAAACGAGTGTTTAGCTCACTTCACCCTAATTATGCAGCCGCAAGAAGAGATAAAAGGGAACGTAAGTTACAATTTTTATTAAATTAATATACTTTACTCTCTGAACGTCATAGTAAGCCGCCGTAAGGAGATTGCTTTTTAATTTATTTTAAAGAAAATATAACAAAATGCGGTCAAATCATAAAATTAGTAATCAATATAACCATGATCATTTTTAGTCTCTTTGTAGAATTATTACTCATCAATAAATTTGTTAATATTTTTCTTATAATATATAAAATAATATAAAACTCTACTAATCCTAAAAAAAGTCAACTTTTCGACTGTTACGTTACTTCATTAAAACACATCAGCGTCACATACAAATACAATATTAAGAAATATACTAAATATACATAACAGGCTTAAAATCTGGTTAATATTTGAGTGAAAGATGTGATCAACTTTAATAAAACTTTTCTGAGGCATTTTTCCATATTATATTCCCATGTGTTTCAATCTCCAATTAAGTCCAAAAAAAGAATTATCTGACAAACGAAATTTGGCCTCTTTCTTACGTCGAATTAAATTTAAAATTTCATTTTAATCCTTAAGTTCAAAAGTTCAAGGAATATAAAAAAGTATAATACTTTCGTTTTTAGTCCAGACACAAATATAAAATTCTATAAAAAAGACGGAGCACCTTCATCAAAGCGACACGTGGAACGCCGAAAGTTCAGAGTGATTTCTTTTTTTTCTAAGAAACATTGCCAGGTTATGGTTTAAAATAAAAGCATATCTTTGTCTTTGATATTATTATCTAATGCATAGTGTCTTTGGTTTTGTTTTAATTAAAAAAATTCTTTTTCAAAGGGTTAGTACTTGTGGTACACATGTGTATCTCGATCGAGGGAGCGTAAGATGTTTATGTCTGGTACACATGTGTAGACTGATCGACTCTACAGGTTAATTCAAATTCTGTTCCCTTTTAAAGCCTTGTATGCTTGAAAGTTTATTTGTGTTTTATTTAGTATAATCAGTCTTAGTAAAATGACAATAAGCGTATACCTCTCTCTTTCCCTCTATACCAAGGTTACATTTTTACAGGTTACATACCTTCGTTAACGGAACTTATTAACTATGAAAAGACAAATTAACGTCACATGTTCGTGCGGCATACAAAGTTAGTTGTCTCCGTGTCTGGTATTAATTAATTAATTTATGGTAGTTACATAAGATATATATATACATTAATTGCAAAGTGAGCAATAGGTATATGGAGTAGACCAGAAGTTTACTGGGTGATAAGATTATTTTTCTCTGTAAGAAAACATATGAATAGAAACCACCCACTTATTTGTTTTTCCCGCCAAGCAGCAGTTCACCCAGTTGTAAGTGACCTACAGTATAATACAAAGGGGCGTTCAATGTATTCTCGATATAAAATGTCATAAAAAGAATAAAATGATGAAATTATTTTTATTTCTCAATATAGTCTCCCATGACATCAATATATTTACTTGTTCGTGAATAACACTTTTTGATTCCATTAAAAAATATTCCACGTCTTGGCCTGAAAAATGCTTATTTAAAGCGAACTTGAACTCATTATCGTCAGCAAATCGCTTTCTCGGAAAGTCTTTTTTAGTTTGGGAATAAAAAGTAGTCACTAGGAGCTGGATCTGGGCTGTATGGTGGGTTGTTAATTTCTTCAAACCCGCAGTCTCGTACAGCAGCCTTGGAGAGCCGCGCCATGTGAACCGGCGCGTTTTCATGAAGAAGCAGTACTGTCTTGGGCAGCTTTCCTCTTCTCTTTTCTTTTATTGCTTCTCTCAAACGGTTTACTCAGGGTCATAGTGGTGAACCCACGTTTACCTATAACTCTTATTGAAAACAATTGTTGGGTCGTCACTACAGAGCTCTAAAAACTCCCTACAACAGTCAACCCGTACCTGCTTTTAAAGTGCAGTAAGCATTCGCGGCACCCATCTTGCACTGACTTTTGTGAGGTTGAGATAGTCTTGCAATATGGCATGTATGGTACCAACGAATAGGTTAGTCATTTCTGCTGAGATCTTAATTCTTACTCGTGCAGCTTCTTATACTATTTTTTTTTCAATAATTTTCACATTTTCTTCTGTAATCGCTGTGTTTGGCCCACCCAGGCAGGGGTGATCTTCGATGCTTTCCTTGCCTCTTTTGAAATCACTTGTAACACACACACACAGCCTTGGTAACACTAAGTTGGCCACCATTTCTTCATGGATGTTTTTGTGAGTTTTTACTTGTTTAGTAAGGTTTAACTACCGCACGGTGTTAGATTTATTTCAACATTATCGAGTCAGTCATTACCTATCTATGACTGAAGGTTACATGAAATTTAACTAGTATATAATAACATATTATAATTTAGCTAGTATATTAACATAAATGCATATAACTTGTACACAATATCGCTTGTTTATTGCAATCGTTAGCAATTGCGAACCCGACAAACGAGCAGCAGCAGCAGCAGCAACAACAGCAGCAGCAGGAGCTGCGCCACCACCGGCACTGGCAGCGCGTGCTGCGGCTGGTGTCCGGCATGCAGCTGTCTACGCTGCCCGCGCCGCTGCCCGCCAACGGTACGTACCTACTGACGTACCTAGTCACATTCAAAAGAAACTACATTTTAGTCGCATTTAAATGAAACTGATTTTTTAGTTCCCTGTCCCAACCGACTAGGTGTAGAAAATTCTCTCCCAGTTCCGCCACTCGATACTAGATGGCGCTACTGGCATTAATTATGGCTTGCAACACTGCCCCCTCCTAATAAATGCTCGCCTCGAGCGTTATTGGCCCCACAACAACGCGCCAGTCGATTAACATGGACATAGACATAGGAGTACCTCTTGCACCTTTCTGTATCCGGTACGGTCCGTCCCATTTAGCTTGAAGCTTAGGAGATTTCCCTTTGCTGCGGACTGGATTGTGCAACCACACTAGTGAACCTTCGTCGAACCCTTTGTTGTTCATTTTGCGGTCATACCGGGTTTTCATCTTTTCAAACATTTTCTGACCCGATTGTCTGACGTGCTCATAAATGTCATTCATTTTGTTCTGCAAGTCATTTGTATAATCTGTTATACTGCGTGGGGCATCAGGTGGTATTCCGGTGATTAGGTCTGCACGCTGGCGCCCCCGGGTGGGCGCCAGCCCGCGATATAGTTGCGAACTGTTAAGTGTACTTAATTATTAGTGTGTTTTAAGTTTTAATTGGTGTTCGGTTATTAAAGTGTCGATTTTGGAGATTCAATCGGCAGTTTTTATTGTCACGAACCCTAAGCAAGTAACAATATTATGGTTATGGCGCGAAAGGGTCGCTCGACCGAGGAAGGATCACGCTCTCGCAGAATACCAGCGTTGAATAGCAACCTAATGCTGCTGTGTATGGTTTAGTGAGTGTACCGGGACCCTTTTTACTGGTAACGAAGCAATCCATTCTGGTCTTCAGGGATAACATCGCATCTGGATTTTGATTCATAATCGAAGTTGTAGATGTTAATGGGCCACAGCATCCACTTACCATCAGGGCTCTGTGCTGGTTTGTCACCCTAATTTTATAAATAACTTTCGAAACTACGTCAGTTTGTAACGAATCGAAAACTATTTCGGGAATAAGTTTGATATACGAGGGTGGCTTGAAAAGTACTCGGCCTAACCAAGAAAATAAACACATACTAAATCATTTATATTTTTATTTTTCTACATAATCACCATCAAGTTCAATACACTTTTGCCACCTCCCCTTCCAAGCATTTAGACCGTTGAAAAAAAATGATTCTTCCTTAGAGTCAAAATATGCGTCTACAGCTGCTTTGACCTCGTCGTTTGTCGAAAATCTTTGACCTTCCAAGTGCTTTTTTAGGTTAGGGAACAGAAAGAAGTCTGATGGTGCCAGATCAGGTGAATACGGCGGATGCGGTAACAGTTCAAAGCCACAGTTGTGAATTTCAACCATTGACTGTACTGACGTGTGAACACGGGCGTTATCTTGATGAAACAGGACTTTTCTTCTGAGCATTCCTCGACGTTTTTCTTTTATTTCCTCTCGTAAACGACGTAGAAAGGTGCAGTAGTAATCAGAGTTTATAGTCTGACCCCTTTCAAGATAATCAATCATAATCACACCTTTCGAGTCCCAGAATACTGAAGCCATCACCTTATTTGCCGACAAAATCGACTTAGCCTTTTTTAGGGGGTGGTGAACCAGGTCTTCTCCCCTGTTTTGATTGTTGTTTTGTTTCCGGTGTACAGTAATGAATCCATGTTTCGTTCATAGTAACAAAACGATTCAAAAAATCATCTGCATCGGCTTCAAATAACTCCAAACAGTCGCGTGAAATAGTCAATCGCGTCCTTTTTTGTTCAACTGAAAGCAGTCGCGGAACCCACCTCGCAGACACCTTGTGGAAACCCAACTCGTTGACAATGATGTTTTGAGTTCGTTCATAAGAGATGCCTATAATCTCGGCTATCTCTCTAATTTTTAATCTGCGGTCTCCCATTATTAAATCAAGTACTTTTTTTAATATTTTCGTCAGTAGTTGACGTCGAAGGCCTTCCAGAGCGGGGTTTATCTTTCACACTCTCTCTACCACGCTTAAATTCTGTTATCCATTTTTTGACGGATGAATATGACAGAGCACAATCGCTTAATGTACTGACCATGTCATCATGGATGGCTTTTGATGATAGCCCTTTCTTATGGAGGTACTTAATGACGGCACGCTGCTCGATTTGCTCCATTCGCCGAAATTATGTCCGATTACTTTGTTAATAAATTTATAAAATCACAACTAATTATCGCACACGTTTCGAACTTCACACAATGAACTAGTCTGAACTGAACTAAATAATGTGGGTAGATTTGATTTTTAGAATTGAATGGATCTGTGTTAGGCCGAGTACTTTTCAATCCACCCTCGTATATATAAGTTGATTTTAACTGAATCAATTCGAACCGAGAAACACGACCGAATTAGGATTAAATATCAACGAGCACAGATATTTTTTTTATCCGGATATAATATTTAATAAATTATAATTCACTTTTTAAAAATTGAGGACATTTACGCTCGCCATCTAGCGGCGGAAATATGTATATTTCGTTCGGATAATTTCAATTTGAACCACCTTATACGAAACAACCTTGAGTTGGAATAAATCCCCATAGATTTAGACAGAAGTAGGCTGACTGATCTACTTCCAGTAGGAAAAAAGTCTGAGCCTTTGAATGAATTCAAATCAAGTATAGTTTGCCACAATATAACTGCTACTGTGTAACGAATATTATTACCTTCTGTTTTAGGTACTGTTCTCGGAGGCACAATGGAGCTGCACGGCACCAACATATCGCTCGGCTGTTTCCACGGCAATAGCATGAAGGCAAAGTCGTGGGCCTTGTTCAGTTTGAAAGATCCTTGTATAAGCTTCGCCACAGAAGCGCAGCAGCTAGAGACCGAGGAAGGTATGCGAAATTTTCATAAGTATAGTTTATATGCAAAAATGTTTTAGCTAGTATAAATAACTTTTCTACCACTATTATACCATTAACTATAACTATTATGATACCCTTGAGTTATTTTTGTGGGGTGTCTGCCACAGTTCCAAAAACCAAGAAAGAACTCATCACGAAAATAAGATCAATCGCTGGAGAAATACGATCTGATTTACAAATGATTAGGCGCTCATCAACTCAGGTGGTATATAGAGCTTTAGCTTGCCTGCCTACAAGCTCGAAGTGCCTCTTTAAGCAACTCTTTTTGATTATTTAATTGTTGTTCAATTTTGTAAAACAATTAAATAAAAACTAATAAGTAACGTAAGTGTTTTTAATGTTTTCCTGTTTAGGGTTTCGACAAATCCCCATTGTGCTTGCGCATACTCTATGTTCAAACAACAATAATTCTTAAAGCAATAGACATACAATTGCTTTTTTTGGACTGAAATGTTTTTTAAGTTTTTTCCATTTTTTCGTAATGTAAACGAAAGACAATATTGTTGCCCTCCGAATGAGCCTATTTTATCTCGGTAAAACCAAAATTTTAAGAGGTGATTTTTTGTACACATGTAGAGAATACCTCAAGAAAAAAAAACAAATTGGCTGCCTATCTCATAGAGGGGAAGGGGATTAGACCTTAGTGTGTAGTGTATTTGTATATTAAAATAGTTGTAATTATAAGTACCTAGAATATCGCTAATCCATGACGGGACACACTGTGTATTTATTAAGTCGCGTATGTCACGTCAGCTCGTACCGGTATATAAGGCTGCAGTTGAAAGTTAATTAGGCAGTACTGCGCTCTTTCGTGGCATGCGTGCCTCACTTACTTTAAAAAATATATAAATTTCCTTTTTTGCAACCTTCCGCTAAATAATTTTTTAGCGGAAGGTTGCAAAGAAATTTATGTTTTTATTTTTTATTATAATGGATTTCCGCAAAGTAACGCTGTTCTATAGTTTTTGTGCTTCCTCTTGCTTTCAATATTCCGTGTTCACCTCTAAACGCAGTACCATCAGAAGTAGCAGTGATTTTTGCTAATTTTATTATTACACACTGATTTTAGTTAAGCAATTTTATTATTTCAATATACAGGATGGGCCAGAATAAAGTTCACTTTTCCTTGGTAAATATATGGTGTAGCACGAATGGGTCGGCTCGACCGGGGAAGGACCTCGCTCTCACAGAATACCCGCGTGAAATAGTAGCTTAATGCTGCTGTGTAGAGAACCGGAGACATTATTTACTGGAAACGAGGCATTCTACCGTCAAGTCCTCACGGATGACAACGCATCTGCATTTTGATTCGTAATCGAGGATAAATGTAAGATGTCTATGGGCCCCAGCATCCACTTACAATCAGGTGGACTGTGTGCTCGTTTATCATCCTATCCTATAAAAAAAATTGTTGACCACGGGGGGTAGCAGGATACGCGGAATGTCATCGAGTCACACGTCTCTCGCAATTTTAATCGTAATGAGTAAGTTTACGCTCTCGCGTAAACTTACTCATTACGATACACGAGCACGCCTTCGCTGTTCAAACGTTTTACGAAAATGGTCATTCTTACATTGTTGTGCGACTTATGTTAATATGTCCTAGCACTCAGGTACTTAAACAATGTCTGAAGAGGTTCTAAGAAACTGGTTCGACGGTACCAATGAGACGTCAAGGTCCCGTACTTCACGCACGGAGCAAGCGTTTCAGGATTTTTAAGAAAATGTAGAACTCTACGCGACGACGTTCAGCGACTTTGAGAATTTCGTGAAGCGAATTAAAGCCGAATTTTAGGATATGATTTGAAGCTTCATCCTTATAAGATCCAGTTGGTGCAAGAACTTTCCCATGATGACCATACAAAAAGGGCGTCATTTTCCACTTTGATGTTAGAGCGATTTTCCAACATCGGGAACATCCTTTTCTCGGACGAAGCCCTTTTTGCCTAAACGAATTTGTTAAGAAAATAGTCTTCGCGCAAGCATCAAAAGCCACTCCCTTGTCAGAAAGTGACTGTTTGGGCTGCTATTATTTGAGCCAAAGGCCTCATTGGGCCTTATTTATTCGAAAATTCTCGAAGCCACCCAGTAGCAGTTAATGAAGGCTGCTATGCGGAAATGCTTTAAGAGTTATTAAAGCCAATCCTTGTTGAGCTGCAAGTGTATAAACTCACTGACCTGGTTCTAGCAGGATAGGGTGACCTGCTACACGTCTAATGCCAGCATGAAGGTCGTACAGGAGCTGTTCCCCGGTAAAGTAATCTCAAAGATAGATAGCATCGAGTGGCCACCACGAAGCCGAGACTTTTTTTGTTGCGATTTCTCAAGAATAAGGTCTACTTCAATAAATCGAGGACAATCACTTCTTCAAAAGCGAAGATTCGAGTGGAAATCGCGGCTATATCGACAGCAACGTGCCGGCGCGTTTTTGAAAATCTTAAGTTCCGCTTCGATGAGTGCTTGCGGCGAGACGGGGAACACCTTGATGATATTATTTTCAAGAAGTAAATAACATTAATGTTAGATTAAGTTACTTTTTGAATCAACTCTCTAAGTATTATCAGTCTTTTTTATATAGGTTTGAAAAGTGAACTTTATTTTGGCCCAACCTGTATTTTAATGAAAGAAGTACATCCAATGATAGTGTAAATTAATTATACGATGTTCAAGTATTCAGTAACCAAGAGCCCCCGGTCGTAGTTCCAGAGGAGTTGGAAGTGCAGGCCGTGCAGAGTCTGACGGCGAGCCTGGGCGCGGCGGGGGCGGCGTCCGGTGGCGGGGCGGGCGCGGGCGCGGGGGCGGGCGGCGGGGCGGGCGGGCACCAGTCGGTGGCCACGGTGGTGCGCATGACGCGCTCGCTGCTGTTCCCGCCGCAGTTCAAGACGCTGCGCGAGTGGTTCCTCTACGCCTTTGCCGAAAGCGAGATAGACGGTCAGTTGCTTTATTCAGTAAAAACTTCATAATAATCGTTGTGATTAGAAACTCGCTGAAACGAAAAAGAGACAAACATATGCATCTATAGGATTTAGCTTGCAAAAGAATAAGATAGAATATGGTATAACGTTACCGTTATAGCCTTTTAAAGTCCATTGCTAAACACAGGCCTATCCAATATTTTCATTCATTATTGCCAAGCTTGGCAAACAAATTGCCAACCACAGCTCTTTATTTTCAGTGGTTATAAGGAAGGTCCTGTCGTCTCTTAAGACCTCCACGGGATAATATGGGGTAGTGAATATTCCAACACCGCCTGGTGGAATCTTCTCTAATGGACCACAAAAATTAATTAAAATGCGGGACTCGAGACCACAAATTTGTTAGCATCTGTAGCTCGAGATAAAATCGAAAACGATGATGGGTTGGTCGAGAAGTGATCAGAAACCTGGTATGTACGTGGTGACCTATGAGGCGACTACGAGATGGGGGCTGTTAGATACCTTACTACGATAACTCAGGCCCCCGGTAGAGGCAGATTCAAGTTAAATAGATTATTTCGAAGGACTAGCGGGTAATTGCGTATTAATGAGCCAATATATGCTCACCTGTCATCTCGGATGTGGGGTTGCGAGACGTACTGTTTACTACAACAGTTGCGATGCGGTGTTCTATAGCACGATTAGCGGATTAATGCGAATAGTTGTTGCGGTACCACAGAGTGTTGCTGGCGACAGTTCTCTAGGTGTGCAGTGGCGCGGCACGTGCGTGGTGCGCGACGACGGACGCGCACGCACGTGGCGAGCGTTGCGTGGCGAATGACGTGAGCGCGCGAACAATCTTGGAACGCGACTGTCCTGAAATAGACTATTTAAGATGAGAACAGAGAGCAACACCTGGCGTGTCCACTGCCACTACAAGATAATAATATAGTATGCAGTACATATACAGTGTTTTCTCAGTAACCCGGTCTCCATTTTTAGTTTCATTTCTACCGCATTTGAAAGGTTTTTTTTTTTATATATAATACTGAAGTCAAAACTTCCTTGCCCTTTAAAAAACAAGCTAAGGCGCATTTATTTGACATAACAATTGTAAATATGCAAATAAAAAAACTCATTTAATAAATTGTATAAAAATTCAATTAAAAAAACTCAAATAATAAAACAGAAAAAAATATTATTTCGACATGCAATGATATGAGAATTGAGCTCGATCTCAATTTTAACTCATTTCTTTGATTTATATAAATCAACGAGTGTGATCAAATCACTTACTTCCCTGCCACACGGGGTAATCAACATTAATGACGTGAAGATATGTTGCTTGTGTAGCGATAGAGCAGTTCCCGTCGCTGGAGGCTGCGGGCGGTAGCACGGGCGCGGGCAACACAGGCAGTACGGAGCGCGAGCGTGGCAAGGCGAGCGGCGGTGGCAGCACCAGTGGCAGTAGCAGCGGTGGCGGAGAGCGCCACGTGCGTGAAGTTATCTTCGCGCTGCCCGCACTGCAGCTACATCTACGCACCAGGCATCTTCAGCGAGCGCAGACTCCCACTGAAAACGGTGAGATGTTTGCTCTTTGAATATTTCATTTATCTGCCTTGAAGGACCAAATTTAATACTTGTATTACTCGACTTTTCGGTTACTTTTTTCGTGATAACCACGAGGCTTTATAATCTAAGTAATTAGTTAGTACTTCTTGAACCTATACTTAAATCTCCAATCAACAATTTTGTATAAATTTAAATAGTTGTACTATTTTGAGTCTGCTGTTTGTCCTTTTTATAGAGAAAGTTAAGTAGTCTTTGACAACATTGCCTAGCTTCCAATCTAAATAGAAGAAGGCAACGATGGATTAAGGTGAATCCGCTCACATACGGGGGGTAAGCGCGTTGGATATTTCTTTGCCCTATATCCTCCTCTGAAATGAGAAGAGACCTGTCTTCTAAAGAAGGACCTATATAAGTTGTAACCTCACGTGAAAACGTATCTCTACTAGACGTCTTTCTTTGAGTTTGGTTCCAAGTGTAGATGAGCTACAGGAGCCACTTACTATCAGGTAGGCTCTTAGCTCAATTGTAACTCTAAATAAATAAGATATAGTCCATTATAAGAAGATAAAGTCCATTTCCTGTTCCCTAAATTTTAGTTCAGGGTTGCTATAAATACGATAAGTTGTTATTACTACTACTCCCTAAAATTCTATAATGGTACATCAAAATCAAATTTTCAAATCTCAATAATTAATAGAATCAGGCGTTACTTTGCGGAAATTCATTATACTAAAGATATTAAGAGTTACTTTGTAACCATCCGCTCAATAAAATTATAATTTATTCAAATCTATTTTTTCAGATGAAAAACCCATAGTAGAATGCAGCTTTATCACAGAGTTCGAAGACCACATCTTCGTATCGGTGGACGCAGAAGCGTTCCTGTTTCTGCACGACCTCATCTCATCCTACATCAAAGAAAAAGATCGCATCGTAAGTAAAAATTTGATTCTATAGCTATTATTAATCTTTTTGCCGATAAACCGACGTAAACCGTTTTAAAGAATATCTGACAGATAGAGTTAATAAACTGTGAATTTTGATAGTGTGTGAAGTGTACGTATTGTAAAATTTTATATAAGGAACGTTTTCATTTTTATCAAAATCAATTATTTTGTAAAACTGCGATTGCCAATATAACTTAAAGGGACAGTAGCCTAATGGCAGGGCGAAGACCGCGAACTCAAAAAGGTCGTGAGTTCGAATCCGCCATTCGACTACTGGCGTGAACCACTCGTAACACAAGCAATTTAAGCTTACCACGAGTGGTTAAGGGGAATATTAGTAATGTTTATAGCATTGTTAATATTCTTTAAAAAAAAACTACGATAAGCACACTGCTATGTGCGGGGTGAGTAAAAATGCTGATTAGCCTGAAGTATTTTCCCACACACAGCAATTTTATAATTACATCGTCCAACGGCTGCTCTTCACGTTGGCCAACATAGTGGCGAATGTTGTGGCCGATACCAGTGATCATTGTGTAGTGAGTGCTTGTGCTTGCCTTGTATTGGAATGATAGAGCACAAGTTGGTGCGAGATCCGTGTAGTGTCGGTTTTTTACAAAATTTCAAAGGATTTTTGCAGAATTTGGCCGCCGCATCCACATTGGGCGCGCGTTTATAGTTCTACGAGCTCCCTGAGTAATTGCACGCACCTAATTTAAATTTATTATTCACGCTTTGTAACTAGTTTCTACAAAATGGCAATAACAATGACCAATGAAGAAACTTTTCGCTTTATAGAGCTCTACCAAGACGAAAATTGTTTGAACCCAAGAAATAAAAATCACAAAAATAAAAATACTAATAAAAATAATAATTTCTAATACACATTCACGTAGTAGCGGTATGCTGGGAATAAATAAACCGCAGCTGCTGTTAGTGCATCGATATCCATTTTAATAAATTCGTCCGAACATTGGCCTGAACCAAAGCAAACTCAACGACCTTCCAATGTGTGGACGCCGTCACAAACTCTTGGGTAATATCTTTGCCACAATATTCGCCACTGTGTTGACCAATGTGAAGAGCCGCCTCAAAATCGCTAAGCTTCTTCCGTGAGGTCCTCAATAATTGCAGATGTCGTATGTCGATTACTCGTAGTTACTTCCCGGCACGTGGTCACTTTCGCATTTCCGAAATAACTCTCATATTGCCGGCATACGTTTTTTACTAAAGAAATATGGAACTGTCAGGCCAATCCCGCTCATTTCACTCTTTCAGCCAGAAAATACCAGAACAATCTTATCCTAGATATGATCGTCCCGATAATTCTTGCCGTGACAATCGTGCTAGTCGATCAATGTATACCACTTTCGGTTTTCCCCTCTGCTCTTTCTTGATGCTGTATTTGTCGTCATCAATCTTTTTAACCACCTTGCAAGGTACCATCGAGCTTGTAATTTTCTCTCTCGCTTCTTATCCTTTTTCCTGAGGGGTTTATGCAAACATACAAGAGTTCCCACATATCGATTAGTGTTTGCTCTCGGATCAAAGTGAGCCTTCATCCCCTCACTAGTCAGATGTTTATTTCTTTCTATCTTCTTTCATGCTGTGCTTTGAGTTCTTAGTAAAGGTCACCTAGGCAAAGTTCCGGCATTGTTGGGGCCTTTTCCATGTTGTCCCTTGAAATCGCAATAGACACACAACCCTTTCTTTACTTTACTTGGGACTGATGCTTGTTATTAAAGGATTATCAAATCCTGGTACCAGCGAAATGTCGCACATTTTTTTTTAAATTATGACATTACGCAAAAAAATTGAGTAAATTTTATTAGGTCTGGATCCTCCTAAAACCACTTCTTGATCAGGAAATTTCAGCACTCCTTGACTGCTGTATACAACGCACCGCTGATTCTTTAAGAAATCCAGGCCTAAGATGCAATTCTCGTTGATACTGGTAATCAGTACACAGTTTAAGTACGTCCGTTCCTCAATCTTAATTTCAACATCCGTGTCGCCAAACACTGACACCGGTTGGCTAATAACTATTCGTAGCTGAAATTGTGATCGCTGATCGATCTAACAATGCTTCAGTATCAATTACATATCAGCAGGCTTTCTCGTTTAAAGTGCCATCGATAGTAAGTTGCATTACATGCATCTGAGACCGTTATGGTAGAGGCTTTCGTATGTCCATCAAACGCCTGCCCATTAACGTGAATCGTGGAGTTTGTGAACCTCTTTCTATTTTCGTTGGGGCAATCGAGCCTGATTTGCCGCTTTTTACCGCACGTTTAACATGTAGAATCATAACGGAACTTTCGTTTTTTCGTTATCAATTCCGTTACTTGGTAAACATGTCTCACCGCACAGCTTCCACCCCCTATGCATGTACCAATGCGTTCTTTAGAGATTGAAGGTGGCCTGATCGTACAGCTGCTCGCACCCCCGTGTCTCGAATGCAGTCTTTAAACGCTTGAAGTAGAGTTACTTCTACAACAGACAGTGTGATGCTCTACACAACTAGCTGTCGTAACAATACCTTTAATGGAAGATAGAAGGGAACGGCCCCCAAGTCCAATATTTAACATCACATCATACATACAATCAGACAAAACATCCAACTCCAAAAAATATTTTACATTTACGTTAAACTATTTATATATTATGCTGATATCATTCCACAATCACAGTCTATCGAGTCTTGTGCTGCGCACAGGCCGCCATGGTTCAAACTGTCGCAGCACGGTTGTGGCAGCTGCAGTGTTTTATTACTTTCAGTTGTTATCAGGAGCATGTTGCTGCCCATCTCCTGTTTCAGTTTTCATCTATCGCCTATGATTATGAATACTATATTTAAAGCAATAAATTCATCATTAGATGTGATAAGGATAAGCGGTGAATTCTCTCGCGTTACCTCTATCCTTTGGGTAGTCTTTGGCGGTGTATAGATGTACAGTTTGTTCCAGATGCCGGTGGGGGGTCGCAGCAGTACCAGCAGCACGAGTAATGCAGAGGTGGTGGCGCCGCAGGACTACCGCGAGTACCGCTGCGTCACCTGGCACCTCGAGCCCACCGTGCGGTCAGTAGCGCTTCTTATTAGTAGAATAACGGTGAAAAACGAACTTACACTCCATCTGATGGTAAGTGGTTGCTGTGGCACATAGACATCTACATTTATCCTCGATTAAGTATCATTATGCAGATGCGATGTCAATTTTGTGAAAGTTTAAGATTGAATGGCGTCGATTCTAGTGAAAAGGGTGTTCGGTTCTTTGTACTTATTCCTACAGCGAACCGGTGATTTTTTGGTGAAGCCAATAGGAAAGCCAAGTGTGTTTCTCAGTGTCAATAAAATGACGACAAAAGACTTAAAAAAGGTATACATAATTCAGGTGGCTCAGGGCTGTGCGTTGTGGCATTCGTTAGGGTAGGTCTATCAGCAGTTGTTTTGTGAAAGATTGTAGGTAGTGAGAAACCATAACATTTTAAGAATAAATCGGTGTGACTTTGTCGTAGACACGGCCGTGTGTTTTACATGCACACGCGTACGTAATGAAACAACTTAAAAATGGCGGCTCTCTACCCACCGCCGCGCGATGCGTCGCGCCTATGCCTTCTTTGATCCTTTAGCTATCAAGTGGCTTAAATAAATTTTCGATATAGATGATAGATGTGTGGCTCCAACGCCAAATTGTATCCCCTGATTCTGTTATCATAATTATGTTGAATTGCCTTCCGCCATGGAAGCGAATTTAGAGGTGTATTCATTTCGCATTGAAAAGAAAATAAGATGTGTTGGTATGGTGCAGGCTACTATCGTGGGCGGGCAAGTCGATCGAGCCGTACGGCGTGGACTACATCCTGCAGAAGCTGGGCTTCAGCCACGCGCGCACCACCATCCCCAAGTGGCTGCAGCGCGGCGCGCTCGACCCGCTGGACGCGCTGCTGGCCGCCGTGCTGCTGCGCCTCGTGGCCGCCGTGCCGCACGCCAAGCGCACGCCTCAGCCGCCACGCCCCTAGCGACTTGCGACCAAAGACCTTAACGCCTCAGACATAAGGCTCACAATCTGACCACGAGCCGCAACACACATCACCGACACTTAGCGACCGGCGACCACTACAACCACTACAACGAATATCCATACGCGTGTGTACTCCGAGTTTTTAGCGACATGCGATCTTATCAGCTATAAAATAGAATTCAAATTGCCTGCGCACGGACTGACAATAACTATATCCACACTAAGCTATTTTCACCGCTACCACATAAGACTCGATATCGCCGCACACTTGTTTCCGTTGCGCCTCTAGCAACAAGCGTTAAGCAACCTTATAAATCCATGCCATAAGGTTCGAATTCCTTTCACCGAATTCATGGACCGACACTGTACAGCTCAACAACCAACTCTAACTACACTAAAATAAAGCTCCAAATCGCATTACTACAACTGACTATGACTGCACAACTATACGATTCGTAATAATTTTGCAACACTCGACCCTGATTACACCACTATACGCTTCACAACATTCAATCACTCTTACACCAGTCTTGTTTGCACTATCATACAGCTTAAAATAGCTTTGCAGTCTGGTCCGGATTGCACCATCATACGCTACACAAAAAACAAACTCTAGTCTCACATATAACGCTCGATTAATCGTTTCACAATGATGAATTTAACTACATTATTATACGTTTCCATCTTCTTCAACTGAGTGTAGTGTGCCGGAACTCTGTGTTAACAGGTTATTGTGGACATCGTACATAACAACTCCTTACTTTTTGTTATAAAGACAAGATTTTGATCGTAACCGTCTTCGTCAATTTAAACATGTTTTAAGTTTTACCGGTACACCGGTTGTTTCAGTTCTGCATGTGGTCCTAGTATTAGCTAAATATAACGTAGCGGGACGAGTGGTGAACACAGCCTTCACATGCGTAATGGTATTATAAATAACTTTGGTGAAGTACAAGGGCGCGGGTTGGGAACAGTGAACAGTATTTTTTTATAGAATAAAGGTATTTATAATAAAGCTGCAGCATGGCTCCACGGCGTATAAAAATGTTTAATAACGTGATCCGTTAGCGTACAAATGTCACTGTCACTTGATATTTACAACTCGCGCCGTTATTTTGTACTGGTTTCAAACCTGTATGTTTTGGAACCCTTTCAATCTCTGCTAACTAGCACACATTCGGTAATTAGTAGAGATTAAAAAGAAGTATGACTTATAAATGCTTAAGCTATTATTAGTTTAATGAAAAATTAAGCCTTCGTATTATAGGTACAGGGCTTAAAATCACTTAGCACACGTCATTCTGTTGACTTTGAGAATTTTTTAATCTGTCTCCCTACTAAATGATACAAGTAGACCCAATGATCATTAGGAAATCCTTTAACACCGGTAAAGTGTAAAGATTCCTAATAGGTTGCCTACTGTTGTCCGTGTCATAATTTTATTTTACGAACTCTAGGCTTTAAAATACTATTATACTATATTTGAAGGTATTTGGTAGTAGATATATGAGTTAAATTTTTATCCGAAAGGTGCTAAATGCGGCAAATTTAAACTTTATATATTCCATAGAATAAATTATCGTCTTTGACGTTTTGTATCCTTGTCTTACGTCACCTGCTAATCTTTACACATAAATGTAACATAAATGCTGTAGAACTTAGACAGGCTACAAATAAAGTTAAATTTACCTTGAATAGCGAATTTCTCCTATATCAATGTTACTGTCCACTTTTTTATCAGTGATAGCAACAATATTTATCATATTGATAAATTATTCCTGTTTATAATTATTAAGATTAATGGAAATTTATAATCCCTATCATAGTATTAACATCAAAATGTTTCTAAAACATATAGTGGTATTAACGAAATAATAAAATATTTAATTTATATTGAATATTTTTTCAATTGAAGTCAAAACCAAAAGATCTCAGATAAAATTCGCCAAAGTTGAAATAGAAAAGTTAACAGTATAAAGGAAAATCCTTAAAATAACATTATTCCTTTAAAGTTCGAGTGATTGAACTATATTTTAAATACGTTATGTTACCTCTACTCCTAACGAAAATTTATAAAATTATATACATCTACTGGTGTTGCTAAAAAGACTTTTTGTTTGTGATACTGTTTCATATTTAAATTTCGTATTTATATTATTGATTTATAATAGTTAATTTTAATGGTGTATTTGGATTTAACTTTATATACAATAATTTTTCATTATTTTATATACCCTATTATAAGTTTTGTTATAACAAATCGTACAATGTCACTTTTCCCTACTTTTGTGTTTATTTCCATAACGTGTACAGATCTCTTTTTATTTGCTTAGTTTGTTGAATAGGTGAATAGTTGTTGTAAGGATATGGTTCATATATAATATGTACAGGATTTTTTTAGAAATTCTATAATTGATGGCCTGTTTAATATAATCCAATGCTTAAATTCAACGAAAACCTGATAAAAATTATGGTATTTAAGGATTCAATGAACATTCAAATTTTATTTTTTATTTTATCAATTATTATTAATGTTGAAAAAAATTACTTTAGTATAATTTTATTAAATAGTTTAAATCACAATATTTTATGGCATTTGCTCTATTATGATAAATAAAAAATAAGAAGTGATACACCTACTCATTCTATATAAATTAATGTGGGAATAAATGAATGTAGTCATATAAGGGATTTGAATAATTATTTATGAACATTTATGTTAATTTTAAAGGGAATCCAAGCGTATTTGAAGAGTTATCTTCATTGTAGAATTCTGTATTACTATAATAATTGTATTATTTTGTATAATACTTCAGTGGTTATTTTAGATTGTACCTAAATGCTTATTATTTTATGTATTGTACTGATAATGTTATTAGGGAATGTGATTTGTACATAATAAATGTGATATAAATAAAATTATTAGAGAATTTATGAGATATTTTTTTATGTTTCTCTTCATCAGACCATAATCACTCCATCTATCCACAACAGCGTAAAAAATTCCACTGGTGAATATATGCCTCATTTATAGATAGCCTAATTAATTGGATTTTACGATAATTGTCACGCGCGGGTCGGCACCCGCGTTTTTATAATTTCGAGTTGTTTTCCTCCTGTTTCAGTTTCACTCCGTCGCTTCTCTTCTTACGATACTCACGAGATGTGTGTACTAGTGGATGTTCGTACACTGCCACGACATGGGTGCATCATTAACACCCATAACGCGTTTTTTCTTTCTCTTGACCGTGTCAAATATTACGAAATCACACTTTATACAACACATTGCAGAGTTTTAAAGAGATCCCTACGACAGCTCAGCAAGAAGATAGTATCTCAAGCTCTAGTTAAAGAGAAATAGTTTTCTGTGCTCATTGAGCTATTCTGTACTCGCGAATTCGCCGTTGGTGTTGGGTGCGCGGGGGGGGGAATCCCCCTCCTATTTTTAAAAAAAACCACCATTTGGGCCAAAAAAAAAACAATATAAAAAAAAAAGAAAAGGGAAGAAAAGGGGTTGGTCGACCTGTTGATTTTGTGTGCGGGTTCGACGTACTAGAGGCGACACTGCATTCAGCTACTCTGTTCCACTCAACTGCGGTGCATAAAGTGCGGTGACTTTAATCAGTCACTCGCTAGGCGCTTGTAGAGTTGTCACGTGTTGTGTTGATTTAAAAAAAAGTCTCTTGATAAAAATATGCCGTCGTGTGTACTTAGATATTGCACAAATAATTCAAGAAATGTCAGTAAAAACCAAGGAATTACTTTTCATCTATTAATAAGATACTTAATCAATAAAAAAGTATTATTTTTTAATAATAAAAGAAATTATTCCTAAGACGCCATCTCGTGTCATGGAATATAGATTATGAAATTAATTTGTTCAGATGTGACATTTCTGTGGATACAAGTACTTAAGTATAGGACAAATATATCATTATACACATTTTTTTGTAGTATATATTAGTTATCATAACTAGACAAAAATTTTTATATTTAAATCTGCTCATTACTCTTTTATTTTATTTTTAGATTTCCACATCAAAGTCAAAGTAGAATAAATTTTTAATTCTCGCGTGCCTTGCATTAATCAACGACTTTTATTCTAATTTAAATAAATATATTTGTAATTTAAATGTTATATTAATAAGTTTTTGTTAAACATAAATTTAGTATGTTTTTTATATATTTGACATAAATACCTTTTAAAATGTTCAGATAAAAATATCATTAAAATATAATTGTGATATAATATTCTGTAATATTATATTAAATAAGCAGATATAGTATACAAAATAAATGACACAATTTAAAAATTGTTCTCGATATAATTTACCTATTTAACAATACAATCTACTATTATACTTACTGATCATTCTACCTATGTTTATTCTATGATAAAAAACCAACCGCGCGAACACAGAGTAGCGCACATTTTTTGTTTGAAATAGCTGTTCTAGTACGTAAGTACATATTACTTCAATGTCTGTGCTCTAGTTTTTAAGCCGTCAAAAAACCAAAAATTTGTTTTGCCCATGTGTTTCATGAAAAACAACTTATAACAAAAAGTTAAAGCCGGCTCCATGAAACTAAAAGGAATAATATAATTTCACATTCAGAACTCGGTACTAAGCCTGCCAATGTGTAGAAGTTAAAGTCCCAAATTCAGAACTTGAAATTATTTTATTCTTTTTTGTTTTCAAAGTCAGCATTTACTTTACATTAAAAGTTCATTTTATTACCCTTTTGAGTGAACTTAGGAGTATCACAATCTTAATGTTGTCTCAATAGATACATGGAAAACTTCACTTCTATTGTGCCAAGATGTGGTGTAGAATTTTTCCTTCATAATATATCTCAGCAGCGTACCATTACCGTTACTGCCTATTAAAGTCCACTGCTTAAAATAAGCCTCCCCCACAGATCGCCTCATAGGGGGCACATTTGTCATGTTACAATGCTTGGCAAGCAGGTGACAACTGTAGTTTTTTTTTATTTTTA